TGTGAACTCAACACAAGTGCAGACTGTAAGAACTAACTTATGGCTGGACGTATCGGTTCAAATGTAATGAAATTACCTAAATACACAATTCTGCCTTGGCGAATATCTTCTCTGTACTTACACATATAAGAAGACCATTATGTACTAGTTAGTAAAACGACACATCTGCTAATTTCATTAAATTATCAAATATAACCTTCGGTACAACCCCTTATTCTTGATCGGATAACCTTCACACAAAATATGCCCAAATAAAACATGACCCCCTCCCCTAACATGACTAAAATATGTGAATTATGCTTATTTTTCTTCATTTGGCAGTACCTATATTGAGCGACAGTTTTCTAATCAGCATGAACTTTTTTCTCTTTCAAAGCAATTTTTTTTTTTTAGGGGGCGGGGTTCCTGACCCCTCCGTAGTGGGTCAGATCATGTGGAATCAGTGTCCGAGTAAGCGACAATGCAAAAGAAGAAAATAATTCTAATTCTGCGTTATCTAGATTTAATCCGATGTCCTTTGAATCCAATAATCCATTTCGTAAACTGCAAATCATCAAGAATTATGCGTCGAGGAAATTCTATTTGATTAGATCTCTGAAGCGCTTTAATGCTCCAAGGAAAGATTTGTTGACAGTATATACATCGTACATACGACCTACATTGGAGTATTGCGTACCTCTGCGGCACTCTGGTATCACCGTGCAGTGCAGCAAAGCAATGACATAGAGATGATCCAGAAAAGGGCTCTAATTCTCTCTGACCAATATGTGAGCTACAGAAATGCCCTCCAGAAAACCGAGCTTGCAACACTGAGCGAAAGAAGGGACAAACTATCCTTAAAATTTGCAGAATCGCTTCAAAGAAACTTCAAAGACTGGTTGCCTGAAGCACAAAACCAACGTCTCTGACGTAGCAATAGACTGAGAGAGTTCAAATGCAGAACAGAAAGGTTCAGAAACAGTGCTTTGCCTTTTCTTGTTAGGCTAATAAATCGTCATTCCGAGTGAATCGTTATTTGATGAAAGACTAAATTATGATTATTGATTACACTCAAATTTAAATAGTTATTATAATGAAATGAATCTCAAAAGAAATGGACAGTATAAATAATATGCAAATTAAAAAAAAAAATCATACTGGAACGCTTTAATCTTTACAATGTACCTTATGTCCTCCTCCGCCTTTTTCGGGACTTTCTACTCACTAGCCTCGAGTCTTTTTAATTTAATTTACTGTACGTTTAGCACGACTGATATCTTTGATCATACTTAATTTCACAATTGTACTATGTTTGAATTTGACCACCTATGGAGAGTTTCATAACTACAATACTACAATACCTGATGTTTCCTGTCAAACGTTTAATTTAATAATTTGTATACGCTTGATATATTGGTGGTTTATACACGCCATGAGGATCTGTACATTTTAAAGCTGATTAATAGAAGGCTCATTACACATGTTTTTCACCTCAACTTTCTTGATATATTCCTCTTACTTACCCTTCCTTTCTTTTCCTTTCATTCTTCTCTCACCTTTTGTTGATTCTTGCTCCTTGCTCATATTCCTCATTCATCCCTTCTTTCTCTCCATACTCATTGAATTTTGATATAGAGTTTTTAATATGATATTTTTATATAATATGTTATAGTTCGAAGACTATTGTACTTTTAACTTGTAAATACATGTACTTTTCAATTGTATTCTAATGGCAATTCAATAAATTGTAAGACTGCGACGATGGAATTTGTTCAATAAAACCTTTCTAATGAGCAAAGGTCATTTATACTAAATTTATTATTAAAAAAACACAGACATTAATATTGGATAGGTGCTCATGAAAATTATGTAATCATTCAATACATTAATTTCATGCAGCAATGGTCATGATGGTGCTGTCCATGAGATCATATTCGTTTTCTTATTTGATTGTCAGAAATCTTTATCTATGACTTAAAGATAAAATGGAGGTCTGGTCATGCGATTGCATTGTGAAAGAAAGATGGGGATTGAATCAGACAAAAATGATCAAATAGCATGTAAATATTGGTGTGTGCTGCAAGGTTCTGGAGTGAAAATCATAAGAACTTTGGCCCATGCTGTCTTGGTAACAAGCACTGTACACAGAAAGATTTGTTGGGACTACACAAATGTTGTCGGGACTGCTTAACAAGATTTACCTATCTTTCTATGCTAATTACTCAGCCAGTATACATTTTCTACCCAAATTGTTTGGCAATTGACATTTATTTGTAATCTTGAACATTCAGTGTAAGTTTCTTTTGATTCTGTAACAATTCATTTTTTTTTTTTAACCAGAACTCAAATTTATCTTTGATATATCCCCTCCTTATATAGCTGCAAGAGAATCCTTGGTCCGCCACTGATCGGCATCCTTCAAAGTGCTCTTGAGAATCCTGTAAGCCAGTCATTATAGATAACAATTATCAGTTCAACGACTCGATGGTGTCAATTCAGTATCAAATGCACATCACATGATCGCCAGAGGGGTCGAAAATGTCCCCCTATACTAGTATTTTGCATACTTTCAGAAACGTTTCCACAAAATATGACCTCTCTCTCTGCTTGAACGCAGGTATGAAATAGGATATACATAAATAGCAATTTTTCGTTTATCCTTTACATATATCCACAAAAAGTACCCTATTTTCATGAAAGCATTGTAAGTATGAATTCACAATCGTGTTTGCGAACTTCGTAAAATTATGACCCTTTCCCACTAAATTTCTAGCTTTTTCAAAATTACAAACAAACAAACAAAATAGCAATTAAACAATGTACCTCTTTTCTCATATCTAAACAAATGATAATGGTAATGTTATACCTACCACTGGATTCAACAAAAAACGTGGGTTCATTTTAGGGTATGTTGTTAGCCATAAGTATCACGTAGTCATCAGTAAACAATGTCGAAATATATGTAGGCATATTATCTTCAGTTTTTTTTTTTTTTTTTAAATTTGTACTTGCTTTGTACATGAGCTCTGACATCGGGCGGAACCAGGAACTTTGGAAAAGGGAGGATGAAAAACAAAAAAATTACTCACAAGCAAAAACAAAAAATGAAAATAAGTGTGCACATTTTCATGTGCATTCTTGGTCTAGCATTTGATTGTAAAACTAGGGGGGGGGGGGGGGGTGGGGGCGGTTGACACGAAAATACGTATCGAGGTTACGTTCTGGGCCCTGTTTCATAAAACTTGATATCAATAACAAGTTACAAGCTACTGTTATAAGCTACTGTAATCATGGCCTCTGATTGGCTGAGGGCAAATTTGTCATAGAAATTTAGCAGTTGTTATAGATAACAAGTTTTATGAAACGGGCCCCTGGTGCACGTCATAATTTAATCACTATTGAGCTATGAATGGGGGGGGGGGGTGCACGGCCTTTAAATCCTCCAATGTGTCCGTCGGTAACTTGGAGTATCCTAGGCGAAGAACAGCCCATGAGACCAAGAGGGGGAGGGGAGGGGGGTGCAGAATGTTTGATAGTCGATGAAGTCCGCGGTGTAAGAGTTAGGGCGGGGACGAAACATGACAACGCGAATATAGCATTATCTTGTAGAAGGGTGAGGGAACTGGGGAAGGGGCAGTTGCCTGAGTGTTAATTTTATTTTAGGGGTAGCAAATTGAAAGGGTGTATTAGCCTTGTTTTTCTTCGATCTTCTTTTTGTTCGCTTGCTTTCCCCATTTCTTCCTTTTTTTTTATTCGAGGAGGGGGAGAGGGTATATATTTAGTTGGATATATATATTCAAAGTTGAACCTCTTTGAAAGTATATTTTATCTTTTATCCGTTTGTTTGATAGTGATTATCATTCAGGATGCGTTTCGACGATATTCTTGGTGAGCTGGGCTCGTTCGGGCCCTATCAGAGACGCGTTTATCTGGCCGTATGTTTGATGGCAGCTACCACTGCATTTCACTCCATGACGCAAGTTTTTATAGCTGGGACTACAGATCATTGGTGTACGGTAAGGAGAAAAGGAAATTGTTTTTTATTAGAAAGAAATGGATTAGAAAGATATAGATAGATTGAGAAACTTACAGATAATAATAATACTAATAATCTGGATTTCTACAGCGCTTGATATGAAATACCGCCTCTAAGCCAAGAGAGAGATGGAAAAAAAGGGCCAAAAAGGTCATAGAACAGAAAGGAATGCTAGAATGCTCCCCGAGAGCGGAGAATGTGCAGACATTTATACGTGGGCAAGCCTGAATGAAAGGAGTAATATTACATGTATACATCTACAAATGGCTTACAGACATCGTCAGTGTATTAAGAGCTATATATAAACCAAGAACATTATCACTATTTTGTTCAAACCAGGCTGAAAACTGGGAGAATGAGAACTGCACTGAGTGGAATTTATCTGTTGAGGAGTGTGAGGAGGCGAAGAAGAACGGTAGTATCCCAGTCCGTTACGGGGACGACGGGGATCTCGTCTACGATCAATGCTATATGTATAACATCACAGGTAAAAGTAGAAATTAAAAAATTATAGTATAAAAGTTATTTTCCATAAATAAATGCCGGCCACATAATTATTATATACAACAACACATGAATACATATACACAATACAAGCACATGCATGACGCTCGAAACTCTTGCAATATAGACTACCTATTATTTATTGGCTTTAAAAGCGAATGAAAATTGTTCATTCGCTTTATTAATATTGGAATGTTTAACTACTTTACAAGCAATTGCACAATCTTCTGGTGTCAATCTTTGACTTCGAACTACTTTAATGAACGAAAAAGTGAATGAATGAATAAGTAAATAAATAATTAAAATTAATAAATAGATAAGTAAATAAATATCATGAATAAATAAATAAAAAATACATAAATGAATAAGTACATGAATAAATAAATGATAATTATACATGAATGATGATTTTTTTTTTTCTTTCGCACAAAGGCGTGGATTTTGACCCATCATACAATTCGCCGACGAATGGTAGCGCCGAGACTTTGCCGTGTCAAGATGGTTGGGAACACGATAAGAGTCAACTGAAGTCATCCATCATACAAGATGTCAGTTTTCTTTTTAAAAAATTTCTTATTGTCTGCATATAATTTGGCTTAGAAAGCAGCAGCCTTGCATGCTTACCTCAGAAGAACAGAATGGCCTTCCTCACTTTAACACCTCCATTAAGAATTGAATACTTTTATAGCCATTCATTTTTATAGTGCATTCAATATTGTGTGGCATGATAAATAAACTCATGATAAATAAATCCTAATAGTTAATATTAGCTTGAAACACCCTGTTGAAAAGGTTGCAATGAGTTCTTAAGACCGTTTAGATTTTGTATAATATTAAATCAAATTTTGATTCCTGTGTATTGACTACAACGGCTGTGTCTCCAGAACAAACAAAAAGGATCAATAAGAAAACATAATCAAAAAAGAATTCTGGCCATGTTTGCTACGATCTCTGACAAACTCTGTTAGATGGAGCCCAATTATTATCCAATAAACTTTTATTACAAATGTGTTTTTTTGCAGTGGGATCTAGTATGTGAAAAGAAAAACTTGCCCGACTACGCTCAATCTGTGTTTTACTTTGGTTATATGGTTGGATCTATCTTCTTTGGGGTCCTTGCAGACAAGTGAGTCCAAAGAAATTTTCTTTCTTTCTTTAAATTGTTTATTATTTATTAATTTTGTTTGTATTCATTCATTTATTTACCTAGTTATTTGTTTATTTTAAAGATATTTATTCATCTCTCTGTTTATCTATTTATTAACTTATTCAATTTAATACTCATTTCTCTTTTTATTTTCTTTGATCATCTCAGAATTGGGCGATATCCTACTTTGTTCATTTGCCTCGGTGTCCAGGCTGGTGTAGGTGTACTCGTCGCTTTCTCACCTAACTACTGGGTGTATATTGTCCTTCGATTCTTCCAAGCGGCTGGCAACAAGGCTGTTTTACAAGTTGCATTCATCATAGGTATAATAATCTGTTTTAATCAGTCAAAGTTTGTGTTCTAAATGCTTTCTGATTTTGATGCGCATTGAGCATTCAATTCAATTTCGGTTTATTAATATCAACATATACAATGTACAATGCAGTAGTCCAGGGACCAATAATGCAATGTTTACATAAAATGTGCATAAAAACAGAAATGTACAATACAAATGATAAAAAATAAAGTAAACATAATAGTATCGTAACAAAAATGAATGGGACAGATACTAGGTTCAATCCACTGATTTAATTTACGCCTCTCTATATCCACACCGACCCACATGCACACACACTCTCTCTCTCTCTCTAGCTTGTCCTCTTACGTCTCACTCTCCCTACCATACTCTCTTTCTCTCGTTCTCTCTTCTTCATTTAGCTTAAATGCATGCATCTTCCTGTCCTTATTTTTGGTTTCCACGGAATCTTCCCAAGTTTACCTTGAAAGTATTCATCTTGTAATAAGATGCTTTTGATCGTATTACTCCGATACTTGTCTCTATAAAATTGATAGTTTTGGTTGACTTATAGTTGTGATGTTTTTTGGGGAAAATAAAATCGTAAGAACAGGAAGTCAGTTAAAAGTAGCGTACCGGTAACCTGGTCGTTTCATTTCGGCATAGTATTGGCTGTTTAGTTCTACGTATAGTGAGAAGTATATTCAAAACGAAAAGCCCCTCCATTAACATTCAATTTCGTAGTTGCGTACATGCATTGTATATTAGGCTACTAAGTTTTAAAAACTATATATGTAAGGTGCGTTGGAGAATGTATGGTGAAAAGGAATAAATTTCACGTCTTTCTTCTTTTGAATATAAATTATTAAAATGTCATTATTACAGGTGTTGAGTTTGTAGGACCAAAATGGCGGACGGTGGCCGGTATTACCATCCAGATTTTCTTCGCCTTCGCCTACATGCTTCTTGCTATCATCGCATACTTTGTCCGGTATTGGAGGACTCTGCAGCTTATCATCTCTGCTCCACTGTTCCTTTTCTTCCTGCTCATGCCGTACGTCTGTTTTAGTTATTCTATTTTTGCTGTAATCAAAATTATGGTGGCCCTGATAGGACATCGCGAAAAGACGAAATCGCGAATTATTCCAGACGAAGTTGGCGACGAAATTCACGATATCGTCAATTTCATCGTGAATAACTGGCGATAAAATTCACGACGTCGTCAATAGACGAAATCGCGAATTATTCACAACGAAATTGGCGACGAAATTCACGATATCGTCAATTTTATCGTGAATAATTGTCGATAAAATTCACGACGTCGTCAAAAGACGAAATCGCCAATTATTCTCGGCGACATTGACGAAATCGTGAATTTCGTCGCCAATTCCGTCGTGAATAATCCGCGATTTCGCCTATTCGCCATGTTCCTTCAGGGCTACCATACAAAATAACGCCGTCATCATAACAAACATCGACTTTCCACGAATTTGGGTGTCCTGCCAGTGTCACAAATAAGGTATACAAATATGCTTTTCTGACCGTTATTTATTGAACAAAACCTTTGAGCTTCCGGGGCTCCGGCCCCTGGACCCCACACCAATTCGTGACATGCCAGCGTCACAATTAAGGTATAAAAAATGCACATCTGACGATAATTTAATGTATAAAACTCCTGAGCTTCTGGGGGCTCCGCCCCCCCCCCGGACCCAATGCCAATTTGTGTCCTTCCAGTGTCACAAATAAGGTATAAAAATATGCTCATCTGACCGTTATTTATTGCCCCAAACCCCTGAGCTTCCGGGGGATTGGCACCCTGGACCCCACGCCAATTCGTGACCTATCAGTGTCACAAATAAGGTATAAAATTATGCTCATCCGACGGTAATTTGATGTATAAAACCCCTAAGCTTCTGAGGGCTCCGCCCTGGGAAAAAAAACGTGTAAAAACACGTTAATTTTACCTATTTTTTTTTAGATAGGCCCCCGTGGTGTTCAAGGGGGAGGGGGTGGGGGGGGGGGGGGGGGCGGGGGGGAGGGGGGGGGGTAGTGAGCACTAATTTTTTTTGGGGCCCTCGAAAATTTGAAAAATCGCACCCGCCCTACTTGAACGCCAGGGGGGGGGGGGCTTTTAATTTGCTTTAAAAAAACTTGAGTGAAAGTGAATTGATTCTGTTTTATTCTTATTTTATTAGCTTCGTACCAGAATCAGCTCGCTGGCTTCTGTCTCATGGTGATAGCAAGAAAGCCGAGAAGATTATTCAGAAAGTCGCCAAGGTCAATAAAAGAAAACTACCTGATCCGCTCTTCACAGAAGAAGAAATAAAAGAACAGGTACGTTTGGATCATGTTCAGAGAACTTCTTTATTTTTTTTAAATCCTGATTTAAATAAAGACTGTTTTTAGTCGCCGGTCTTGGTGTGTATCAGTTATGTGACAACAGTATTTACTATCACAATATATGCATGAAAACAGATGAAAGTAAAATGTCAAAGCAAATCATTCTTTGCAAGAATTCGTTCAATTATTGATGACGATTGTCATATTCCCCGCATCTCAAGATGTGTATGATATATTCTAAAGTGTTCTATCTTATTCGTATTCGTGTCAAGGAAGCCGTTAGTTTAGAGCCAAAAGCTGGCATCTTCGATCTCTTCCGAACACCCGTACTCCGTTGGAGAACCATCAACTTCATTTATAACTGGTGAGCCATTCTGATGATCATTTGGGACGTCCTGCATTAAACGTTGCCATCAATCGAAGCTGATTCGGCTTTTATTCTGACTGGGAGAGTTTAATAAACTAAATTCCCGTTGTTAATATATTTATCATTATTTAAAAGCTAACTCAGGGTATTACTTAATAAAAAAAAAAGATTTCCTATCTATACAATTGCTAATTTTTCGAAATACGTGTTTGCGATGGGCTTAAGAACCCATTCTGGGTTGAACCAAGGAGTTCCTAGGTTGAACTGCGCTATATACAAGCTATACTCTTTTGCAAAAGGAATTGAACATATATGATAATAGCATTTATAGTAATTCACAGCTGTATCACAAAGCCTTTACTTTCATTAAAATCTTACTTCTATTTTCTTCAAAGGATGGTTAATAATATGGTGTACTATGGATTGACGTATAGTACTGGTGACCTCGGGGTCAATGTCTACCTGAACTTCTTCCTGTCTGGAGCAGTCGAGATCGTCGGTTACCTCTGTGCCATATTCGCCATCGAATTCTTTGGTCGTCGCCCTAGTATTGCTACTTTCCTTTTTATTGGTGGATCTGCATGTCTCATCAACATTGGTCTACGTACGTAGTCATTCACTTATTTTTAGTTTATGTATCTTATTTTTTTTAAACCAACTTAGTTATGTGTAGCACTCAGAATAGGGGGTTTCTTTCACGAACAATGGCCAAAACATGGTGACCCAAAGGTTTCGCTAAAGGGAATTACAGGCGCACCGGTTCTATAGAAGAATAATTATTTTTATTCAATTATTATTTAATTCTTTTGTTTTCTGGAAGGGGGGGGGATGTCGGGGGCTTTTGTGCTTTAAAGGTATTATGTCCCATTTGCAGGCCAAACAAATGCAAAAGTTAAATTCCAACTGCATTTGAAAGATAATACTAATTTAGAACTTCCCTAAAAAAAGGTGGGGCTTGAAAATGTCTTCAAGTGGGAAAATAACGACTATTAGTTGTCAAATCGACTTTAGGGCTATAAAGCCCAAAAGTAATAGTCTTGATTTTCAGACAATTGTACCGAATGGTCATACGTTTTATGCTGCGCAAAGATTCAATCAGTTTAATCTTGGCCATCACAAGAAGTGGGTTATTGGTGTAGACAAATGCTCATGTACCCTTTACAACTCTTTTCATGTGGGTTATTACCAAAGAAGAAAAAAAGCCAGTCAGTCACTCAATAGTGTCTGACAGTGAAGTCTAGCAAGTAAACGGGTTTCCTTGCATAATTTGAATATGAGGGCACTGCTAACATTTAAATTTCACAGGTAGGACATACATGATATATTCATAATTCCTGCAAAGTTTTACAGCATTTGAGGTTGGCTGCAAAAGGGACATAGTACCTTTAAGGGCCTTTGGGTTCTTGCATTATTTTTCTACATGTATCTCGCTTTGATTTATTCTAAAGGTATTTTTGTAGCCCCAGGCCCCTACTAACACCGCTACTGGAAAAACGTGAATGCAATAATTCCGCGACCAAAATCGTTTAATTTTTTCTCCTATAAAACTTAATAAATTGTTTTGATTTATGTACAACTGAAAAATGTGAGCAGTACATTTTTTTTTCTCCAACGAAATAATCATCTAACGGGTCTGGAATATCACGACAAACATAGATTCATATGGAGCATTCTGTATATAATTTCACTCTAATAATGCTAGGTTGTCTTTTTTGATTTTATCAGCCATTGGTACCTGGAACACAGTGGTTGCCCTGACAGGGAAGTCATCAATATCGGCTTCCTATGCCATAGTCTACGTTTACTCAGCAGAGTGTTTCCCAACGCCTGTCAGGTAGGTATATCAAGTAACCCTTAACTAAGGTTGCACGGGGCGGGGGGGGGGGGGGGTACGTGAACCGCCTCCATCGAATGCGAAAGGGGGAGATATGGAGGGAAATGAAGAGAAGAGTAGATCAGAGGAAAGAAGAGAGAGAGAGAGAGAGAAAGAGAAAGAGAGAGAGAGAGAGAGAACACAAAACAAAATCAAACAAACAAAAAAAAGAATAGAGGGAATAGATTATTTAAAGAATTTTGTTAATGTTTTGTAAAATGTATTATGCTTTGTTAATTTTGGATGGAATATGAATAAAAAGCAACCGATCAATCTGTTTGACTTCTATGGAATCACAGGAGCATCGGTGTCGGGACCTGTTCCATGATGGCACGCGTGGGGGCCATCATCTCACCCTTGATTCTCATCCTGGGGGACTACTATTACCCCGCCCCTCTCATCATCTTTGGCACCACCACCATCTTGGCTGGTTTCCTCTCCTTCCTCCTCCCCGAGACGCGCGGCAAAAAACTTCCCGAAACCGTCGAGGAAGGGGAGATTTTCGGAACGTAAGTATGATCATGTTAATAATGTAATGATAATGATCTCATTTACCCAGGGAAGCCTCATTCCTATTAAAAGTCCTACTGTTCTTGAAGATGGCTCTGCAATCCTTTCCACACCATCATTAATTGCGAGATACCCGTTTACTATATACCTGGGTCGAGAGGAACAGACATCTTCCAGTGGTGTTAGACGGGATCGAACCTAGGACCTTTCGTATAGGAGTCAAGGGCCTTCACTAATATACCTCTGTTTCCCCCACTATGCTACAGTGTCCCCCTGTCAAAAAATTATGTGAAAGCTATATTAGTATCTAACTCTTTCGACAGTGTCGTGAAACTGTTTATCAATTGCCTTAGTATTTGAGGAAAGATATCTTCGTTTGCTTCCTAGTGGTGTTGTTGGGGCTATTTGTGTTGCCGGTGGTGTTTGGGATGATTCTGATTAACAAATATACGCAGCGATCATATACTCTACGTCTTTTACATGTAGCAATAGTATTCACAGTAGCCTACATGAGTAAAACATGTTGAAAAATTGAATCCTTTTAATTATTTTCATTTAGGAGTCTATACGGAAATTATTTCGTGTTCCGAACGGTGTGGAAATTTAGCAAGCGCACATGCATGAGATGATAGAACATGTTTGTTTTGCAATGTCATTATGACCCTCCCTCGCTTCCTTGTACAAATAATATTGTTCTTGCTTTAAATTCAAATGACATTTTTTGGAACGCTTGCTCAGTAGAATAATTATGAAAAATGTTACAAGAGTAAACATTGGAGGATTATAGGAGAAAATTCTTGTTCGATTTCAAAGCAAATCTTAGTCATAATTCCGACCTCTTTTCATTTTTAGGAAAGTATACGATGACAAGATAGCAGCTGACGAGGCCAAGAAGAAGGAAAGAGATGACATCACTGAAATACCACTCGATGACGTCACTGAAATACCACTCGATGACATTAACGATGGAAAAGCACACACGAACGAAGCTTTTGAATCTGATAATCGTGTTTAGACGCCGACGTGTGATGCCCGTTATACATGGGGGATCATTTTTGTTGACGTAGGCCGGCTATGTCAGAGACAGGCGAATAGTCTTTGACGCCCTAATTTGAGAATGAAATGACATAATGATGATGATAATAATAATAATAATGATAATGATGATGAGAACAATACTTTTGAAAAGGGCCAATTTTAAAGGATGCACACGTTGCGTTTAATCCGTACACGTATTACGTTTCAATCACTGATGCATGTGCTAATTGCCTTGACGTACGCCAGGCTTGATTAGCACAGATAATAAAGAAATCGAATGACGTCTCGTGTCCAATTTTTATAACTCCCGTATACTTGTATAAGTTTTCTGTGTCAGACATAATTTAAATCAACATATTTTCATTTGCATTTGCATTTTCATCATCATTAATATCAAAATCATCACCATTATCATCGCAATTTGAATTGGGGCCTCAAAATGTAATGAAGATATAGAATGAGAAGGAAGACAAGTGAATTTTGTACATAATGATTTTTTTTTTCTTTATCTTGGTGCTGACTTTCAGGTTGTTATTGACAAAATACCAGGTTATAACTATGATAGAAAATTTGACAAAGAAAAACGCCAGATGATTTCTTGGATCAAAAGGAACATTACGGTTCTTGGAAGAGTTACAGCTGCTAAATCATTACTGTTACTACAGTTTAATCATCTTTTTATGGCAATCCCAGATCCTTCAGCTAAGTTTATGAAAACCATAAAAGTTAAGTTCTTTAACTTAATATGGAAGAATAAGCCAGATAAAATTAGTAGGAAACAGGTTGTTGGCACATATGAAGAAGGGGGACTTAAAATGCCAGATATTGAGTTTTTTAACATGCTACTAAAGTTAACATGGTATCGAAGAATGGTTTTAGGAACATGTAATGATGTTAGTCATTTAATGCAATCGTTTTTAACAAAACTATTCGTAGTAGGGTTTGGTGATAAATATTTTTTGGCATTGTCTCATGAAGTTGCTAATCCTTTTTGGAGACATGTGTTTCACGCTCTGTCTTTGTTGAGTCGTATAAAGGGAGATGATTGGTTAACTTATCCATTGTGGAGAAATAGCTCAATAAAAATTGGACAAAAAATCTGTATTTTTAAAATCTTGGTATGAAAAAGGCATGAGATGTATAAATGATTTGATTGATGATAAGGGAAAACTTCTGACTCGTGAGCAATGTGAACAAAAATTCTGCTTGAAACTATATTATTTGTCTTATTATTCTGTAACTGAAGCTATAAAGTGTCGATATCAAATGGATATTGAAAAATGTGAAAAAAATGTAGTAGATCCTCTAATGCCGTCACATATCAACATATTAGTACATGACATAAAAGGTTGTCAATATATTTACAAAACTGTTCTGGGACAAACATATTGTATGCACTCAATATGTCTGAAATGGGAACGACATTTAGATTACACCCCTGAATGTCCAGGAATGCAGAAATATCATAGCATGATATTTCGTTTTACTCCAGATATCGGTTAAAGATATTTTCAGTATAAGATAGTAAATAGGATTCTGTATTTGAACAAGCAACTGTATAAGATGAAAATAGTGAGTAATGATAAATGTTCGTTTTGTAACAAAGAGCTGGAAGATATTGTACATTTCTTTTACAATTGTGAAATCAGTAAATCAATCTGGAATGAAACGGTGAAATGGATGAATGAAGGTTCTCGATTACATATAGAGTTCAATTTAGAAAAATGTAATTTTTGGTTTTGAAGACAAAAGAAACAATGCTTTAAATTGAATGGTGACTATGATTAAGCATCAAAAATTTGTTCAAAGACGAGAGATATATTCATTCTATATCTGGTATGTATAACATTTTTTTTTACTGAATGGCAGTCACTTCAACATTTGTTTGTATGAATTAACAACAAGGAGAGAAATGTGAAAGTATTCTGTTTTGTTTGAGTTAAGGAAAGACTTAATTTCATTGAATTGTACAAATATTTGTTTGACTCAATAAAATAGCTTATAGAGGGCTAAAACGTTTATAAACAATAAAAAAAAAAAAAAAAAAATATCATCAAAATCATCACCATTATCATCATTCACAGCACCGGGTTTAATTATTTTTAAGTCTTATCATGCCACAGGGCTAATCCCCATTGTGCCAAGCCCCAAATCCCCCCGTGTCAGGTTGTTTTGGAGATAATCTCATTAACGCGTCGGTTCTATGAATTGCGAGTGCAAAATACACAGCACAGTCCAATGAGCATGAACAATAACTGCTATTACAAATGGTGCATTGCACGCAAATGGCACTCAAGCGATAGCTCTCTCGCATGGACAAAGCAGGATAACGATAGCGTGCATGCAACCTCATGGCAGGCCATGAGTTAAATCACGATTTAAGGTGAAAAGTTAAATATGATGACAATGGAATACAATTGTTGTATAAATCATTATATTTTCATAATATTTTTATAAATTCATGATATGGTTATTTGTGAGTCCGTGTTGAAAAAAACAAGCATTATCATTAAACTGTCAAGCCCTATAACCCCAAACCTCCAACATTATCTGTTATTTATCAATAGTGATTTTTCAAGAGGGAAATTTGAAAGTGGCATGTATGGTGAGAAAGAGAGAGAGAGAGAAGGGACAGAGAAAGAGAGAGAGATAAAAAAGGGGCGGCATACAAAGTAAAAGGAAGGGGAAAACAGGGGGGGGGTGATTCACTAAGCCCTAAAATCGATCTAAAAATCTTTTTTTTTTTTTCTTTTTTTTTTTTGTTAAATCAATTTTAAGGGGCTAAAATCGAAATTGATTTTAGTTGATGAAACACCTCCTGACCATGTAAAGGCCTACCCGGGAAATTGGGAGGAGAGAAAATGTCATGATTCATTTCATGGGAATTTCTCGAATTTCTAGGCTCAACGCGCACATTATTAATATCCTTAAGCGCTGCAAGTTACTTTGCACGTTATGTTTTCAAAATGACACGCAGCTCCTCTTACACTTTTTAAGGATCTGAAATAAAGTATTATAGTACTAATGACTGCTTTGAGAGACATTATTGTTTTTATACGCTCAAGGGGAGGTTACAATTGAGCTATTGCCCGAGGCAAAGCAGTCATTATTACTTTTATATACCGAAAAGGGTCATAGAATACATGTGCGACCAATCATGGTAATCAAGTTTGTTTACGCTATCTGAGTTTTTTTATATCCCAAATCATTTGGTATCATATTTGTATGGTATCACGCTTGGATAAACAGGAAGCATTGTTTGCGCCTAAGTGATGCCTACAGCAGTGGCGGATCCGGGGGGGCCGGACCCTCCCCCCCCCCCCCTGGCAAAAAAAAAAAGAATGGAAAAAAGAAGGGAAAAAGAAGGGAAAAAAAAGGGGAAAGAATTTTTTTTGTTGGTGCTAAAGAAAGCAAGAACAAAGAAATTTTCCCTTCGCCCCCCCCCCCCCCCACCAAAGCCACTGAACGAAATATTTGACGACGTAACTTTTCCGGGCCCAAATATTTATTTAATTTTTTGTTGTTGCTCAACTGACCATGATTAAATGCTAAAAACCCCTGAGCTTCTGGGGTCTCGGGGCCCCTGGACCTCACGCCATTTAGTGTCCTGCCAGTGTCACAAATAAGGTATCAAAATATGTTCATCTGACCGTAATTAAATGCCTAAAATCCCTAAATTTTCGGGGCTCCACCCCCTTGACCCAACCAGGGGCCTTAAGGCGGGCCCCTGCATGCTTGTCTGACCGTTATAGAATGCCTAAAACCCTTGACCTTCTGGAGGCTCCGCCCCCTGGACCCCACACCAATTCGTGACCTGTCAGTGTCACAAAAAAAGGTATATTTATGCTCATCTGACCGTAATTTATAGCCTAACACCCCTGAGCCTCCGGGGGCTCCGCCCCCTGGACACAACACCAATTTGTGTCCTGCCAGTGTCACAAATAAGGTATCGAAATATGCTCATCTGACGGTATTAATTGAATATATGAAACCCCTGAATTTCGGGGGGCTCCGCCCCCTGGACCCTACGCCAATTCGTGATCTGCCAGTGTCACAAATAAGGTATAAAATTATGCTCATCTGACGATAATTTGATGTATAAAACCTCTGAGCTTCCAGAGGTTCCGCCGCCCGGACCCCACGCCAATTCGTGACCTGCCAGTGTCATATATAAGGTATAAAGTATGCTCATCTGATGATAATTTAATGTATATAATCCCTGAGCTTCTGGGGGCTCCGCCCTCTGGACCCCAGTGTCAGAAATAACGTATACAAATATGCCCATCTTACTAAAATGCCTATACCTCCTGAGCTTCTGGGGGCTCCACCCATTGACCCCCGCCGAGAAACGTTCAGCGGGGCCTGCACATAAGAGTGATGGGGATTTTTTTTTGTCTACCCCCCCCCAACGTTTTTGCCACTGCCAATGTCACCATAACGTACCAATATTTGGCTCGCATAATTTTGAATTTGCCCCCCCCCCCCACCCTAAGAAATCCTGGATCCGCGCCTGGCCTACAGTATGTATTATGTTAGGATTAGCGGAGAGATGAGGTAATGAATTGAATGTATCAAATTAAATGCATTGCATATGCTTTTTGCAGAAGCAAAGACACACACACACACACGCACACACGCGCACGCGCACAAGTGTTTGTTGATATTTGATATGTGTGACATGATAATTTTGATAGGGATGTTATTTGGACCTGCAAAGACCGAATTAAAACCCAAATTCCAATTGTTTTATTCAAACATCACATAGCAGGGTCTAAGCAACTTTGGCACAAGTCGATCTCGCAGACAATGCCTCCTGTTCATCCAACACATACCACACAAAAATGATACTAAATGATTTGGGAGAAAACATTCTTTCATAAGATGTATAATAATTTACTGTTCATAGATGATTTTAAAAATAATTAGCAATTTTCTAGGTGTAAACGCTTTGTTGGACTCACACTGTATATGCAGTCTAGATCTACGTGCATTAACAAAATTATTTTTAAAACGAGATGCAAACCTTTCTTGCTTGTGTTCCTGAACTTGAAGGTGATACTCAAAAAATGAGGTGTCATATGAAAGAGCAGGTTTTTCCAAAGGGGCGTCATTTCGTCGTTACATGTAGATCAAGGCCTACAATCGAGATCGGCGGTCGTCTGCACTGTGTGCAAATGTAGCAACCAAATTAATTGCCCAAAAACTGCGTGGTAGCCGCGCTGCGCATTCCACAAAAAACTTTAACACGTAAACCAATGCACATTCCACAAAGAAATTGTTAACACGTGAACCAATGGATATTTCAGCAAGACTGAACTATTTTCCGGGTAACTGGAATTTTGCTGATTTACTCTAGAACTATTACATGGGTTAGGCATTTTTCGTTTATTTACGGGAATGGCTAAAACCACGACTGCAATTTCGACCAATCAGATGGCTAGATTTCTTAAGTGAGGTATATATATACCTCACTATAAAATCTTAAGTGAGGTATATATACCTCACTCACTTAAGATATCCAGATATCTGATTGGTCGAAATTTCAGTCGTGATTTTAGCCATTCCCGTAAAGAATCGAAAAATGCCAATGCCATTTAAAAATTCCAGTTACCGGGAAAATAATAAAAAATCTCGCTGCGATACCCATTGGTTTACGTGTTAAAATGTTCCTTGAGCGAGCGCGGACATCATACAGTGCTTTTTGTCTGCGATTCCCAACTGATCGAAAATTTCAGTCATTTTTCGGGCGGTGATAAACAGACAGCCGTTCATCAGATTTTCCATGATGTTTTAACCAATCTTTACTCGATAACAGGATAAGGTAAGAATTATTGGTAGTTCGACGGGCATCACACGTCGGCGTCTAAACACGATTATCAGATTCAAAAGCTTCGTTCGTGTGTGCTTTTCCATCGTTGATGTCATCGAGTGGTATTTCAGTGACGTCATCGCCTTCCTTCTCCCTGGCCTCGTCATCTGATATCTTGTCATCGTATGCTTTCCTAAAAATGTAAGAATATCGCAATTCTACTGACTAAGATCTGACTTGAAATCGAACAAGAATTTTCTCCTATAATCCTCCAATGTTTACTCTTGTAGCATTCTCCATATACTACTGAGCAAGCGTTCCAAAAAGTGTCATTAAAATTCAAAGCAAGAACAATATTATTTGTACAAGGAAGCGAGGGAGAGCCATAATGATATTGCAACAAAAAACATGTCCTGTGCCTGCGCACTTGTTAATTTTCAATCCCGTTCGGCACATGAGAGATAACTTTTCTGGCCTCCTAAATAAAAATACCTAAGATGAGACAATTTTTCAACATGTTTTACTCAAATAATGTAAATGTCTATTGCAACATGTAAAAGACGAAGAGTATGTGATGGTTGAGTGTATTTGTTTATCAGAATCATCCCCAACACCAAAGGTACCAACTGGGGCACCACCAACACCTCGAACAACACCACATGGATGCAAATGAAGACATATTTTCTCAAATATGAAGGCAAATTAATCAACATTTTCACGACGATATCGAACATTAAGATAGTAATAGAGCTTCGACATAACACTTTTGATGAGGGGACACTGTAGCATAGTGGGCGAACAGAGGTATATTGGTGAAGGCACTTGACTTCCATACGAAAGGTCCAAGGATCGATCTTTCTAACACCACGGGAAGATGTTTTACCTGCATTTTGCTAATGTCGGTTCCTCTCGACCCAGGTATCTTAAACGGGTATCTAGCAATTAATGCTGGGGCTAATAAGGAAATTGAAGAGCCATTTTCAAGAACGGTAGGACTATTAATAGTAAAGCGGCTTCCCTGGGTAAATGATATAATTGTCATTACATTGTCATCATGATCATACTTACGTTCCGAAAATCTCCCCTTCCTCGACGGTTTCGGGAAGTTTTTTGCCGCGCGTCTCGGGGAGGAGGAAGGAGAGGAAACCAGCCAAGATGGTGGTGGTGCCAAAGATGATGAGAGGGGCGGGGTAATAGTATTCCCCCAGGATGAGAATCATGGGTGAGATGATGGCCCCCACACGAGCCATCATGGAACAGGTCCCGACACCGATACTCCTGTGGTTCAATACAAGTCAAACAGATTGATTGGTTGCTTTCATTCATATTCCATGCAAAGTTAACAAAGCATAATTTACCTTTTAATAAACATTAACATTATTTTCTTTAAGTAATATGGAGGTAAATAATCCTGTATCTTAAAAATTAATGACACGAAAGTATTTATGTTTACCACTAAATACGGAATTGAAAGTGGTTCTACTTAAAAGCTAGGCTTGTCGCGTGTAGGTTTAATGAACTGGATTATTACTACTGACTTAACATACAGAGACAAAAATAAAAAGAGAACTTATACAAAATACATGTAAAAGTAGAAGAGAGAGATATAGAGGAATATAGGGGGAGAGAGGGGAAAGGAAGATAGATAGATAGATATATAGGTGCGTAGAATAGCAAATGACAAAGCTAGAGCAAAAACTCTACTAGAAAATACTAAACTTATTTCTAAACAAGCTTTTGCCTTAGTCACAAACGGGTTTCAACATGTTATTTCCAAACTGAAGGCCATAATTCACGTTACAAAAGAATAAAGTTGTGTGATTTCGCAGAAGCGTGTTGTTCTTGTTCAATTTGAGACAACACATGATAATTCAATAACAGTCAGCCAGCTCGTAAACTCATTTATTTTTTAAAGGCTACATTTTTATGGCACACTTTTTTCATAAGTTTGTTTCTTCACCTGAACAGATTTACTAAGTGGCGTAACGTGGGTCAAGATATTTTAAGGGGGTGGGGGGGGGGGGGGGCATTGCCAACTTAGGGGACACCGACAACATTACGTGTCGATGTGGAGGGGGGGGGGGGGGGCGCTAATCTTATTTGATGGATGACATACGAATTGGTAGTATCTCCTTTTCACATTTCATATCCCTCTATTGTTTAGTTTGTTTGTTTTTGTTTGTCTTCTCTCCCTCTCTCTCTCTCTTTCTCTCAGCTGCTCTGCTCTCCTCTTCCCTTCTTTTCCCTCCCTATCTCTCCCCATGATCGCATTTGATGTGGGCGTTTCACGTACCCCCCCCCCCCCTCCTTCCCCTCCCGTGCAACCTCGGATAAATTATGTCACTTGACCTACCTGACAGGCGTTGGAAAACACTCTGCGGAGTATATGTAGACTATGGCATAGGAAGCCGATATTGCTGATTTCCCTGTCAGGGCGACCACTGTGTTCCATGTACCAATGGCTGATTATAATAAAAGAGATGAACTAGTATATTTAGAGTTAAAGGGGCTGTAGCATTACGAGACTATGCATCTTCCCCAAGGCTCACTCGGGGAAAATCGGGTATAATACGACTACGGACGACGCGGATAATTGCCCTAGGGGTCAGTTGTCCTAGGGGCTAGTTGTCCTAGGGGCTAGTTGAATGGGGGTGGTGATCCGGGGGTGGATGTCCAGGGGGTAGGTGTCTAGAACCGCGTGAAACATACGCTCACCCGAAGCGTGAGGAGATTTTCGGTCTGTTTCGCAATCGCTAGCGCTCGTTGACCCAGTTCATCAAGTCCATTCGTTTACGTGCAGTACTGTTGTCCAAAAGAAGACGTAAATGTCGTCACCAGTTTTTTTTCCATACTACCTACCCTTTAAATTATAGACGGAACGCTCCATATGAATCTGTACTTTTCGTAAAGTTCTAAAAAAAAATGTATTGTACTCATTTTATGTATCTTATGAACATTAATCAATTCAATTTATGAAGTTTTACAGAAGAAAAAACTAATAATTGAAGGACTTTGGTCACGGAATAAATGCAGGGAAGGGGTATCAATCATTTACATTTGCCAATAGTGGTTTTAGCGGGGGACTGGGGCTAAAAGTAATATATGTATAATAAAATCAAAGCGATATACATGTAGGAAGTTAATGCAAGAAGATAATGCAAGCCCCCGACACCCCTCCATAAAACAAAACAATTGAATGCTAATTGAATAAAAAGAATTGTTCTTTCATAACCTGCGCGCCTGTAATGACCTTTAGCGACACCTTTGGGTCACCATGAATAGGCCTTTGTTCTTGAAAGAAACTCCCTATTCTGAGTGCTACACGGAACAAAATTGGTTTTAAAAAATTATTAGAAAGAAAATATTCAGTGAATGACTACGTACGTAGACCAATGTTGATAAGACATGCAGATCCACCAATGAAAAGGAAAGTAGCAATACTAGGGCGACGACCAAAGAACTCGATGGCGAACATGGCTGAGACGTAACCTACGATCTCAACTGCTCCAGACAGGAAGAAGTTCAGGTAGACATTGACCCCGAGGTCACCAGTACTATACGTCAATCCAGAGTACACCATATTATTAACCATCCTTAGAAGAAAAAAGAGGTATGATTTTGAAGAAAGTAAAGGCTTTGCGATACAGCTGTTAATTACTATAAATGTATATTTTAGAGATCAATTCCTTTTGCAAAAGAGTGGCTTGTATATATCACAGTTCAACCAAGGAATGGTTAAACACAGAATGGGTCCCTAGGCCCATTGCACACACGTACTTCGAAGAATTGGAATTTGCACTAGATAGGATTTGTTTTAAGCTTCTAAATAACGATAAATATATTAACAACGGGAATTTTAGTTCATTAAACTCTTCCAGTCAGAATAAAAACCGAATAAGCTTCGAATGATGGCAATGTTTTATTCAGGAGATCCCTAATGATCTTTATCAGAATAGCTCACCAGTTGTAAATTAAGTTGATGGTTCTCCAACGGAGCTCAGGCGTTCGGAAAAGATCGACGATGCCTGCTTTGGGCGCTAAACTAGCGGCTTCCTTGAAACGAATACGAATAAGATACAACACTTTAGAAGATATTATACACATCTTGAGATGCGGGGAATATAACAAGTGTTATCAATAATAGAACGAATTCTTGCAGAGATTTGCTCCGACAATTATTTGTTTTCATCTGTTTGCATGCATTTTTGAAAGTAAATACTGTTACTTTGCGACAGGCATTTGATAGAACGGAGCCGATACACAACGAGACCTACGACTAAAAAACAATCTTTACTTCAATCAGGATTTTAAAAAAGATTAGAGAAATTCTCTGAGCGTGATCCAAATGTACCTGTTCTTTTATTTCTTCTTCTGTGAAGAGCGGATCAGGTAATTTTCTTCTATTGACTTTGGCGACTTTGTTAATTATCTTCTCGGCTTCCTTTCTATCACCATGAGACAGAAGCCAACGTGCTGATTCTGGTATGAAGCTAATAAAATAAAAATAGAACAGATTCAATTCACTTTCACTCAAGTTTTTCAAGGCAAATCCCAACCTTGATTCAGTTCCGAAGATTCTTTGGAAAGCACCAATAATACAACAAAAATGCTCATCACATCTACTAGAACTTCAACTACGGTGTCATAATCAAGGGGGGCATATTTTAGTTTTACTGAGTTTTTACTTAGTTTTTACTAATAATTATGACAGCAAAGATAGATAGATAAGATAGATAAGATAAAATAGATAAGATAAGATAGATAAGAAAAGATAATCAAATTTATTCCATTCATCATAAAAAACATTTAAATACAATAACATACAAAACCACAAGATATATAGTCAAAATAAAAAAAACATTGTGTAAGATTAGATGATCTGGACAACAACATAGAGAAAAGTGGGTATTTATGTGAATGATGAGGCAGCTAGAAAGGAAATGCCCTATTGGTGCTGCCACCTACAAAAGTACGATTGCAAGAATAATTGAAAAAGACGTACGGCATAAGTAAGAAGAAAAGAAACAGTGGAGCAGAGATGATGAGTTGCAGAGTCCTCCAATACCGGACAAAGTATGCGATGATAGCAAGAAGCATATAGGCCAAGGCGAAGAAAATCTGGAAGGTAATACCGGCCACCGTCCGCCATTTTGGTCCAACAAACTCAACAACTGTAAAAAATCAATTCAAGGTTTATTTTGAAAAACATATATGATGCATATGCTGCAGCTAAAAAGCTGAGATGTATATGTTTACAACTATTGAGGATACATATAAATAGAGAAGAATATTCATTTACAAAATACATAATCGTACAATAATGGCATTAGGGGGTGTAGCATGACGAGACTACGTGTCTTTCACGTGGCCTGACTCGGGGCCAATCGGGTATACGACTACGGACGACGCGACCGTATGCAGTCCACGTGCGTGCAACATACGCGAAACCGAAGCGTGCTTCGGTCGGTTTTGCAAACGCTAGCGCGCGCTGACCGTTAATCAAGTCCATTCGTTCACGTGCAGTTGTCCAAAAGAAGTCGTAGATGGCGTTAACCAGTATTTGCCATGCTACACCTCCTTTAATAATTTATATTCAAAAGAATTAAGAAAGACGTAAAACATTTTTTTTTCACCATACATTCTCCAACGCACCTTTAATTGTATACTTAGTAGCCTTACATTAAATGCATTGTAGGCAACTACCAATGTTTATGGGAGGGGCTTTTGTTTTTGAATATAATTCTCACTATACGTAGAACTAAATATGCCGAAGTGAATCGATGAGGTTACGCTACTTTTGACTGACTTCCACTTCTAACGATTTTAGTTTTCAAAGCAAACAGCACAACTGAGTCAACTAAGACTACTGATTATTTACAGAGACGAGTAATAATGATCAAAAGGATATTATCATAAGATGAATATTTTTAAAGTAAACTTGGGAAGACTCCGTATAAAGCAAACACTAGGGACAAGAATTAATACATGTCAAATTAAGCAAATGTGAGAGGAGGTGATAATGAGGGTGGGAGAAAGAGTGCGTGGGAGAGATAGGGAATACAGAATTAGCGAAAGAGAACGAGAGAACGAGAGAACGAGAGAAAGAGAGTAAGAGTAGGGAAAGTGACGTAAGAGGACAAGCTAGAGAGAGAGAGAGAGTGTGTGGGTGTGGGTGGGTGTGGGTATAGAGAGGCGTAGATTAAAGCAGTAAATTGAGGTTAGTCTGTCTCATGAATTCTTGTTAAGATATTGTGCTAAATGCGCATCAAATTAAGAAAGCATTTATAACACAAACAATGACTGATTAAAACAGATTATTATACCTATGATGAATGCAACTTGTAAAACAGCCTTGTTGCCAGCCGCTTGGAAGAATCGAAGAACAATATACACCCAGTAGTTAGGTGAGAAAGCGATGAGTACACCTACACCAGCCTGGACACCGAGGCAAATGAACAGAGTAGGATATCGACCAATTCTGAGATGATCGGAGAAAATAAAAAGGGGAAATGAGTAGCCTATTAAATTGAATGATTAACAAATAGATAAAATAAACGAATGAACAGGTAAAGAAGAGAGATGAATAAATGTATGTATTTAAAATAAACAAATATCTAGATATTACTAATTAAACGAAAGAATACAGAAGAAGAACAGATTTTTGTAAAGAAAGAAAGAAAATTACTTTGGACTCACTTGTCTGCAAGGACTCCGAAGAAGATAGATCCAACCATATAACCAAAGTAAAACACAGATTGAGCGTAGTCGGGCAAGTTTTTCTTTTCACATACTAGATCCGACTGCAAAGACAACATTTGAAATAAAAGTGTAATGAAAATAATAAATTGGGCTCCATGCAACTGAGTTTTTTTCCGAGATTTTTGCAAACATGGCCAGAAAATGTTTGATTTGTTGTTTTCTTGTATTGATTCTTTTTGTTTGTTCTTGTGACACAGCCGCTGTAGCCCATGCACATTATTCAAATTTGATATAATACACGTAACTTAAACGGTCTTAAGAACTCATTGCAACCTTTTCAACACGGTGTTTCAAGCTAATAATCATCATTCTGGATCATGTTTTAAATTTATTTATCATGCCACACAATATTGAAGGCACTATCAAATGGTCATAAAAGTACGGAGGTGTTAAAAATGAGGGAGGCCAATCTGCTCTTCTGTGGTAAGCATGGGCAAGTCTGCTTCCTTCTATATAGGCTAAATTGTATGCAAATAATAAAGAGAACTGACATCTTGGACGATGGATGATTTCAGCTCACTCTTATCGTGTTCCCAACCATCTTGGCACGGCAAAATCTCGGCGCTACCATTTGTCGGCGAATTGTATGATGGGTCAAAATCCACGCCTTTGTGCGAAAGAAAAAAAAAAAAAGAAATGTTTATTCATTCTTGTATTTATAATGACATTTTTTCATTCATTCATTCATTCTTTTATTTATGAATGTATTCATTCGTTCATTTTGTTCGTTCATTCAAATACGTGTAGTTCTAAGTCAAAAGATTGACACCAGGAGATTGTGCAGTTGCTTGTAAAGACATTCAATAATTAATAAAGCGAATGATAAAGCCAATAAAATAATAGGTAGCCTATATTCCAAGAGTTTCGAGCGTCATGCTGTGCTTGTATTGTGTATTTATGTGGCTGGGATTTATTTAAGTAAAATAATTATACTACAATTTTGTATGTTTACTTTTACCTGTGATGTTATACATATAGCATTGATCGTAGAAAAGATCTCCGTCGCCCTCGTAACTGACTGGAATACTACCGTTCTTCTTCGCCTCCTCGCACTCATCAGCAGACAAATTCCACTCAGTGCAGTTCTCATCCTCCCAGTTTTCGGCCTGGTTCATACAAAATAATGATAATATTCTTGGTTTATATCGCACTTTACACTCCGACATTGTCTGTATACGCCCTTTGAAAATGTATTACCCCGGTCATTCAGGCTTGCCCGCATGTCTGCACATTCTCCACGCCCGCGGAGCATTCTATTTCATTCTACAGGCGCTCACAATGCCGAGCAAACTACAATGACACTCATACCCTACCGGGTATATATCCATTTAAAGGTAATACAAAGTTTTGGGAAATTTTGAAAATTGGGTGGATAGTGATTCTTTACAATTTTGATATATTTCAACCGGCTCCGGCCGTACAATGGTAATTGTGGCCATGAAAATCTCAGAGTATGTAGTTGTGATATATAATTTCCAAACGGGAAAAGCTAATCGGTCGAATTTAGTCATTGCATAATTAATATCTTGACATTGAGAGGGAGCTATACAACATAAAGAGTTTATTATTTACAATTTCACAAGTTTAGACTCGATTTCAGCCGCGACAACGATCACTGAATATTATAAGATTGCATATGCTTCCAATATGTTCATCAATAGTGATCTGTCAGTTTATGACAGGTTCAGTGACCCATTGAAAATTCTATATCACGTGTCTCTCCAAGTTTCTCTCCAAGTTTCTCGGTCTTGAGCCAGCCGTTTCATCGTTTCATACCCTGTTGCTCCACATTGTGTGATAACATCATCTAGAAAGCCTTTACGAGGTCTTCCCCTCTTCTTCTTTCCATGAATACGACCTATGACTCTGAGCATCACGCCCTCATCATGCCGTATTAGGTGAATATGTTCATTTGAACCAAATTTATGAACCCATACCAAAACTTTGTATTAACTTTAACAACCTGCCGGGCGGAAACTGGCGAGTGTGGATTTTTGTCTTGCCAAAGGACGTTAGCCCGGCCCCCACTCAGTGTTATTTAGGGTACGCACATGCTCGTTCCCTCTTTTTGAAAGCACCCCCTATCTGAGGACTGCCAACATTTCCGGACCCCCCTTTCGCGGGCTTTTCGCGGGCTTTTCGCGGGCTTTTCCTGCCTTGGAGACCCCCTAAATCAGGAAAAATGCTCAATGTACCCCCCTAAATTCGGAATAACTTCTCAGGAGTCCAAAGAGATGAGGAGAAAAAAAGGAAAAACACCCCCTTTTTAAAGAAATCTCCGGGTGAAAAGTCAAATACACCCCTTTTTTTACAATGCTCGGGCCGGACTTTGTCGCACGAAAAGTACCCCTTTACCGGACATTTTGGCAACACGCATGCGGTCATTCCGACCCCTAAGTGGGGGGGGGGGGGGGGGGGGGGGGACGTTAGTGTCGGGTTGGGATTTGAACCTCCAAACATTGTCTTGGGATTTAATCTAGGGGCGTTGCCTTAGACATACGAAGTGGGACTACTTCTATACTAATATCACAATCGTTATAATCACCAGCGTCATCATCAGTTTCACTAGATAAGTTATCCTTCTTCGCCTTCTGGTTCTTTTTGTTGTTCTAGATTTTTCCTTGTTTGTCATTTTTTTCTCCATCCCTCTTTTCGAAGTTAATTTTCATTTTCTCTCAGTGTTTCAATTTATATGTATTTTTCTATCCATTTTTATTCTAATAAAAAAAAAATCCTTTTCTCCTTACCGTACACCAATGATCTGTAGTCCCAGCTATAAAAACCTGCGTCATGGAGTGAAATGCGGTGGTAGCTGCCATCAAACATACGACCAGATAAACGCGTCTCTGATAGGGACCGAACGAGCCCAGCTCACCAAGAATATCGTCGAAACGCATCCTGAATGCTGATCACTAACAAACAAATAACCGGACAAAATGATACGTTCAAAGGGATTCAAATCTCGAGACGGGTCCAATGAAGTATATACCCCCCCCCCTCCTCGAATACAAAAAAGGGAAGAAAAGGGGAAAGCAAGAAAACAAGAAAACAAGAAGAAGAAGATCAGAACAAGGCTAATACACCCTTTCAATTTCCTACTCCTAAAACAAAATTACCACTAAGACAACTGCACCTTCCCCCGTTCCCCCTAAAATACTATAGGGGACATTTTCGACCCCTTTGACGATCATGTGCTGTGCATTTAATACTGAAGTGACACCGTCGAGTCGTTTAACTGATAACTGTTATCTACTTGACCGGTTTACAGGATACTCATGGGCACATTGAAGTATGCCGCTCAGTGGCGGATCAAGGATTTCCTTGCAGCTAGGGAGGGGGTACACATGTCAGAACACGAAAAAAAATCCCTGACAAGCAAATAAGAAGAAAAAACGTATCATACGATTTCATAAGTTTTATCAGCACCTATAACCAGCATTAATTTCTGATTTTTTGTAATAATATATATAAGTTGGCATAAATTACCTTTGCTCGTCTCATTTGCAGTTAACGAAATGGATTATTGGTTCAAAGAACATCGGATTATTTCTAGATAACGCAGAATTAGAATGTTTATCTTCGTTTGGAATTTCGCTGACTCAAATATTTTATCACATAATCTGACCAATCAAAAGAGGCGTCAGGAACCCCTTCCCCCCAAATCACTTTGAAAGAGAAAAAAGTTCGCGCTGATTAGAAAACTGCCGCTCCCCCACCCCCTCATACTCTCGTTTGGTAAACGAAAGATGAAGATCATGGCAACTTGATGCCTCATCATACTTGAAAACTGAAACATACTGTCCCAATTACGATAACAATACTTCTGTATAAAGAAGAAGGAGGAGAAGAAGGGAAAAAGAAAAATTGGGGATTTGGGGGGGGGGGGGGAGGAGGAAAGGAAGAAGTATACTAAGAAATGAAAAAGAGGAAGAAGAAGGAGGAGAAAGGAAAAAATGAATAGGAAGAAAAATAAAAAGTGGAAAAAGAAGAAGAAACGGAAAGGAGGAGGAGAAGAAGAAGAAGAGAAAAAGAGAAGAAGAAATGTTACAGAGAGAGAGAGAGAGAGGAGAGAGAGAGAGAGAGAGAGAGGAGAGAGAGAGAGAGAGAGAGAGAGAGAGAGAAAGGAGAGAGAGAGAGAGAGAGAGAGGGAGAGAGAGAGAGAGAGAGAAAGAGAGACCAAAATAAGCAACCTCCCAGAATAAAATCCTCATATTCTCTTTTACAGATGCAAATAGCTATTAATTATTTTTGTGCTAAAAATGTGTGTTGATCAACATTCTAACTTTTCATATTCGTTACTCAATCGTCTTGGTGTTGTTAATTGATCGTCCGCCTAATAATGTTATACAAACAAGAAACAAGCATCATACTAATAAAAATTTAAAGTAGGCTATTGAAATTGAGAAATATTTAGAGATTTTTAAAACATTTGTTGTTGTTGATTGATTGAATGATTTTTATTCGACAGGTTTCCAACATACGACAATAAACAAGAATACAATTTAGTCAGTTTGTTAATGTGAGAAATAAAAACTTACCAGCTTCTATATGTTTCAGCAGCTCAAAATTGAATAGGTCAGGCGAGTCTGACAGGGTCCGCTCAAATCATGGCAATATATAGCAGGGATTATCAACATAAAGATTCAAGGTTCATCCGATTAAATCCCGTAGAACAGAAGATTGTACTCAACTCCAACTTTGGTTTAAGTATTTAGTTTTGTATTTTATTTATTTAATCATGGTTAAAATGCCTGCTATCAGCTAGAAGCTGCTTTTCAGCAAGGCCGTGAATTTCAGCAAGGCCGTGAAGTGCAAGGGACGACATAAGGCGGAGTCCAGGGGTAGGTATTGGAGGATGGGGCCGCGACCCCTTCCCCCTCCGCCAAACCATTGACAAGGGAATATTGTCGGTGCCGAAGGGATGGCGCCGGGATTATGGGGCCGGTCTAGCTTTTTGCTAAGGGGGGGGGGGGGGGGGGGTTGACACAGTGGCGGATCCAGGATTTTCTAAGAGGGTGGGGGGGGGGGGGAAATTTGAAAATTCGGCCGATCGATATTTCGTCCCGTTGGGGGGGGGGGTGTTCGACCCCCCCCCCCCCCCTGCGTACGCGCCTGCTTGCATCTCGCATATTACAGCAAGCAAGGAAGATAATAATGATGACATATTATTTATACTCCATCATATAAACAGGACTACTTTTTCACTTTACTTTTACCAATACCATAAATTTAACAAGCTATCATAACGGGGCATAACGGTAGCATAATTGGAACCAAGATTAGTGGATATATGAATATGCATTAATTCCTACGTCACAGACGTGTGTCGAGCGTACTCTGTCATATACAAATAACCTGTACAATCAAATGGACTGTAAATTGTCAGTAATTGATTGCTTCAAGCGGGAATAAGTAGGGCATTCATTTCATGGGGTAATTTCTGGACTCAACGCGCGCGCCTTATCCTTGCGCGCTGCAGGTTAGGCCTACTTTGCGCGCTTTGTTTTCAACACGCAGCGCCTCTTATAGTTTTTAAGGAGCTGAGCTGATGGGGCACGAAAAGGCTTTTCTCAATATTATTTCCATCTGAAATAAATTATTTATCTTAAGTAAATTATTCATTGTTTGGATACAATTGTCTCAAAATAATGTCAAGGATAAAGCTCAGTCCGCATAAGCGACCCAAAGCGGGTAGGAACAAGCCTGTTTCGATCGAAACAGCGACCAGCACGCGAGAGATGAGACCCACCATTTTCCGAAAACTCTACATGAGGGGCGACCTGCCGGTAGCAATGGAGCACTATGGAATGGGCAACAAAATATTTTGGAAGGTAAGAAGAATGTAGTTTGGCGTAGGCCTAGACTATATAGAAGAGTGGAGGCGACGTAACATACCCCCCCCCCCCTAGCATGCGTCGACTAAGGCAACGGGGGGGGGGGGGGTATATTATAGCCTCGCTCCCCTTTCCGACACGATATGTATCGGACTGGTTGCTAATATTATAGCTGTCTAGGTCTAGACTAGTATATAGGCCTAGGCCTAGGCCCTACTTAGAAGAGTCTATTTCAAAGATTTTAATTTGTAAAAGTTTACATGCAATGGTTCATAAATGTTCGGATGCTCAAGCATATGGGGCAGGATTGTAATGAAAAGGGACCCTAGGCCTAGGGTCTACTTTGGAATTTTGATATTTTGCTAATTTTCTCGCTCTCTTTGCTATCTGGGGATCATTCTCATCAAGCCAATTTTGGCTTTCATGATTCCCACTTCCTTTAATCTTATGTTTATAATGAACAAACATGTATAGTCTACATAGAGTCTAAATACTTTTGATGTTTTTGAAAACAGTAAAATAAATAAATTAAATGAAATCTCCCGCAAAACCAACTCCAGAAATTGATCAAATACTTAGCAATGATGCATTTATCGCAAATATTCATGGCATGTCAAAAGTTTAATAGTAATTACTTGTTTGTGAAATCCAACGACGAAGGTGACAGTTCTGATTTTTTGTAACCATAGAAAGAAATCGAGAGGTTGGATTATCACCACTACCTTCCTCTGTTCTTCGAGGGACTCCGTGAGACTGAGCATCCGTTTGACTTCTTCGCCAGCCGAGGCATCAATGACATATTGGAACATGGAGGCCGTAAGATACTACCAGTCATTCCTCAGCTCATCATACCTATCAAGGGTCAGTATTATCTATACCAACTACGCCCAAACAACCAAATTATAATGATGATAATAATGATAATAATGATAATAGTCTAATATAACATAAAATTGGTGGGGTGGGGTTTGGAGTAGCAGGGGCATCCAGTATTCATAAATATAGCATGGTGGTTATGTAAAAACTACCACCAGTTATTCCTCAGCCCATGATACCCACCCAAAACATTGAGGGGGGCGTGTCCCCCCGGGATCGCGGCCCCTGCAACATATACCACCAGATAATAATCAAGTAAACAGATCTCACTTACCTGGTCAGTAACAGCTTGTTTTACGTTCAATCATTTAGATTTTTTAATTTGTATTTGTTTCTTCGGTTTTCTTTTTGCTTTTCAGATGCTTTCAACACCCGCGACAGACGAGTTATCTGCAGCACGTTGAAGGCCCTCCAGAAATTGGCCGTATCGGGCGAGTTTGTCGGCGAGGCTCTTGTGCCGTATTACCGCCAAATCCTACCCGTTCTCAACATTTTCCGCGGAATGAACTGTGAGTTTCGAGAATTTCATACTACAGTTTCCTTTAAAATAGTCTGATTTTTTTTTATTCATGGTCGTCACTATCACTCATACAGTACCTTTCCTCACTCTGTGGTACATATTTAAAATCACTCTCTCTCTCTCTGTGCCTGTATTAAAAAAAATCCCCGTTCATTCCTCTTTTCATTCGCTCTCTTCCACAATTCTCTCTATTTTGGGTGGTATAATTGTTTTTTTTCATTCTTTCGCTCTATATCATAGCTTTATGTCTTCTTTCCCCTATTTTTCTTTGTATTATAATCTCTTTTCATTCCCTCTCTCTATCAGTATCTTTATTCACTACTGCATGTATACGCGTAATTTTTTTTGACCAAAATATAACGTAGCGTGCACCCCCCCCCCCCGTTATTTATTTATCTCATCGTGTTCAAGTGATACATCAAAAAGTCAAAACCTTAAATGGTATTGTTTTAATTATAGAATCGATATAAAAAGAGGATATACATGTACATGTATGTGCTTATTTTCAAAGGGGAGATAGATCTCATCGAGCAAAGTTATCATTTTACTCCCTCTCGCTGTGTACTTCAATATCAGCTGCAAGCCTCCACCTCATGTACAAGATCCAAAACAACACAGTAGCCATCAATGCACACCATTACACAGCACCCATGATTGCCAGCAACACACGACAGTATCACTCAAAGAAGTTGCTGGCTGTCCCATTCCGCACCCAACTCTACCAGAACTCATTTTCCCCTCGGACAGTAACTGCGTGGAATGCACTTTCGAAGATCACCCTTGACGCTACTTCACCGGAGGGCTTCAAGGGAGCGCTTCCACCCAGCATCTAGACCAAGAACTATATAGTTTATTCCTCAGCACTACATCCTGACTTATGGATCCTGCTGAGTATCTTCGTAGAAATAGAAGTAGAAATATCTCTTCGATCTTAGCAATCTCTTCTCCCTATTCCTGTTCCTCTCCTCCTTCCTCTGCCACTCCACTTTCTCCCACTCCGTCTGTCTCACTCTCTCTCTCTGTCTCTCTCCAGTCAATTCTGGTGATGGGATCGAGTACGGTCAGCAGAAGGGCTTCAACGTCGGAGACATGATCCAGGAGACCCTGGAAGTCCTCGAGAGAAACGGAGGAGCAGAAGCGTTCGTCAACATCAAGTACATGGTCCCAACCTACGAATCCTGCATGACCGTCCAGGAGTGATGACGTCATCTATTACCGTAATTTACTGCCTAAAATCATTGACGCGGTAAAACCGCCTATTCATTTCGAAGGAAATGAGAAGAAGACTACGACGATGAGGGCCCCACCCACCAACCCTCCATGACCAGCCGCAAATGATGACGCCATCGATTTAGGTTATTTTACCGTAATTTACTGTTTATTTAACATTCACATATGACGCGGTATACTGCTCTTTTTCATTTGGAAGAAAGAAAAAAGTTAAAGAAGGAGTTGATAAAAAAAAAGAAAAAGATTTTGATGATCCCAATATTCCACTCTTACATGACTGTTCAGGTTTGCTGACATCATCCATTAGCCGCAATTTGTTTCGGCTTCCCATACCTTGTTTAGGCCCTTTTAACGGCACAGTACCGTCAGTGCCCAGAACGGAAGAAAGAAAATAAAAGGAGATCATGAAGAAGTAGAAGAAGCGAAGGAACTGAAGAAAAAGAAGAAGAATGAAGAAAAAATAACGCCCAACTAAACACGTGTTTCTCACGTATAACTAATATGTGGGAGTGGTGGGGGGGGGGGGCTATACACAAATCTCTCCTTTATTCATATGCATAACTATAAACATTCTAATATATATTACAGGTATCTGAAATTCGAGAACAGTTCAAATTTGAATTCCTTCAGACAAAAAAAGTACTTTCATAATATCAAATCATTATTGAATTATATTATCAACACAAAACCCTAGTGCAATCATAATGTTTACGTTTTTAACGATTCGACGAGGGACCGACGCATTTGAAAGTTATGCTCAAATTTCTTAAATACTGTCCAGTTTTCCCATTTTAACGTCAAAAATGTTTTCCGGGTCGTATCATCATCTTCGTTTTGTTTCTTCCTGTTCAAAGTCCAGCACTGTTGTCGTCTTTTGCTTTCCTAAAGAATGGAAATAATAAAATGTTGCATGAAAATGGAAGAAAAGAAAAATCTTGTATCTTATAATGTCATTAGAGACGAGGTATTAAAGACTCTTATACGTTTATTTTGCATTTAACCTATTGAATTATGAATTATCATATTCCTCAACGCTTGATTACAGGACAAACCCTGTTCTAGTAGGAAATCGGTTAATATGAATACGATCACAAAGACTATTAAGAAATCAACTAAAGGGTACAATTCAACAATGTCAGAAATCATATTTGGCATGCGCAATATTCCATTGCTCAGCCATAATTTTATATTCTAAAGATGGAGCACAACGCTTTTGATATTGCCTCAGGTTGTTAAAAAAAATAGCGATCTTGTTGAAACATTTATAGTGTTTTCATGAGAGTTTTGGGAAACAGTGAGGATGTAAATTAAACACGATTATTAATTCCCCCTAGTCTGTCGTTGTCCTAAACATTCTATTCAACATCATCACAGCAATACTACCTTGCTGACCAGAGATAAATAGGTAACGCCTAAGGCCATGTCTTGTATGGATTTTGAAGTGAAGACCACCTTAAGATCCGAAACTTACGTTCCCAAAGTCTCCCCTTCCTCGATGGTTTCCGGAAGTCTCATGCCGCGCGTCTCGGGGAAGAAAAATGAGAGGAAACCAGCCGTGATGGCGGTGGTGCCGAAGATGATGAGAGGAGCGGGGTAATAGTAGTCCCCCAGGATGAGTATCATGGGTGAGACAATGGTCCCCACACGAGCCATCATGGAACAAATGCCGATACCAATGCTCCTGTTAAGCCAAAATACATTAAACAAAACTAAGTGTAAATTGCACATTGTAAAGCGCACTACGAGGGCCTACTGTCCTGTGATGCACTATAGAAGAACTTTTTTTTTTTTACTGAGGGCCCTGCAAACGTGGCAAATTTCTTGCAAAAAGATGGTAGTGCCGGCCTAGAATTTGAACCCTCGACCCTTAATTTGATTTGTAGTCAAGTGAATTAACCACTTTATCACGACACCTCCACCATTTGTATGCCCATTGCACAAGGGCCGTAATTTCAAATGCTTCGATACCTATACACTAGTCAAGCCCACTGTTTGAATACTTCATTTTGCATGTCCCCCCCCCCCCCCTTTTCTTTACATTTTCATTTATTACCTTTTTCTCCATTTTTTTAATTAAAATAAAAAATGTTATAAATGACACAATCACATGGGGCTTCAATTTTGCTGGAAGGGTCGTACATGTCACAAAACAATGGCACCCGGTATGCAACAGGCATTAGGCCTGAATGTCCTCATTTGGGAGGTAAAGAATAACGCCTCGTGTGAAGCCGGTTGTATGTCTGATAAATATGCCTACCTGACTGGCGTTGGGAAACACTCTGCAGAGTAGACGTAGACTATGGTATAGGAAGCCGATATTGCCGATTTCCCTGTCAGGGCAACTACTGTGTTCCAAGTACCAATTGCTGATTAAAATTAAAGAGAGAAACTAGTTGAGTTCTGGCTACATTTATAGACTGAATGATCCCCGTATTGATGCTTTTCTTGATGTTCCAGAATGTATGGTGGTCAATACACCCAATCAATGAACTGATATTGTCACACGGGTTTTTTTACCTACAAAATATCAGGCTTCTCTTACCTACACACCACACACACACAAATACACACGCACACACACGTCCACACCAAACACCCTCACTCACCATCCTCCACACACACAAACACCCACACACCCACTATCGGCTTTATCACACCCTTGATAGCTCTCTACGATTCGAAACTCTTTGGAGCGCAAGAAATTGAAGATTCGAGATTCAAGAAAATACATAATTAAAGGAATTAATGATTAAACGAAATATTATGAAAGCTTGGGAGAGGTGTCACATTATCACACTTTCCTTGAGCGATGCCCATAGTGCCCTATGTATATAGACCTACTTTTCTGTAAGAAACTCCCTTTTCTGAAAGCTACATTTATTTACTTCTTTTTTAGCAAAAATTGAGTGAATGAATATACGTACGTAGACCAATGTTGATCAGGCAAGAACAACCACCAATGATGAGGAAAGTAGCGATACTTGGACGACGACCAAAGAAATCGATGGTAAAGATGGCTAAGACGTAACCGACGATCTCGACTGCTCCAGACAGGAAGAAGTTCAGGTGGACATTGAACCCGAGGTCACCGCTACTATAGGTCAAGCCATAGTACACAATGTTATTCACCATCCTATAAACGGAGAAAGTAATTTAAAAAAAAAACAGTTGCGTATCTTGAAACAAGATGCGATTTGTACATGCCATAACAATTGACTAAACTTTTAACCCTAGTTCAATTAGATTTTCGTCTTGGGCTGTTTTGGGGATAACTCTATGAACTAGTTATACAAGAAATGGAAGAGCTACCTTGCTGTATCACACATCATGGCCGCATGGCCATTAATTGGCTGACTTTAGCTCACACATGAGTAATATATTCCAAACATTTATAACAATTCATAGTTTTTGTCGGCCATCTTTGTTAGTTCCTTTCTCAAAGTGTTTCTGTAGATGATTTTACAAAATTCTACAAAAGTCAACTTTCTACGAGTATAAGAGGTCAATAAATGTGCCTCGGAATAGAATTATCTAGATGGCGCTATATAAATGCCTATTATTTTCATTATTATTACCTCTTTTAAAATCAATTCACTGTATCAGCATGCATAAAATTATACCTTACCAGTTATATATAAAGTTGATGGTTCTCCAGCGGAGTACGGGCGTTCTGAAAAGATCGAAGATGCTTGCTTTCGGCACCATACTGACAACTTCCTTGAAAACAAGAAAAGAGTGATACCCCCAAAAAACAATGTGGAACTGTATTTCTTAAAACTATATTTGTGTGTGTGTCTTGGGAAAATGCCGAAATATAAAATCGGCATTAAACTGTCAATCGATATTATAAGGCCTTCAATATCATGCAATAAAATTGTATTCAACTTAATGAGAGCAACATACTACCCCCGGCCCACAACAAAACAATTATATAATTGTGGGATGTTTCAGCGTCTCACTTTAAAACTGAAAAAAAAGAGAAAAGAAAATAAAAGAAGAGAAGAGAAAAGAAAAGAAAAACAAAACAAAATACACAGTTTATTGTAGACCTACCAGTTTCTGTATTTCGTCTTCTGTGAAGAGCGGATCAGGAAGTTTTCTTTTATTGACTTTAGCGACTTTGCGAATAATCTTCTCAGCTTTCTCGCCATTACCGTGAGATAGGAGCCAACGAGCCGATTCTGGTATGAAACTGACGAATATATAGTTTTCGTTAGATGATTGGTAATACTGAAAACATATTTTTCGATTTAAAACTTTCGAATGGACACACATGGACTCTTAGCAAATATTTTCATAAAGTCGGACAAAGTAAAACACAACAAAATAAACAATGTTTTGTAATATTAACTAATAAATACGACAAAACAAAATTTAATTTAAAATAAGCCAAAGTGGCTCACTTCGTTCAACTGGGTTTTCGCGTCGGGTCGGGTTGTGGGGGTACACAAACTTTCATGAATAATCCAGCCCTTCCCGAAGGGTCGGGTGTAACGTTTTAATTTTGCTCTGTGTTTAGTTATAATGGCTCGGTGTAAAAATGTCAGTGGAAAAAATGTCAGAGGTAAAAATGTCAGAGGTAAAAATGTCAGAGGTAAAAATGTCAGAGGTAAAAATGTCAGAGTTTAAAATTTCAGAGGTAAAAATGTCAGAGGTAAAAATGTCAGAGGTAAAAATGTCAGAGGAAAAAATGTCAGAGGTAAAAATGTCAGAGGAAAAAATGTCAGAGGTAAAAATGTCAGAGGTAAAATGTCAGAGGTAAAAATGTCAGAGGTAAAAATGTCAGAGGTAAAAATGTCAGAGGTAAAAATGTCAGAGGAAAAAATGTCAGAGGTAAAAATGTCAGAGTTTAAAATGTCAGAGGTAAAAATGTTAGAGGTATAAAATAAAAACAAAAGCATGTGACAAGTTTGTTATGTTTACACCCGGGTTATATATCAGGCTTATCGAAAAAGAACAGCGAGGGATATTCTGCAGTCGTTATTTCACCGCTGTCTTATTGTATTAGTTAAGTCTTATTTTGAGCGTATACCAAGGTTGTAGTCTTTGTAGAGGAATCTTGTACTTTGAAGCATGCTATCAGTTGTCTGATGACCGCTGGCAAGCTGTGAAAGTCGGAGTACACCATCCATGTCCCATTAGTCTGCCTTATTCAATATTTATATACCGGTATATTATGTTTTTGTATAAGCAAATGGTACTGGTACACTGAGCAAACTGGGGAAAAAGATTTCTAAAATCGTGAAGTTTGACCATGTTTTATAGGCTGAGTTGTCGCTCCATGGTGTAATCATTAAAAAAAAAAACAAGGTTATTTAATAAAAGGATCATGCGACAAATAATCATTGTGATTCAAATTGATGCAAGGATTTTTTTGAATAAACAATGCTTTTCACCAGAATCTTCTTTGTAAAAACGACTTTTACAAATCTAAGCCATGCAAATCTGCCACTGTGTTGTAAGATTACTTTCAGATTAGGAGAAGTGTATTCTGTAATGAGTATTTTACATTGAATGGAACGTCTCAACTCAGTAAGCATGGCTGAGATTTGTAAAAGTTGTTTTTACAAAGAAGATTCGGGTGAATAGCAGTGCTTATTCAAACAAATATTCGCATCAATTTGAATCACAATCATTATTTGTCGCTTAATCCCTTTTAATGACCTTGTTTTCTTTCTCGTTTGCAAGGGGAGAAGAAGATATGTCACGTTAAAGACATCATAAAGATCAGTGTTGTATACGTATATATTATATACACAGGCCAGTAACAGCTATGTAGCTTGTAAATTTGTAAGAGGGAAAATGCTGATTGAAATGATAATGATGAAATAGCAAATAATTGAGGAGTATCATAGGTACCAATTCAATGGATATTTGTATAACAGAGAGCCCCCGTCAGTACTAAAAGAGCCCCCGTGGACAAAAAATTAATTTGAGCCCTGGTTGTAGAGGAATCATGTACTTTGAAGAATGCTATCAGTTGTCTGATGACCGCTTGCAAGGCGTGAAACTCGGAGTACACCATCCATGTCCCATTAGTCTGCCTTATTCAATATTTATATACCGGTATATTATGTTTTTGTATAAGCAAATGGTACTGGTACACTGAGCAAACTTCGGGGAAAAAGATTTCTAAAATCGAGAAGTTTGGCCATGTTTTATAGGCTGAGTTGTCGCTCCATGGTGTAATCATTAAATAAAAAGAAAAGTCAGTACAGCCCCCAAAATAGGATCAGATATCTATGAACCTTCCCCCTCCTACTTCTCCTTCATATTTGAAGATTGTTGGACATTTTAACTGCGTGGCAATGTCTACTATTATATGTAATTTCCAATAAATGCATATTTCCGACAATTCCACTTTCTTGAGGGCTTGGTATTTTGATACTCTGAAACAAGCAGAAAGCCATGTTATCAATGCTAACCGCACCATCACATTCCCGAAGTGCGCGCGTTGCAATAAAATATTGTCGATTACCATTGCGGTATAAAATAGTCTGGGAGAAAATCAATAAGCAGCTTTGTTACTCCGATACAAAGCAGAAAGCCGCACATGTTACATCAATTAAAGAGAAGGTTGAGTTCTGGGGAAAGGTAAAAAAAAAATATTTGTGAGCGTTCAATGCAAGTGTGATAGAACATCAAAGAAAAAAGTCATTCCCTGAAAATCTATTACAAATGACTTCATATCCCAGATATAACAAGTAACATCTTTGTATGGCTGCCCGATTTGTATGCCATATGTTTGTGTAGTCCCATATCAATATCTTTCTGTGTACAGTGCTTGTTACTTTACCAAGACTGGGCCAAATTTTGTATCATTTTGATGACTCCAAAACCTTGCACTACACACCAATACTTACATGTTTATGCTAGATGATTAACCTTCTCTGATTGCTTCCACAAAAAAATAAATTTCAAAATCTATTTTCCACATTATATTATCCTCAGGACATGTACGATATACAACACATCCATTTAGAAAGGAATATAATAGACTAGCCCATGCAGTAGCTGTACGTCTCGACATTCTGAGTGATAAAAGTGCTGAGATATTATGACGGCACTCATTTGTTTTGCTTGTACCTCTGACATTTTTACCTCTGACATTTTTTCCTCTGACATTTTTTCCTCTGACATTTTTACCTCTGACATTTTTACCTCTGACATTTTTACCTCTGATATTTTTTCCTCTGACATTTTTTCCTCTGACATTTTTACCTCTGATATTTTTTCCTCTGACATTTTTACCTCTGACATTTTTACCTCTGACATTTCTACCTCTGACATTTTTACCTCTGACATTTTTTCCTCTGACATTTTTACCTCTGACATTTTTACCTCTGACATTTTTACCTGGCACCGTTATGATATACAAAACTTTGAAGCGTATTACACTCGCACTTTACGTCATCACTTCAACAAAAACAACAACAAAAGACTGCCGCAGTTTATACCGCTGCATTCTGTACAAGACTTTACGATTCGTGATCACACGGCAGAACTTACGGCATGAGCAGGAAAAATAGAAACAGGGGTCCAGAGATGAGCAATTGCAGAGTCCTCCAGTAGCGGACAAAGTATGTAATGGTGGCAAGAGTCATATAGCCCAAGGCGACGAAAATATGGATGGTAATTCCGGTCACAGTCCTCCATTTTGGTGTAACGAACTCAATACCTGTAAGATGAGCCGATGGCACAATCATAGACGAATGGCATCCACAAATCCCTTTCTTAACCTTTTTAGATAGCAAAACAGCTTTATTAGTCGAAAAAAAAGAATCTTTGGAATCTACATAATGGGACCTTAACCTCTCCCTGATAATGTGAGCACTTTAACCCCCCCCCCCCCCGAAAAAAAAAAGGTTCCGCACGGGAGTTGTACTGTTCTTGAATCTAAATCGTGCTGAACGCCATACATGTTATAGGGCTACACTGTAAAGAGTCTATTTCGGAAGTTGACCCTCCGATTTTGACACATATGTGAATGGGCTACCCTGTCAAAAGATTAGAAATAAATAAATAAATAAATAGACATGATAACACAACAACATGGCTTGTAACGATCACGCAAGTAATAACGTTAATTATCACGTTTTGAGTGCTTTCGTTGAACACACTTTCTGATCTACAAAGTATTACAGTTTCAATTTCAGTTTCAGTTTTATTTTCATTTTCAAAAGAACATTAAACGATTGTGAAGAAATATCAACCTTCGAGACTGTGACCAGACCCCCCCCCCCTTTAAGAAGGGGGGGGGGGGGTCGATCCAGCTACAGCTTCTCTGGCCGGAACTGACGATAACCTAGATTATATGTTAATTTAGAATATATATATATATATATATATGCATATATTATATCTTTACAAAATCAATATACGTCATTACTAGTTTCAATAACAAACACTTTTGTTTTCTTTTTTCAAGTGGTAAAATACGAGGAGAGTCACGGCTCGTACTCGCAAACGCGTGAGTATTCGTGATTTACCGGTCTGTAAAAGAACGAAATGGCAACCCTACTCTTCGGAGACTCGTAGATTAAAATACTTGTATCTACGAAAGTACTCAAAACGTGATAATGTGATCACGCGAGTGTCCGTTACAAGCCAAACAATGTGGCTTCACTTTGAAAATAGCACGTTACCTATGATGAAGGCAACTTGTACCACAGATTTGTTGCCAGCCGCTTGGAAGAATCTAAGGACATTATACACCCAGAAATTGGGTGAGAAAGCGACGAGAACACCAAAACCAGCCTGGATACCAAGGCAAATGAACAGAGTAGGGTATCGTCCAATTCTAAGGGGACAATGGTGCATAAAAAGGGAAGTGAAGGGGTTTTAAACTAAAAGGTAACGATATCAAAATCATTGATATTATCTGAGGGTGTACTTCACATCTCGATTTAATGATGGATTGGTAAGATTTTAAAGGGTACATGTGAACCATTAGTTTTGACATTTTCAGCGATATCAAGAAATCGGAAGAACATGATCAAGTGAAATATCGGGACATTCTCATTAGACAGCTGATATCACATGATACCGACAATCCACGATAACGGCAAGGTTTGTTTACCGAACCTACAGATAAACTGTCAGAATAAAAGATAAAGACCAGTTATGGTCATGCGATTGCATTGTGAAAGAAACGTTGTGGAATCGATCAGAAAAGGTTGATCTAGCATGTATTGGTGTGTACTGCAAGGTTCTGGAATCATCAAAATAATAAGAAATTTGGCCCAGTCTTCGTAAAGTTACAAGCACTGTACACAGAAGATGTATATGGGACTACGCACACGTGCGCGACACGTGCGTTTATCTCTCACATCCCAATAGATAAACTAATTTACCAAATATATCAATTAGTAGGCGGTTTCCCGGCAAAATTTTCATCATCGTGTATTATTCAAAACATATTTTTTTCACGTCAGTGGTAATAAAAGCTTCCATTTCATTTTTTGAAATTGGGGCGTTTCCAATACTGGTCTTTACCTTTAAGGACAGCGATATTGACACATCGGCCTCTTTGGTTGTAGCCTTGTAAAATATGGAGTCAAAAATAAGTATAGTCACGTTCTTTGCTGTTAAATATCACATGTAAACAGAAGAAAAGCCCGATAGTCATAGGAAATACAAAACATTATCTAAGATGACAATCAGTCACAGCATTTTCTAGCATGTCTCGCATGAAGATCTGTATCACTAGCTATTTCAATACCATCATGACTGAACGGATTTAGATATGAACTACACTAAAATTGAAAACATAAAAAGACAACTGTGGACTTACTTGTCTGCAAGGACCCCAAAGAAAATAGATCCAAATAAATAGCCAGAGTAAAACACAGATTGAGCGTAGTCGGGCAAGTGTTTCTTGTCACAGACTAGATCCCACTGCAAAATGATGACAATGTTTGATTTAGGGTCAGTATTAAATGGAAATCCAAACCTCAATAGATAATTACTTTAAGAGAGGGGTAGAAAATAAAAGAAGGAGCCTTGTGAAGTTTAAGCAATATCGAAGAACAACACCAAAGATAAATGAATGAATTTTTGAAAGTTGTAATCATTATACGTGTGGGCTCTTCAATTGGCTGAATGGGTAATATCACTGTGATGTAGTGCCGGCTAACTTTCCAATTTGTTTCAACACACACAATGACTCAAATGTCAATGTTTCAAAATGTACTAGGATGGCCTTTTTTTTGGAAGGATTTTGAGAAGGGATAGAGAAGGCACTGAGGAGAAAAAACAGAAATCAATGATGTTTTCTACCATCAGTAGAGTTGTTACACAACTCTTGGCGACAGATGTCTGCACTATGTAAGCATTTCAACATTTTGAATTTAAGGGGGATCGAAAAATGCTTTCATGAGAGGGATAGAATGTTACAAACATTTAATAGGAACAACTGACATCTTGTATGATGGATGACTTCAGCTGACTCTTATCGTGTTCCCAACCATCTTGGCACGGGATAGTGCTGGCGGTTCCATTCATCGATGGGTCATAGGAAGGATCAAACTCTATGCCTTGATGTCAGAATGAAAGGAAAAAATGAAAATAATATGATAGACAATAAGTGGGGAGATCTTTTTGATTGAAAGGAAGCATCAATCAGCTTGTATTCCACAATTTTACGTTAAGTGAATTCACATCAAGAACGGTCTTTATATTCATAAGTTGAAAGGATAATAAAAAAAAAACATGACCTCTAAATATTTTCCACGTTGACGCTGATAAACGAAATCAATCAATCATGATTATCGCAAACGTATTCAACAATATGAGGCATTTGCAAACAGCAATATTACAGACATTTCGAATTAAGACAGGACACCGCTTTTTCAAAACCATTTTGTGTTTACCAAACAACTTCAAATGCCCAACAGTGTCAATTTTCAAAAGAAAGCTTAAGAAATATCTTTTTTATAAATGTATTGCTTCCTGGGCGAAATTTCAAGTTTTAACATATTTGTGGCTTACACCCAGTAAATAAGATCGATTGATCGTGACTGTGCCATGGACCAGTGATGGCCTGGTGGTAGAGTCGCTGCCCGGCAAGCAGTTAGATGGCAGGTTCAAATCCCGCTGGTTCCAGGATTTTTTCTGACTTGTTTTTTCAATTACAGATCGTTCAATCGATCTTATTTAAAGAAATATCTTGTTAATGAATATGTATAACTAGGATTATTTTTACATGAATGCCTTTTCTGTTGTTTTTTTTTAAATGTAATGGATTTGTCTGGTGTAATTCTTGATATTGATGTTTTGTGTTATTTTAATCTCTGTATTTCTATCTCGTGTTTAGTGTATTTAAGAAACTTTTTATGTAAATTGTATTATCTTTGGGAATAACCTTGACAGGCCTTTGGCCTCTGTTTCCCCCACCACATTAGGATTTAAATTGAAGATGTTTCATTTTAACGTTTGTTATTGTATATATGCATATAAATTTTATTTGTGTTTTTTAAATTCAGATGTGGAAATAAAACTTTAACTTGAACTTGAATTTACCTGTGATGTTATACATATAGCATTGATCGTAGACCAGTTCACCATCGTCCCCGTAACTGACTGGGATGCTGCCGTTCTTCTTCGCCTCCTTGCAATCCGTGGGTGACAAGTTCCACTCGCTGCAGTTTGCGTCCCAATAATCTGTCTATTAAACATACACACGCACAAACATAAATACACACTTTTTTTAAATTTTTTTTTAAACAATTTTGTTTTATTTCTCCAGATGTGTAATACAAACCATGACATACAATTGAATAAAATAAACGTGTTCAATATTGATTCTTTTACATAAACATAATTAAACACAAACTTATTTGCAGTATAATATAACTTAGCAACAAAGTAAACGTATAAGTACCTAAACATAATATGTCAATTGTAAATGTTATTTACTTATATATTACAAAAAAAAAAAAAATCTGGAGATAATTTTACTGAAACAATCCTGCCCCCTCCCTGCCCCCTACATCACACAGACATACTCACCCTCTATCACACAAACATACTCACCCACTCACACACATACTCACCCACCCACCCACCCACCCCCCCCCCCCCCACACACACACACAGTACTCACTCAGTGGACGTCTGCCAACATTCTCAACACACAGACACGCACACACGCATACACACACGCACACACACGCACACACACATGAAGTTAGAACTGAATTATTCATACCCTTACCGAGTTTTGTATTAGTTTATGTATTTAAAACATATTATTTGTCCTGATTATTGTTTTTTGAGAATGTTACACATTAAAGATTACATTTAAAAGAATTTAACAAAGGCCCTATTTCGACATGTTTATCTTTCATTCTTGAGTTTAATACAATTTTGAGTTCAATACGAAATCTCCCCTCCCCTCCCCCAACAAAACTATAAAATGAACCATCATATTTACAAGGTATGTTTCAGATGTCATCAGTTTATATAGAGAGAAGAACTTATTTATAAATTATTGAAATTTGTAATCACTACAGATATGGGCTCTTTTTGTTGGCTGAATAGGAAATGTCTCTGTAATGTAGTGGAGGACAATTTTAACATTTATTCCAGCTCTAAAAGTTACGAAATTGTAAATTCCGTTCCTCTTCATTTTCTTTTTCTTCTACTTCTTTTTCTACTTCTACTTGTTCTTGTTCTCGTTCTTCTTCTTGTTCTTGTTCTCCTCCTTCTCTTCCTCCTCCTCCATCCCCTCCCTTTTCCTCTTCTTCTCCTTCTTATTCTCCGTGTCAAATCTTACCCCCTTTTCGTTTACCTTTTCCTTTTAAATTTATTATATATTTTTTATTTGGTTCGCAGTTCCCCTCCCCTCTCCTTACCTTACACCAATGATCTGTAGTCCCAGCTATAAAAACCTGTGTCATGGAGTGAAATGCGGTGGAAGCTGCCATCAAACATACGACCAGATAAACGCGTCTCTGATAGGGACCGAACGAGCCCAGCTCACCAAGAATATCGTCGAAACGCATCCTGGCTATATTCCAGAACTTAAACGAAAGATAAAAAGTGGTACTTTGAAGGCATGCTGGCTAGCAAGCCATTACAAAAAGAAATTGTCGGCAAACTGGTCCGACTCCCTCCCGAATTAAACTTTGTTTTGAGATGAACATAACACAATAACATTATAAGCAAGTAAATAGGTAAATAAATATACAGTCAAACCTGTCTATAGCGACCACCATAGGGAAACACAAAAAGTAGTAACTGTAGACAGATGGTCTTTGTAAACAGGTTCCTTTAGTACACATTTCAATGAGAATCCATTTTCAAAGGAAACAAAGAATGTGGTTTTTGCAGACAGGTGGTCACTAAAGCAAGTTTGATTGTATAAATGAATATATGAATAAATATATGAATATACACATAAATAAATAGATAAATCAATCAATCAGTCAATCAATTAATTAATTAATTGATAGATTTCATTTTCATTTCATATATCATTTAGAAACACAAAATAAAGCAATGTTACATGTTGACATGTGCAGGGAAAGTTTGATAATCTGTTTTTTTTTAAATCTTACAATAAATAAAAAATGTACAACATGACTTGGATCATAAGAAGTAACAATTACATTAAATCGGTCGAACTGAACATAAGGTATATACCGTACAGAGGTTGTGCTATTAAAAAAAGAGGATCGAGAAAATGTTGTTTCCAAAATAAGAAGAATAGGCCGAGCTGAGATTGACACGATAAATAGGCCGAGAAAAAAAATCACGTATGATTAACAAGAAGTTTTCTCTTTAATTAGCTTGAGTTAAAAGGAATACATAATTTTCAGTTGAGTTAGATCGGTGGGGGGGGGGGGGGGGGGATTCAACGGCTTCAATCCGGTAAAAGTGAAAATATGATTGGTAAAAAGGACGTGTTCTAGTCCTTGGTAAATGAAACGAGCCAGATTGCGACGGGGAAAACAGATATTAGAATCATCAACAACAAGTAAAAAGGGTAATTGATTTGAGACATTACGAAAGCCATGTAAAGAATGAAAAGGAAGGAAGAATGAATCTTACCAGCTAGCTCGGCCTTTAGGAGATTCGATCAGAACCGCAAGACGAGTTAATGTGCAATGTTTCAAAAGGCCAGATTATATACACATCATTATAAGGCATTGGCTAGCCAATTGATGAACCGTGATAAAATGGCAAGGAGTGGCATACCATGAGTCCAGCATTTAAGGTGGGCTGGAATCAGAGGGGGGGGGGGGGGGGATCGGTCTTTCGAGGTATACAATATAAAACAAAACAGCCACCAAGTGAGGAGGGAGATAGGATGGGGGTCTCCTTTCTCACGCTGTCTCCTTGTATCCTTTCTTCCCCCTCTCTCTCTCTCTCTTTCTCATTTTTATCCCTCTCTCTTTTCGTTAGATGGGGGTGGGGACAGATGTCTTCATGCCTCCCTCGTAACTAAACAAATGAATCAAAGTACAGTTAAGGTCATACAAGCCTTCCCTTTCCGGATTACGTAAGTCCGTAACAAAATGTATACCCAAAGTCTGGTATAGCTTACATAATGTCACCCTGAAATCTATCTCATCATAATCTACTAAAGTGGGATATACCTTTTTTTCTTAAATACACACTCATGGGCGTAGATAATCGCACTGCTGTGTACAGGCCGGCGAGTAAACATTGTTTAGAGGTCGCGAGAGGAGCCAGAGCATATAACACTGAGTTCCTATAGGACATATATTTATTCAGATAGTCATATCTCAGCCAATACTGAACATATTCAATTGGTTTCCGACATTTGGACATTATTATTGATGCTCTTTCGGAAAATGAAGAAAAAATTGAGAAATTCTCAAAATAGATTTTTGATGACGTCACACTTCACCACTCTATAAAGGATAGTTAAAATGATGATCTAGGCCTAATAAAAGAAATATGAGAGAGGAATAGAGACAGAACGAAAGAGAAACAGAGACAGAGAGAGAGTGAGATAGGGTGTGCGTATGTGTGTACGGGTGTGTTCTTGTGTGTGTGTGTTTGATAGAGAGAGAGAGAGAGAGGATTAGGGAAAGAGAGGGAGAGAGAAAGAGAGAGACAGAGAGACAGGGAGAAATTAGAAGACACAGGGACCCCCCCCCCCCACTCAGTGTTATTTAGGGTACGCGTATGCTTGTTCCCTCTTTTTGAAAGCACCCCCTATCTGAACACTGCCAACATTTCCGAACCCCCCTTTCACGGGCTTTGCGCGGGCTTCTCCTGCCTTGGAGACCCCCCTAAATTCGGAAATTTTTTTTACGAGTTCAAAGAGATGAGAGAGAAAAAGAAAAAAAAACACCCCCTTATTAAAGAAATCTCCGGGTGAAAAATCAAATACACCCCCACCCCCCCCCTTTTTTTTTTTTTACAATTCTTGGGCCGGACTTTGTCGCTCGAAAAGTACCCCTTTACCGGACATTTTGGAAACACGCATGCGGTCATTCCGACCCTAAGTGTGGGGGGGGGGGGGGGGGTGGCCGAGCTCAGAGGTCGGTTTATAAACAGAAATTTAACATTGCGTACATAGAGCACATAGCCTAGCTAGATAAACTTTATTTTGCAACTTTTTACTCCTTGGATCGAAATGTGACTTCTTCGAATTGAGATGTTGCCACTCAACAGATCAAATCTCGGCCATCCGACATTTTGCTCTGGCGACAACAGTGTGTTAAGTGACTCGGTATTAAACATTGCGTCAGATTCTGAAACAAAATTCTGGATTTATCTCATGCTGCAATCACATTATAAACCTTTAGGTCAGGCAGGAAACCCATTACTTTTACAAGCCGATCGCCTATCTGATTATCAAGATATTTATGATTGGAAATTGATAATTCTATTTTTCGTTTTCCTGACGTTTTTTTATAACACGACAGTTTTTTGGTGGAAATGAGTTTGGTAAAACCGGTCACTCAAAGATTTTTTGTTTTTTGAGGCACTTTATGATCATTTTGAAGCGCAATTTTTTTTTAGGGCATCAATATATAACACCATATCACAGACACTGATAGCACGTAGGCCCATGCATCTTAGATCTAACATAGCATAGGGTTAAGCGTAGGATTGCAATCGGATTTTCAGTTAAGTTCAGGGATAGGGTTAGGTTAAGGTATTGTGTTTGGATCGGTATTAAAGCTCTAATTTGGTAAGCATAGGATACCGACGGCGGAGGAATTGTCACAGGAGCAATTAGTGTCGTCCAACCGCCATTAGTAACATTGTGAACACAGAGGCCAATAAAAACTATAACTAAGTATATGGATTTTTTGTTTTGTTAAATATTTTAATTCATCAAACAAAATAGGTACATTGCACACAATTATATGTAAGAAATAAGGCTCTAGCAACTATTAAAGTGCATTGTTAAGAGGCAAAAACGGAAAATGTATTGGTATTGTGATAAAACATATTGTACTGAAATATTTTAAAGTCTAATTTAAAGGCGTCGTTCAGAAATGACGCGGCAAAACCAGGGCCGTTTTTATGATGACGTAAAGTCTGATACGCGTCGCACCTATATGTATCTTATAACACAGAGCTCAGTGAACATGCGCAGGACCCTTGTTGCGCACAGCTTTTTTTTTTTTTTTTTGCGGCGGTTTACCGCGTCATATCTGAACGAGCTTTGACAGGACCGGGGACCCGTTTCATAAAACTTTTTATCTACAACAAATGCTTACTTTCTATGATAAATTTGCACTCAGCCAATCAGACGCCTTGATTTCAGTACCTTATAACAATAGCTTGTAACTTGTTATTGATGTCAAGTTTCATGAAACAGGGCCCAGTGGGGAAATCCGGGTCCAGGCATAAAGGGGGCAATGACGCTTGGGAAGGAAGGGGTGGCATTATGTCTACTGGATGGATGAAATGCGAATTAACAAGTTCATCGATTGGGAGGGGAAGGGGGGGGGGGTCCCACCTGTCACATTCCTTGCCCCTTTGACCTTTCTATTCTCGTTTATCTGTTTTCTCGTGTTTTGTTTTATGGGGTGTGGGCGGGGGCTGCCTCAGTGCCCCTGTATCACTATCCTGTAGTTACGCCATTGAATTGGACGGAATCTTTATGAACCGAAAATGCAGTAAAAAAAAAATAGAAAGAGCCCCCACATTTCTTACCTAAAATATAGAAACATCCAGACATAGATATACAATAGGTCTCAACACTTTTACAAATATGTACTCAACATCACCTATAATACCTTTTCCATTCAATCCATATTCTTGTTGAGTTTCACAGCAAACTAAAACACGCGCATGCACAATTTACAATTATTTATGACAGAATGTAGACCGACTACATTTAAGCTACGTCATATAAAACACCTTTTTCAAACTACAGCAGTAGAAAGTTTCACATATTTGACACTCAAGGGGGGGGGGGTTGTTTCACAAAGATCCTAATTCGACCTTAACACTAAGTTGGATTTGAAAATTATGGAGAGCCATTTGTAGCCTTAAAATTCAAATATTTTAGACTGTTTATTAATTCTACATCAAGTACATGAAATCTCCTTTATAATAAAAAATATGCATGATTTGAATCAACATTTTATGCCTTTTAAAATAACTTTTACAAAATATTTTCATTGATACTAAACGGCTTTCCATTATTTTTAAGTCCAACTTAGGATCTGGGTGAAACAGCCCCTGGTAGATGATACCTTGAAATTTGATCCTCAGACTGAAGTTTGCACATCGTAATGTTGAAGGATGTAACATTTCTTTGCAATACGTTTATGACTATTATACTGATATATAATGATACTAAATTTGATTTTAATTTTTGAAAAAAAATCAAGCCCACGAAATATGTGTTATACCAAAGATTATTGTATATCGCAGTTGAATTTCTAGAGTAACTCTTGCAACCCAGAGACTAAGTTATGATAATGAGTTATTTAAGGTACAATTTTTGAAAATGTAAAGCTTTATTTACAAAAATCCAAGGAATATTTGAAAGATTATTGAAAGGATAACCATGGAACTTAACATCTCAATATATTTGACAATCTTTAACTGTCCAATGTGCAAATTGCAGTCTAATTCGGCTTTAACCTGCGTTATAAAATATGTATATGTCAAAGTATTCGCTTTTTAAACCTAGAAATTTCATCACCCTTCAAAGTTCAAGTTTATGTCACGATATTTGTTATATCCGATGCTAGCTGTATTTTGCTTGGAAGACTGGGTCCGTCTCGAAAAGAGTTGATATTAATCGCAACCATATATAAGAGATAGGATACTGCAAACTTGCGATCAATCGTAACTCTTTATAAGAGAGGGCACTGGGGTGTTTCACAAAGATCCTAAGTTGAACTTATCTCTAAGTTGGACTTAACAGTTATGGAAAGCTGTTGGCATCTATGAAAATATTTTGTAAGAGTTATTTTAAAAGGCATAAAACGTTGATTTAAAATCATTCATATTTTCTATTATCAAGGAGATTTCATTTTCTCGATGTGGAATTTGAAAAAGTCTAAAATACTTGAATTTTTGCTTTTGAATACATTTAATTTTAAGGCTACAAATGGCTCTCCATATTTTTTAAGTCCAACTTAGAGATAAGTTCGACTTAATTTGTGAAACATCCCAGGTATGGTAGTGGGGTCATACCAGTCGAACGACTGGTAACCGGTCTTTTCTTTTTCCACTGCCAGGCTGACGATGATAATGTAATTTATATATCATTTCAAATCTGTGAAAGGTCATTAGCCCATCCGGGAATAATTCAAAGAAAGGTTTGCACTTCTATTTATATCCAATTTTTTGTTGTTGTTGCAATGACCGTAACATAATTATGCAGTTTATGTCCATTGCACACGAAGCGTTATTACGATTGCGACATTGCGTGCGTTAATCAAGCCTGTGAAGCTCATTATCAGCCCCTACCGGAATATAACTTCAAACTTTTCATACGATATCGTCCTCACATAGTGCGTCAGAGATCAGTTGCTGACGCAATCCTATGTCAAGCACCAATAACCCCTCTTGGGCAATATTAAGCCACAAGGTCACTTTCAGTGATGGTGTTTTACTTAGGAATCGACCGTTGTTGCATCTGCAGGGGTGGCAGTCAACTCTTCGGTCGTTACCTCTGTATTCGTCACCCCTGTGTGAGTATCTGCGGTAGGTCCGGTCTGATCCGAAGAGTCACTCGTGATGAAGCCAGAGGAATCAACGGTCGTCATGACAAACGTGAGCTCATCCTCCTCCTCCTCCGTAGTGACTTCTTCGTTTGTGGTAGCAACAGGAGAAGATGTGGTCGTGGCGGTATCGGTGGTTGATGGTTCTTGCGTTGAAGTGATGTCGACTGTTGGAGTCTGGGTGGAAGGAGTCGTGGCGGTATCGGTGGTTGATGGCTCTTGCGTTGTAGTGATGTCGACTGTTGGAGTCTGGGTGGAAGGAGTGGTGACGGTATCGGTGGTTGATGGTTCTTGCGTTGTAGTGATGTCGACTGTTGGAGTCTGGGTGGAAGGAGTGGTGACGGTATCGGTGGTTGATAGTTCTTGCGTTGTAGTGATGTCGACTGTTGGAGTCTGGGTGGAAGGAGTGGTGGCGGTATCGGTGGTTGATGGTTCTTGCGTTGTAGTGATGTCGACTGTTGGAGTCTGGGTGGAAGGATTCGTTGTGGCGCTGACAGACTGTGTGGTGGTACTTGCATCTGTGGTTGTGGTCGGTACATTAGTTGACATGGAGGTTGCAGCCTTGGTAGCGAAAGTTGCCGCAGAGCTGGCAGATTGTGTAGTAGCAACTCCGGCCGTGGCTGGTGCATTAGTAAATGTGGAAGTTGTTGCAGAGCTGCCATGTTGTGTGGTAGCAACCCCGGCCGTGGTTAGTGCATTAGTCAATTTGGAAGTTGCTGCAGAGCTGCCAGGTTGTGTGGTAGCAGCTCTGGCCGTGGTAGGTACAGTCGACGTGAAGGCTGTAGTAGCCTTTGTGATTGTAGATGCTGCAGAGCTTGCATGTTGGATAGTGGCAACTGCAATTGTGGTAGGAGCATTGGTCGATATGACAGCTGTTGTCGGTGTGGTTGCTATCGATGCCGCAGTGGTGGCCTCGGATGACGAGCTACCAAATTGGATGTCTGTAAATAAAAGAATAACAGAAAAAATCGAAACATTCGGAGGACTGACTACTTAACTTAACAATTCGACTCCATCATGGCTTATAGAAACATCAAGGTAACACCTTTGTTGAAAGATCTGCCCCTAGGTTATACATTATGGCTTCCATATAACGGCGGAGAAGTGATTATACAACACATGTACAACTACCTGAATCGAAAACATCTTCGCCTATTGGGTGCAAAGTAAAAATTACACCTTTTTTAAAGCCGCAGAAATTGTCCTTTTGTCCTTGCAGCGTTGCTGCAGCCCCAACACGCTGAATGACGCAAAAGGGAACAAGATGTGCAGTTATTTATAATAAAAGTATTCTGTTTATGTATGGCGCTATCCAGGTGCGTACGCAGGAATTTTTCAAGGGGGGGGGGGGGTTAACATTTTTAAATCGGGCCGAAAATTTCGCATCGACTCAGCCAGCCGCTGAATAAGCGGGGGGGGGGGGGGGGGGTAAGAGGACACTCTTTTTTTTTTTTTTTGGTCCCAAAAAAATTGCATCGACTCAGCCAGCCGCTGAATAAGCGGGGGGGGGGGGGGGGGTAAGAGGACACTCTTTTTTTTTTTTTTTTTGGTCCCAAAAAAAATGCAACGACTCAACCGGCCGCTGAATAAGCGGGGGGGGGGAATATTTTTTTTAGTTTTTTTTTTAGGGGGGTTTATACTCATAAAAATACCAAAGAGGAGGGGGTTTAACCCCCCAAACACCCCCCCCCCCTGCGTACGCGCCTGGCGCTATCACATTATGTCTCTGTGCGCTCCCAAAGGATTTTAGATATTATGAATATCAGAATATGACCCTTACTGTAGCTCCAGAAAACAAAGCGTCAGTGCATGCATGTAAAGAATAAATCTTGACACTTGAAGCCCAAGGTGCCTACAACGTGACAGTATTACCCTGGTTGTAGGCTAGCTGCCCTACGGCGCTAAAGTATTCAACGAATAAATTCCCATCAGGTATCTACTTATTACAACTGGGTCGAGTGTGGCAACTGTAGATCAATGTCTTGCCAAGGGACGTTAAAGCTGCTGGATAAATTCGAACCCCCTATATTGTGGTACACTAGACTGCAACACGTATATAACTGAAACTTAACAACAAGACAGTAAGGTGATCAAACTTTAGGATAACAAAATTGTAAGCATCCAACATGGTGCAATGTTGCATACTCCCCGCCAAAAACAAAACAATTCAAAAACTTTCATTAACCTACAAGTGAATGTTAGTTGTCTGTGGACAGTGTAGGAGAAATAATAATGTGTAACCAATCTTGCAAATGATAGTTCCTTTATTAACACAATCCACACAACCAAATTTAGTTACATTCTAAGTTTTTAAGTCGTGATAGTCGAATAAAAAATATTGGCAAAAACTCTCTAAAACCACACTACAGAAAGAAAAGGATTTTTTGTTTTATTGGGGGGGGGGGGGGGAGGGGTGTTTTCACTTACCTGTTGCGAAATAAACAACGGCTAGTGCGGCACCGACGATAATGAGGGTAGATAAAATAGCTATGGTAGCGATCATGAACACAGTACTCCCTCCAGCTCCACCACCGGCTCCTGCTCCTCCCCCTGCCCCGCTCCCTGCTTCGAGGGCTCCATAATTACTCCTATCATTGATGGGGTGGACCCGGGTGTTGTGCTGGAACGAACGCCGGGGTGAGTGACGGGGCGACTGCTGGGGCGCACGGCCGTTGTCGTTGTAGGTGTTCTGGGTGGAGGGCTGTTGGTCCAATGTCGGGCTCCAGGCCTCCCGAAGGACTCGTCGCGGATTTGAGGATCGCCGAAAGCCCTCGGAGAACTCACTGCGTCGTCGCAAAACGAACGAAAGAGAAAATTTGGATTTATGTAGATACTGACTAACGTGAGTCCATCAATATGTGGAGGGGGGGGGCACATTTCTTAATCGGAAAATAAAATGCATGCATATTTACAAGGCTATACTGATTAGGGGGTCCTGGCATCTTCGTTTTTTGTCATTTTCCCCTTTTCCCTTTCCCTTCTTTCTTTTCTCGCCTCCTCCTTAGTGAATTTAATCTACACGAATGTTACCCCTGAGCTACAGCAGTCACTTTTTATCCAGCCATCAGAATTTCATTCGAAGAAAAGCACAACATTGGACGAACGGATTTGACAAAATTCACAAGCAATCGGTGAAACGGTAAAGCCACTGATGCAATGATGCTGGATTGCCCTTTCATAGTTTTCAGATATTTCTCTTCTTTTTTTTCCCCCCATCATTTACCTTTTTCATCATACTTTTTTATAATTTGTTTTGTTTAATCATGAAAATTATCTTCTAGCCTATATTCTGTTGCTCTCTGGTTTCTTTTTCTCACCTTTTCTCTTACTCTTTTAATTTCTTTCAATTATAATTCGTTTCAAATAGACCTTGATCATCTGAACAGAGGGACTAAAAAACCCACCCAAAACATTAGAATTTAGAACAATAGTTTGAATTTTACAGTGAATCTAGAATGAATCTAGAATTAAAACGTATATACTATGTCCGGAAGACAGAATAAGACCAAAGAGAAAACTTTCATTATTCTAAAATTTTCGGGTTTTTAAAAACAAAGAACGACAATTTGGATTTTTGCAGATTTGGTGTAGCTGTCTGAAAGATTAAAATTGGCACTGTATGTCGTCAAGAGTAAAAACTCAAGAACTTTTAAAGAAAGAAGGAGATAATCTTAACGTATTTTATGAGGTATATGTATTCTATGAACAATAAATAGAATTGCTACAACGAAGATACCGCTTTTACATTCGTCATCACCAATATTGACTTTTTATTTCATATTTTGTGGTTTTATTAACCGCATGAATTATTCACTACACAATCGGGTTTACATGGCCCGACAGAAAGGAACGTTGCTGTTGAATTGATTATCGCTAGGATTTTCTGTAAAAAGACATAAAATTCAACTAGAAAAAATGCAGGACGGTAAAGTTATACCCCGACAACTGTAACCAGTCGATCGGTCGACTTTTTTGCAATATTGTTCCTTGAATCATATAAAGGTAATTATTTTAAATACACAATAAAGTGAACCGAGCAAATGGCTTATAAATTAACTTATTTTATTTAATTTGGGTAAAATCTAGGTTGATTATTAAATATGTCAGAGTATTAGGGCCTGTAATAAATGTTCATATATAAATCAAAATTATCTCATCGATGAAAAAAGAAAAATAATTTGTAACAAATTCGTTAAACGAAATGTTTTCTTTGCGTTGATGAAAATACACATAAAATATAAGGTGATGCGATAAAAGCTAGAGCTCATAAACTGGAACAAATAGGTTATGAAAAATGAAGAAAGAAGATTATAATTGTTCACGAAGAGAAAGAGACACATCTTACTTTTTGTTAAATTCCGAAATGATAATAATGAAGAAAAAAAAGATATTATTTTAATGGGAGTCAGCGCGTTCAAGATTGAAGACAGAAGACCGATAATACCTACTTACAAATTTGACGTCAGACCTAGCATGACTAGCTACTTTGAGATGGTCTCAGCTTTTCCTATAGGATGATTTTGTTAAAATACATAAATCAATATTTAAGTAAACTTTTATGGTTATAATATTTCTACCCACCTTGCTGACATGTTCGCAACCTCTACATGGAGAAAAGATCTCTATAATTGACTCAGCAGAATATATTTCTCGGTTATAATCCAATTAGGGCGCCATGATGCCGAGATGAATCAACCCATCTTCTGCTAGTCCCCGTGTTTTTTGATAATGGCGTCTATTTGGAGCGGTTACTATATACAACCAGCGACATGTCTTGTGTAAATACTCGCGAGATGAAAGAAAAGGGGACAAGTTGGTACGATTGAGAAAAAGAAAGAGTAAACAGACAAGTTGCTAGAGGGATTATTCGTCCGAGGGGGCACTGATTTGTATGAGAAGAAATAGAAGCCATCTAAGGGTAGGGGATGGCTCGATGGTGTAAAGGAGATACAGAGGTAAGGGAGGGGGGCTGATGGGTGGAAGAAAATGAGATAGTGGCAAGGACGGGATTTTGACGATGAAAGGATTCGGATCAGGAGAAAGAGAAAGGGGAAGGGAGAGAGGGAGAGAGAGGGGGAGCTTGAGGGGAGGGAGAGAGAAAAGGTGGGTAGGGTGGGGGTAATAGAAAAGGAGACAGATAAAGAAGGGGAGAAAATACCCGGTTACCCGGTGAAAATAGATTGGAAAACAAGTAAGGCAGAGAGGGAGGTTGGTGGGGTTATAGACAAAAGAAGTGAGAGAAAGAGGTAAAAGGAATAGTTAGGTAAGAGAGAGAGAGAGAGAGAGAGAGAGAGGGGAGCGAGGGAGAGAGAGAGAGCACTAGGGATGTTTTCAGATTGTTTGCACATTGTTCATAAACATCTAAACATTCATGTGTTGAACATAAAATGGTGACAAAATGAATTTAAAGTGTTTGAAATATTTTGCTTGTCGTATTGACGCCGTATATTGATACAGCCGAGAGTATAATCAAAAGTGCAATCGAAAGTTATACAACAGACGGAGAGAGTACAAAACGGAGGTTCTATAGAGTCCTATCGCAAATACTTTCCTAACTACAAGCATGTAACTTTTGTTTTCTCGTCTGTGCAATTAGAGCTCATTGTCGATTTTCAACAGTGGTAACGAACTCTTGTCGTCTGCTACCTTAAATATCTGAATGACATTTTGTTGTGAACTTGTCTAATCTGCGCAATATTTCTACAGCCTAATAATAATTGGTGATTGGTGTTGTTTTTTCTTCTCTCAAAAAGTTCCTTAAATCATATAGAGATAATTAAGACACAATGAAATGTACTGAGCAAATCGCATACAAAATGATTATATTCGATTTAATTTGGGTAAAATCTAGATTGATTATTTGTATGTCAGATTATTAGGGCCTGTGAGAAAATGTTCATAGATTAACACTATCTCATCGATGAAAATAGAATAAGAATTAGTTAAATGAAGAGACACAAAATTATATCGATTACAAAGAAAAACACATAAATTATAGACAAAAGAAGCAAGAGAAATTAAAGACCTTCAATACTACTGGGCCAGAAGGGATTATACCACACAGCGAGGTCACTGACAGGTGGCTATCTCATTAACTAAGCTCTCAACTAATATAAGAAAAAGAGGATCATAGGAGACCAACAGGCACCGATTAGGGAAGTTTTCTATATAGAGGGAGCAAGTACAATGTAGCTATAAGTAGGACAGTGGGGCTACGAGGTAAAAGGAAGAGTTAGATAAGAGAGAGAGAGAGAGAGGGGGGGGAGAGAGATAGAGAGAGAGCATTACAGAAATCTGTTCTGATTGTTCTCACATTGTTGTGAAACAATTAAACATTAATGTGTTGAACATAAAATGCAGTTGCGTGACAAAATGCATATTAAAGTGTTTGATATTTGCTCGTCGTATAGACGTCGTATTGACACAGCCGAAGAGCAATCGAAAGTTACAAGAGACGGAGAGAGTACAAAAACGGCAGTTCTACCGAGTCCTATCGCAAATACTTTCCTAACTATAAGTTTGTTACTTTTGTTTTCTCGTCTGTGCAATTAGAGCCATTATCGATTTTTAACAATGTTAAGAACACTAGTCTTGTCGTCTGCTACCTTCCGCATGAAATATCTGCGCAATATCCCCAAATCATAATGATCAAAAAGTTGCTTTCTTCAGGTGTCCGGTTTTCTTTGCATTTGGAAGGCGATATTTAGGTCTTCTTTGCATCATAATAATAACAATACAACAAAACTATTTATAGCGCCTTTTCATGAAGAAGATACAGAATACTTACGAAAACAAACATTACAATTGACAAGAGATGCGATAGACTGAATAGAGGCATACATCAGAAGCAGTAGAATCCACCCTCTCGAGGATTACGTTGTCTTGTGATTTTCCTTGTGTGTTGACAGCTACTTTACAAGTAACGGTGCTACCGATTCGAGGCTGGCACGACGAAAAGTACCATTGTCAATTTGTTTACAGCTTAACAAGTCATGAAAGTATTATGAGATGGCGACATGCATTGCCAATTCGAGCAGTATAAACAAATATATAGTAGCGCTTTATGTTGAATGCCAGAAGAGTGATAACGTACAGAGCCTAGCTTGCAAGGCTTAAAGAAAACCGAGCGATTGTTCTTCGTCCCTCTTTTAAAATTAATTAATTACTTACTTAATTAATCAATTCATTTATATAAACGGTGAGGAGATAAGTAGAGCTACAGACAAAAATATACCAATATAAAATATATATACACACACATCCGTTAGCTTAAATTCATACTCTGCCTTTCTCGTGTTTCTCGTTTACTCATCTCTCTTTCTTTCACTCCTGGAAACCGTCTCTCTCTCTCTCTCTCTCTCTCTCTCTTTCCCCTCCTGTAAACCATCTCTCACTCTCCCTCTCTCTCTCTCTCTCTCTTCTTGTTTTTCCTCTTCTTTATTAGAACAACCTCCTCTCTCCCTCTCTCTCTCTCCCCCTCTCCCCTCCCCCATATCTCTCACCCTCCCTCTCTCTTTCTCTCTCTATCACCCCTTTCTCTCTTCACCATTTATTACCCCTCTTTCTCTTCCTCTGCCATCGTTTATATAAATCTAGGTTATATCCGTCATAGAATTTCAGACAGAATTCTTCGGCAGACAAACTATTATCTTGTAATTTCCTAGGATAGGGAGAAACACATATGTCAAAATTGATATATGAAAAAAATAAGCGTTAGATGAAACATGATTGCCTGTGATCATAATTAAACTGTTTATATTCTTTGATTTTCACACCAACATAATCAAAATGCAAAAGCAAAACAGCAAGGATTGTGTTTTAAACTTGATTTGATTTGATTTTGATTTTTTATTTAATAGCAACGAATATACATAGACATAATTTTGGTAAAAGGAACTAACAAAATAACATCGAGGTCAGTCCAATAAATAAATTGTATGAACATTGTTATCTGACATTAATATTTTTGTACAACTAAGAATTGATTTTTACAACATCATTCACACAAAAACGTTTAATTTCAATCATTTTTTTTTTTTTTTTTTTTTTTTTGGGGGGGGGGGGGGGGGGGGGGGGGAGTTATTATCAAGTTATTAACTGTTGCACAATTTACACATTGATTCGGATTTAGCCGTCTTATCCAATTGAACTTTTCTCGAAGGGTTTTAAAGGCTCTAAATTGTAATACAAATGGAAATAGTGAGAATAATGTACAAATGAGAAAAAAATATTTTAAAAAAAGTTCGTTGAGGTCATCATTATGCGTGTCACGTGCTATTCGTTAACAATCAAAAGACTGCGCGACGCGCTTGGATGTAAGCGCTTGATTGTTACGTCATCAGATGCTGCCACAGAAACTGGTGCTGCGCGTTCCCTTGCGTTTCGCAAACATTCTCATTTCTGACCTGTCAGAGCTGATACTATTGCTAATTTCTCTCCGAGAAAATAGGCTTTTCTGAATTATTCAAAGTGATCTTTGATCGAATTCATCATGGGTACTTTGCAGAGCAAGTACCAGGGACGCTACAAAAATCTGAAGAATAAGAAAGATGCGGTAAGATTGGACAAAAGAAATAGAAAAACAATTGCATCTCAGTCACCTTGTAATGGCTTTGACTTTACAATGAAGTACATGTAAGATACAATAAATAGGTCACCTGTAAATTTCCAATACAGGGCTGAGTACCAAATGACTGAAAAGTATTAACTGAAAACAGATTAGGTTGTTTGTCGATATGAATGACACAATATCTCGATTATTTAAACAAATCTTATGCATGATCAAAAAAGGTTTTTCGTTTTATTCCTTTTATTTCTCTTATTAGAATCAACGTTTAACAGAAACGTTAACAATCAAAGTTCATTTCATAGATAAAGATAGAATTGAGATTACAGTGTCATTTCTGAAACTCTTTATTAAAGACAAGGTATATACTGAAGATGAGGGGCTTAAATATGACAAAGCAAGGATTAACATGACAATGATTATGAATTCAATGAATAAATGAGAACTTATAGTACGGTTAAATTTGATCGTCCTCAGATTCAGCATCATGAGCCAACTGGGACAAACGAAACCGAGACAGAAGGTAATTGATATTTTGTAGGAGTAAAACATCTATGTTTCGTACCTTAAAGGAATTAAAAGTAACTTTCAAATAAAACCAAAGGTTCACGGCAAGGCGGTATTTCTTTCATTGTGTTTGTCCTTCTCTCTCTCTCCGTCTCTCTCTCCGTCTCTTTTCTCTCTCCTTCTCTCTCTCTCTCTCTCTCTCTCTCTGGTATTATGATATCATGTAGATGCACTTGAAACTACTTGGCAAATTATAATATAATAATAATAACGATAACATTATATTTATAAAGCGCCTTTCCATTAGATACAAAGCAAATAAAATAAATCAATATCAATGACATGAAATAACTCTCTCACTCTCTCTCTCTCTCTCTCTCTCTCTCTCTCTCTCTCTCTCTCTTCTGGAGACATCCAACCTTCTTTTCACTGCGTCTTTAGAAATAATGTATTTATACATGTTGTTTTTTTCTTTCTATTTAATTACATTTTGTTCTTTAGTCATTGGACATTGTTTCGCTCCCTTGGCCTGCACGGAGGATGCAGATGATATCCCAATGTCTCCTAGTCCGTCTTTATTCTCCATGCCTTCATTTGATGACGTCATCAGACGCATGACGTCAGTCAACCAGAATGCAGATACAACTGACCCAAGTAAGTACTTCCTTTGTTTCTTCTTCTCCCCATTCTCATACTCTTATATCTTTCCCGTTATCTTTTCATTTCATCTTTTTCATATCAAAAGTGATTTAACTGATTGGCAATATAGATATTTTTTTCAATTGAGTAAATTATCAAGCATATTCGCGCATAAAACAAACCAAATCAAAGTAAGTACGCAAACAATAAACACACATACAGCATCAAAAAACAACATTAGCACATAAGCAGAAGCTTATCGAGCACTTATAAATGCTATGAAAATATTGAAAACTATTTCAACATGTAAAGCTCCTACATATTCAAAATAATTGTATTATGCAATATCTTTCTGAGGACGAGCCTTGAACAGTGTTATTCTTTCTCCAGATGACTACGACGATGAGTCCATCATCGCCAGCGATTTTGACGAGGATTCGATCTCCTTATCATGGGCAGCTTCCTTCAACAGTAGTATGGAAATCGACGACCGTATCAACCAAAGTTCCACCGACATCTTCTCAGAGTCTGAGCAGGACGATGACGAGGCAGTCGAGTCTCGGCCTGTGAAGCAGAACACGAAGAAAACCCGTTCTATCTGTAAGGATATGCTTATTATTAACTACTTTCCATCTGAAAATCAAATTTCGTATACATTACGCATTTTCGCTATAGATTAACGGTTTCGAATATAATTATTTTAAGAATATAGCATACATTCCTAGATATTTCTTGATAAAGAGATTGATGCCCACGTAAGTAAAATATGTGATTACACGCTAAAGAAGTGTAATATATTACACCATCAAAATAAATCGTTAGAAGTGTAGTATACATCATCAAACATACACACCGCTAAAAAGCGAAATCTACATGACTGTGTAAAATCGACAAGAATATTATTGTTTTAAGAAGGGAATTTTGTTTTAGCTACAAAAACTTGTTATTTCATTTGTTGTAATATTATCAATACGTATTACATTGTATTTCAAAGAATGTCCATTTCTCCGTTATTCAGTGAAGAGCATTCGCAAACGTCTCCATCGTTACCAAGAGAAGAGAGAGCGAAAGAGACCCAAGGGATGGGTTTGGTGGACCCCAGAGGGCACTCTTTGCGTTTGTGTGAGTAAATAGCTTGTGCAATCCTGTATTGATAATATTTGTTATGATATTATTATATTGTAGCTTGAATAATAGTATTGTATAAAATTTTAAAAAGGAATGAAAAAGAAAAAAAAAGAAGAAGGAGAAATTGAAAGGAAGATAGCGCCTATAAAAATGACGCTTAACTAGACTTGGATATTGACTATGTATACATACTAAATGAATCTCGTTATATCTCTATATATATCCTTATATCTCAGCCTTTCTCTCCCTCTCCCTCTCCAGGATGAGAATGGCGAATTCTATCAGGAGCATCACGTGTTTGATAAGATGAGGTTTCGACGTAACGGAACAGAGATCCTTCGATACTGGGTCCCTGAAGGATGCAGGTGCTCAGACTAAAATCATCTCAAGATCAAAATCATCTATCTTGGCATAAAACCATCTCACCTCCGACGATCTCTCTTTGAAAAACAGTGCTTAGATACTTTGGCTGAATAAATTTGAATTGTATATATTTATATATAAATCACAGTGTGTTACTTTATTTGTACGGGTTGTGTTTATTGAGGGATCTGTGATCTTAAAAAGCGAGAGATGGAAGAAATAGAAATTGAGAGAAAGATAAAGAACATGAAAAATGCTTGACCAGTGGAAAATTCTCTTCGTGTGTACAACGAGCATAAAAGCAACGCTTTCACACGCAAGAGACACAGAAAAAACACTAAGATCAGCACAACCTCTTGGCGTTTCAAAAGTAAGCCTTTTATTTCAGCCAAACAACTTTCTTATCCAATCCTTACAACACTACAAGTAGAACTCACCACGAGCGCAAAAATGTACAAAATATAAGATGGCATTACATCATGATTCGTTTGCGCAGACGATACAATAACATAACCTTCAAAACGAGATCTATTTTCAGTTCACAAAACATCTATTTAAAACATAGATTCTTTTTTCCCACAACACCTTAACGTCGAGCCCGCTAGAGGCCGAAACGTTTCGTTTACAATATCAGTCACGCTAAAGCTGGAACATAACCTTCATGTGTTTTAAGTACATTAAGTATTGTTCATTGAGGAGTTCCACAGGGATCAACGCTGGGACCCCTAATGTTTGTATGTACATAAACGACAAGTCCACCCTACGTTTCCACCTTTGCAGAAGGGAAAATTCAACGAGCATTGTTCTAGAAAACGAATTACTCTAGGAAAAAAAAACGTAAACACATTAAGTACAAGTTGATGAACACTAACAGATGATTATTTACCACAATCATGATTATTTAACTCCTACCATAAACATGCCTCTATTACTCATCTTTTTTAACAACGAATCTACAATCAATAGATGACAAAATACAACATAACAAAGAGCCCCCAATTAAATCAGCAGAAAACAATCAATTAACTGTCATACTGGTCCACCTCACATTTAAATATTTCAAGGTCATCAAATACATAGATACGGGAAACACTTATAGTTCTCTTCAATAACTGGTGATTTCTCTGTAAACCAAACAAAATTTGATGTAATATATGTATCTATTGCACCGGTGGACACAAAAAACCAACATAGTCTTTTCAATAAAGTCCTAAACGATTACGTGCGTATTTTGTTAGAGGCAAAGTTGCGTTGGCACTCATTTTTAGAAAGAAAATGGAGGCATTTTATGAATGGGCTTCGCCCCTTGAATTGCCACTAATTATTTCTTTCTTTCACTTTTCCTTAATTTAATACAAATTAAAATGTATATTAAAAGAAGCAATATGATTGAAAATTGTAAACTGAAAACGAAAATGCCAATGGGACAAGAAAATAGCGAACATAAAAAAGTCTGCTTCCTGTTGACAACCACTTTCAATTACATTGTAATCATGAGCGGCATAGTACGTGTACGGAAGCAGAAATTAATCAAATTTTCTGTGATATTTGCTCATAATGCTTATATACTCCACGGAATTCTATATCAAAATGTAATACGTAAACGTCACCAAGGTGACACTCCACTCGTATGGCCATACAAGCGCTATAAGTTGAGCTCACTTGCAGAAATTTAAGAATAATGCGAAATACATGCCACTCAAATCATCGGGGTCACTATCACATCGATAACACTATGTTTAGGCAAGCTTTAAATAGTATGTGTTCCTCTCACAAGCACAGCTTGGCTGCTATGGATCGTTGCACATGATATTGTTATCAACAATCTATTCCTGAATACTTTTCATAATTTTTTCACAACTGAAGAATATCAAAGTAAGCGGGAAGAAGGATAAAACTGGTCAATAATCTCAACAAATAAAACAAAACGAGAGACGAAAGAAAAAACAAATAAACCTATTGAGGAGACCACAAGCAACATTGTCATCTACTAATATAATCCACATGATTAAACATATAGCAAGATGCTCCACCTGTCAAATACTGTTGTGGTAAAAACATAAAACAAAGATAATATGTGACAACAAAACATGAAGTACACATCTTTAGTTTCTGACTCGTAACAACAATGTCTATGATCGACTAATGCAATGCGACATTAACACACATCATTTTGGTCCGATACTCTGGCTACGTGTACAATCTACTAGGAAACTTGCTAAACTGTATGTTTTTTGCTGTACATTTCATCCTAAATATATACACTTCTACATAGCCTTCCTTTAAGTCAAATATACAACTAATTTTTTTTTATATTCCAACCAGTTCTTCACCCATTACAATTTTAAAACGTGCATGAACTTGATCAATCTACCTCTTTCTCATAAACTCTGCCAAAAACAGATCAATATCTCTGTGTCATATTACCCATTTGGGTTGACAAACTTAATTTTTCAATCAATGATTTAATTTAGGAGTTGTACTGTCACAGGGGCTGAAAAGAACCCATACATTTACATATCTACAACAAAAAGTGATGTTTACCAGTTGGCATAATTAAAACACTTGAAATTTAATATACTCATGAATACACACAGAAACAAGAAGAAATCAATATCTCGAATCAGACAATAAAACAAGGTACATGGACATTATATCGGTTACAATGTTCCATGAAACAGCACAAAAATATCACGATGAGCTTGATTTTTCTTCTTTTCTACACAGGTGAACATCCTCATATTTACTTTTCAGTAACAAATACATCCCTATCTAAAAACCTTTAATGATAACATAAAAGAAGAAAAAGAGCATGGAAATAAAATCTTCTTTCCCTTTTTTCATCTTCTTCATCATTCTTGATTTTGTACAACACATATCTGTACACGCCATTGTATATTTTAGCTCACTTTTTTCCAATTACCTTTCCAGTTTCAAAATTCATATATTGACAAATTGTATGCTAGGTATATTCCCTAGCAACAAACAAAATAAAACATCATGATTAAGGAGATTAGCTCCCTTGGTACTATAGAACAATTGCTGGTAACTTTTGATGCAAAAAAAATACACGCAATGATTTGAGTAAACATTTATTCAGTGAATGCTATCAAAATAGTGTGAATACCTATTACGTGAAAATTCTTCTCAAAACAACAACAAATCCACATGAACAACCTAAATAATACAAGATGCATACATGATCATGACAATTTCATTACAGCAGTATCAGAGCTATATGGAGTAAAACAAACCTAATATACATCTTTGTGACCTGATTATAAACAGTAAATAAGTCAGTAAACTAAAAAAAACATACAAACACAGAACCTTTACAACAAGATGCAGTGCGTTGTTCAAACCAACATTATAAATGTACAAACGTATTTACAGCACTCGATTGAGAGCAATAGTACACTAAAGTTTTTTTTTTCCTAGAATGATTTTCCTAGAATACTCAACATATTTGTAATTTGCAATAGATAACTAATACACCCCATTTTTCACAAACATTTTCACGTTGTAAGATTTCCATAATAATCAAATCTTACAATGCAAGTTCAGATTGATATGTTACAAATAAAAAGTCAAAGAAACGCATAAATGTAACGCCAAAACGATTCGGCACTTCACTGGGTTCAAAGGTCACAAACCAATTTTAAAAACACAAGGGAAGCCAAATGAGGTTTGAGTATGGAGTTGCTTGGATGAGCTTGGAAGATGATGATGATAATGATGATGATGATGACACCGAAACCTTGATTTGGATTCAGGAAACATCAGTACACAGATATCAAACATGAGCACCGAGTACTCATTAGAAGAAAACAAAAACACATGAAAACCAGGGTGAACATAACAATAACATTTGTTGACTTTACTTTACCAATGGATAAAAATGGTTCAAACAAATGACAGTAGGATGGGAAAGAACAATTATTAATGAGTGCAAATTCATCTTGAACTAGAAATAAATCAGAAATACATAAGGTACATGTAAGTACAAAATGGCAGCGGCTTCGCGTCTGATTTAAACAAAAACAACCAAAACATAGATGCATAGAATTCTTGGAGACAGTGAATCCTGTTATCAAAAGAAATTGCATATATTTGGCACCTAATAAATTTGATTTGATTTTAATGTTGTTGTTTTTTTGCAGCACTTATTGAATATCTAAAAAAAAAGTTAATTTACTCAGTCAAGCCATGTCAAGTTTATCCAAACATAAGGTTTACACTCTCAGAACGGTTCAAACTCTGAAGCCTCTTTTATCCTGAAAAAATGTGTCGAAAAAAAAATTCTGTTTTGCTTCATCTTAATGCTAATTGTTCCTATTCAAACAATTTATAAGCTCCTGTAAAAACATGAATTTTTATGAGCACACATATTATGTGAATTTAACGAGTGGTCGGATTCTTCAAAAATTGTGCAGCTTATTAATGGACTAACATTATTGATTCTTCGAAGTTCATGATGCAAATGTAGTGGTTTTTCAGTACTAAAAATGAAGTTGAATATTTTATTGCTCTAGTGACATCTATATCTAGAGGCAATATCATTTCGCAGCAGGGCAAGCAAATGGGACAAATCTCTCTGTGACAGACTGTAAGGAAATACTGAACAAGATTTCACGGTATCTATACTCTTATTTCAGTGCAAAATCATAACTGCATGTTCATATCATTATCAACATCAATAAAGATACTATTTCTAGAACAGGGCTACCTATTGACCTTAGCCTACATCGTTGTTGGTGCCACAGTATAGCACATGCATACCGGTTCACCCATCATGGCAAATTGTTAAATCTTAGTTCAATTACAAAGAATTAAGCAAGATGGTTGGCAATCAACTTTAGATGTATGTTAAATAGTCCAGATCTTAGTTAAATAGTCCCTATTCAGTGAAGGATTAATCCTCAAAATCTAGATAGATTACTGTACCTTCCTTGACCAGAAGTGCGTTTCAAATCCATGTGTTGTCCAGGTTTGAAGGTGAGTACTGCAACCTCTGAATGCGATTTATGACTCAATATGAGGGCTACTATTTAGGGGAATTTTTTAAATAGAAAACATTTCTTTTTAACTTATCCTTAAAAGAAGTACACAATTCATAATTACAGGAACACTGTTATGGCGGACAAGGAGGTAGGCCTAAAATGCAGCAAACGTTGTAATCAAAATATTTTACGCAACAAAATCAAATGCACAAATCAAGTAACATCTCATATTGTGAAGTGCATTCACAAATTTGGCTAAGTCACTGTACTTGTAGGTAATATGTACAATTTATTTTAAAAAACATTAAAAAATCACCAGAGTGATTGACACAAAAATGCATAAAGAAATTTTACGTTTTAATATGACGACTGTTGAATTTGTTCTTTATGGTATTGCAGTAAGCAACTCTTTTCAAGCCTCTGCCATGCTTCAAGTGCAAAGTACTGCTGAAAGTTCTATACAGGTATACTGTTAATACACAGAGAATTGTAAACATGTTCTTGGCATTTAATATATCATAACTACATATGGCACATACTGTAATATACACTTAAGATACTGGATATCTTTTTAGAAAAGAACACGTATCTCAATCAATCTTTGCACCTGTACTGCAGGACAAATACACTCGTACACTGACAAATCGATCCCAGCTTCATTGCAGAGAACAACACAATGGCCCAATTTGATTGGTAGGGACAGACATACATACATGTAACACAGTCAGCCAATCGGAGCTCACGTACTAGGAGGGTCTATGGATTGCACCAATGAGAGGAAGTGTTCCACTTTCTCCATCTTGTGTTCGGTTTTGACCAGTTGGAACCGGATTGGGCAGTCCAGGGTGGCGCAATGCTGCTTGTTGTCGGCAAAGCCACAGCAGCTTGTACAGATCTGCAAGCAGATGTCAGAGATGTTAGAAAAATATCCAATCATTGTAAAGATGCATAGGAGTGGGCTCTCACAGGGAATTTGACACCGTTCGGTGTTTACCCAATAACAGGTGTAGTCAATTATCTCAAGATTAGCCTTCAGTTTATGGCCAACAGGCCTTAGGTAATGACTTGCACTTTTCCCTCTACGAGAGACTAGGGGGTATTTCTTGATAGGCCTACTGGGTCGCTGTGTTCAGACTTGGACACACATGAATGGTATATCCAACAATTCTGGTGTCAGCGAAATATGGCCTTGTGCACTTGGAAACTGACGACCCACTCCCTTTAATAGAAGCACTAAAGGAAGGGTTTTCTTTCCTTTCAAAAAGTTAAATTTCCTACTGGAAGTGAAAACAATCTGGCCACAATAAATGTGTTTGTACAAAATGTAAGAAATCACAGAGAATCACTTTGGCTTTACCTTGTTTATCTGTGCCCTGGCTCGATCCCAATCCTGGACCCTCTTCATCAATGAGGTGACCGTTGTCTGGGGGCTTGACCGACATACCTCACAGAGACCAGACTGGGTCAAACGATCGCATACTGCACAGTTCAGGCTGCAGAAGTACTGGGAGATGGTGCCCTGCATGAGAAAGAACATGGTGAAAATATAATCATTGTTCCTTTCTGTGCAATAGACAGCGAATTCCATCTAAGAATTTTTAAGTGCTACGATATGTCAAGATGGAAATCATGTTTTGTCTTAATGGATAACCAGGCACAGAACCATTGATTTTGAAAGATAGTTTTCTCTGAAGATATTCATAGCTGGATTTAATCACAACCTCAAACGTTATCGAAGTTGAATCTCACCTTCCTTGCATGACTGAACTTTTGGCCTTGCTGGGGACAGTATTAACACGGACAACCCTTGGCAGTTTTCTACAATAGTCCACGGTATCAACAGCCATGAAACTAAAGATCTTTGCCTTCATCATAATCTCAACAATAATCCTAATCTAAACTTGAATAATCTATGCCAAATCTCACCTTCCTGGCATTAGCTGACCCTTTAGCCTTGCTGGGGACGGTGTTGACGTGGACTACCTTTGGCAGTTCTTGGTACCACTCCAAGGTATCTACAGCCATCATGCCAAACACCCTGTTCAATGCCGGGATGATCTGCCTGGTGATGTAGTAAGGGGCGTTGAGGTTGTAGGAGGGGTCCTGGAGGTAATCCTGAGGGGTACGGACCAGCTGGATGAGGGGTAAGCCGGGGCTACCGTGCACCACCACGTAGGGGACCCTCTCGCTCACCCTGGGCTCCGACCGACGGTCAACGGCAAGTTTTCGCCTGAGGAAAGGGGACGAAGGATGTGGCTAGATTTTAAAATAGCTTCTGATTAAATCAATTGGCGCACAAAGTGACAGTCCACAAATATTCATGCAGGGAAGTATATGTACATGTATCTTCACAGAGGTCATCCATGGTGTTCTGTTTTTTCATTTGTTCCTTAGGTGATAAATCATTTTTAGGAACCAACAATTTATCTATGGGTGCAAATGATTTTTCAAACCTTTGGATCTAAGTTGAAATAAGCACTACGCCATTGTATAAAATGATACCCCAAAGTCATTGGTTTTCAATAAATCTTAATTAGACTGATATGAATTCAACATAATTGTTCTGGCAAACATGACTGTCATTGGTGATCTATCACTATCTGAGATACAAACCAAAGTTTACTCACTCAAGAGCGCTAAATCCTGATAATCTTTTCCAAAAATGATTCTTCAAAAACTTTTAAGAAACTCCGCTGAATCTAACTTACTTGGCGATCTCCAAAGCTGGCACACAGGAGGTTGGTTTATAGTACTGTCTTCCCCTGTACTCTTTGGCAAAGATGAGATCTTGTAGACCGATCTGACCTGCGTTGAGCTTCTGGAACTGCTGCTGTACGTAACGTTTGACCTTTGACACGTCCTTGGTCTCAAAGAGGGTTTTGAGCGACCGCTCCAAGATCTGGCGGAGGAAAGGGATGGTGGGTTTCTGTTACGTAATGCCATGGAAATCATGCTTATTTTTAGATATTGATTATTTATATTTTTGTTTACGTCTCTACCCCAGCTACCACCATCATTTTCAACAACTGCATCACAGTACAACAACCATCATCAACATCACCATCTTACTACAACTGCTCTGTGATCAATATCCTACATGAATTGGATTCTTAGATTCAATCCCGAATCAAACATCATCCATGTACGTAACTGTAACGCTAGTCCTAACTAAAAACCTATATTGCAAACCTCATGCTGTCCCTATATCATTGACAAAATAAGGTCTGGAGCACATGTCAGATTACCTCACCATTATCAATTTCCAAAGTAGTAAGTTTGGTTTTTTGTTGTTGCAACAACAAATAAGTTATACTTGATATCAACACAGTCATAGCCAGCATTAAATGCCCCCCCTTCAAATAAAAAATCTCCAAATGCATATCACTGTCACCATGTAATCTGTTTTTACCACCCTCATCCATATCACCACTATCATCATCACCATCATCATCGTTATCATCATCATCACCATCACTGCCGCCATTCCAATTAACCCTGCGTTAAATCTTACCTTTGCAACTGCTGGGCAGGAGTCTCTCCTCACTGTCTCTATTCCTTTGGCATCAAACTCTGGTTCTTTCTGATCTGGTGACTCGTACTTGTATCCCACATACCTCTTCTTGGCTTGAAGCACACACGGTTTGTACACCTACATCATAATAATAATAATAATAATTACATTTATACGGCGCTTAATACAGGCGTTTCTAATCGCACAGGTGGTACTGTCTAACTCAGTATAATTATGCAACATGTTCAATAGCTAAAAAGCAACAACAAAAACAAAAAATTACTAATACAATACAATTAATTTGAATGGAATTAACTACTTGTGTGCGCCTCCAGTATACTATAACTGATTTAAAAGGTGGGTTTTGAATGATTCAATGGATGGGGTATTTTGAATATGGGTTGGGAGTTTCTTCCAGAGGGCGGGGGCAATCGATTAAAGGCACGGTCACCATAACAGGTTTTTGTACGTGGGCCATGAATTAATTAAATGGAGGGATCTGGCAGAAGAGGAGGATCCAAGCGAGACTAGGTCATGGAGATATTCTGTATAAAAGAAGTACGATCTTGAAAGTAATGCGAGAATGGATCATATATATATATATATATGGAGCATAATCAGAGGTGAAGATACCACGTCACCAATGCGTTCAATCTATCGTAATACAGTCAAACTTGCTTTAGCGACCACCTGTATAGAAAGACCACCTGTCTATAGAGACTTCATTTTTCATTTCCCTTGAGCAGAATTTCCCATTGAGACCTGTATTATAGGAACCTGTACATTAAGACCATCTGCTCTTTAAATAGTCTCCCGAGACCGGTCTTTTTATACAGGTTTCAATGTACAACAGAGCAAGAGTATAATATATGTCATTCAAAAATAAATTTAAATCATGACATTTAAAAAAAATCTATATTAGATGATTTCTTTCAATGCTTAAGTTTAACTTCCTACATGAAACAAAATATTCTAAAGCACCTTTATCATGATGGGAAATATACAAGAATATAGAGAAGTTTAATTTCCTTGGGAACCTGACAAAAACTTGAAATGGGGTTTTGCCACAGCATCTTTATCCACTTAAAGATAAAGTTGAGTTCTGGTCATGAGATTGCATTGTGAAAGAAATGGTATGGAATTGATCAGAAAAAGTTGATCATGTAGCTTATAAGTATTGGTGAGTACTGTAAGGTTCAGGATTCATCAAAATGAAAATAATTTTGGCCCAGTCGTGGTAAAGTAACAAAGCACTGTACACAGAAAGAAGTATATGGGACTTCACAAACATGTGACATAAAAATGTGGGCCTCATTTTTAAGCTGTTACTTGTCATATTTAGAATATGAAGGCATTTGAAGAGCCATGCTTTTCAGGGAACATTTTTTTCTCTGATGTTCTTCCACACTCGCATAATAACAATAACACTCATAAATTATTTTTCACCTCTCCCCAGAACTCAACCTTCTCTTTAACTATGACACCTCTAATGTGAAGATAATGATGATATAACAAGTGTGAAACTGACCTTCTCCAGCTTGAGTTTGACAGGTTTAGGGTTCTCCGCAGAAACGGCTGCAACGATCTCTCTCCCAATCTCAAAGGCTCTGGCTTTGGTTGCGCCCTTCACCAGCACAAACAAACTGATTCACAAAATAAAAGATAATTGACATAAGAGAAAGAAAGAAACTTTAGTTTCGAATTTATAGAATCTATAATGCAATAACAGAATCATGAATACCAGTAATGATATTCATAAACAATGTCAAATGTAACATGAAATTCAAGAAAACTACCTAAACATTACTATTTTGGGCAATTTAAGGTTTTCAAGTTTTTTTGAAAACACATAGAACATTAATGGTCAAGCCTTATGACCTATTATGTAGAAGCGAAGAGAGAAATTAACTTGACTGACAAAATGCTGAAAAGTAAGATATATGTACGTGGAAATGTAGATATAAAGAGTGATAAAAAGAGGACAAAAAAAGAGATGGAGGGAGAAAGTGAGAGATAGAGAGAGATAGAGAGAGAAAGAGAGACAGAGACCAGGAGAAACATGGGGACAGAGATAGAGAAAGAAAGAGATAGAAAACAAATAGAAGAGAGAGATAGAGAGAGGAAAAGTGAGAGTGAGAGAGGGAAAGATATACAGGGTTAAGAATCACCTGTCTGTGTCTCCATAAACCACTCTAGCGTCCCACTTAGCGGTGGTTTCGACCATCTTGATGGCCCTCTCGAGGGTCTCTCGCCCCTTCCTCACCACACTGTCACCAACCTGGATATGAACATGAAGATGAAGACATCTTTATCTTGATCTATCTTATCTTTATCTTCTAAACGATTATACCCCATTATTAAGGGAATCGTTACACAATAATATTTGTGTAGGACATTTGTGTACCATCATTTATACTTCTGATTATTACCATAATCTTCATCAACACCAGCATCATCAATCAAGATCTTTATCATTTTCATTATCACAATCCTCCTCATCATTATCATAATCATAATCATCATCATCATCATCACCACCACCACCACCACCACCACCACCACCACCACCACCACCACCACCACCACCACCACCACCACTACCACCCTCACCACCACCACCACCACCACCACCATCATCACCATCATCATAATCATCATCATCATAATCATCATCATCATCATCATCATCATCATCACCATCATCATCACCACCACCACCACCACCACCACCACCACCACCACCACCACTACTACCCTCACCACCACCACCACCACCACCACCACCATCATCACCATCATCTTCATCATCATCATCATCATCATCATCATCTTCATCATCCTCCTCATCATCATCACCACCATTACATGAAAACTCATTTTCTTCTCAATCACCCTCTTATTTCCAGAGTTAACTCTCTAAATCTTGGTGCAAGACCCACTTACCTCAATACAAGGCATTCGTCCAGAGAAGTTAGCCGACGTGTAGCCATAGGTCACGTTTGCTATCAGCTTCAACCCCAGCTGCCTGTTATCCAGCATCCTCTCCAACACCTGACAATAAAATCAAAACATCCCCAATGAAACATTATCCATAAATACTACCAGATGAAAAAGGGCATGCATGTTTGGTATTGAATCCCCCATTAATAGGCATTTGAAGACACTTTTTCTTTGTAAAGCTGGGCCCCGTCTTACAAAGAGCTAATATCAATCGCAACTTATTTGCGATTGATATCAATCGCAGCTATGTACATAAGAGATAGGAGACTGCGAACTTGCGATTGATTTGAGGACTTACGATGGATTTCCATATCCTGATTTGCTGGGGACCCTATTTTGAAAGTTAGGATCTACATCTGCTCTGTAAATATAGTGGAACCTTGTTATAACGAGGTCCTTGGGACTATGAAAACTACCTTGTTATAATTATCAGGAATCTTGTTATATCAGGGTAAAAAACGAAAGAATATAAAAAGCTGAGACTAGCAAAATCACCTTGTTATATCAGAGCTCTTTATACCAAGGTTCCACTGCATTCATGTTTATATCAAAATAATTGTGAAACAGTATCTTTTCTTTTACAAGTGCTCTGTAAAGCTCTATTTGATCAGTCATACCTTGTCTCCTCTGTGATCTTTAAGTGCTTTCTTCACCATGGTCCTTGTATTGAGAATCTGATCCAACATCCTGCAAAGAAAACAGAAATTAGACCTCTAAAACCCCCTCATTTACAACTGCTGAACATACAGTTAACAAAAAAAATATTCATAGCCCTTGTAAAAAAAAAAAAATTCTTTTCATTTCTTTTCTTTTCTTTTTCTCTTCTTTTCTTTTTTTTTTCTTTTCTTCTTTATAACTCAAGAATAAAAGGTAGACTGGTTGAATAAGGTTGAGTTTGTTGAATAAACTTTGATGTGAGCTGGATAACTAGACAAAGAGAATGTACTATACAGTTGCATAATTACCAAATATCCTACATGTATACTTATCCAATACAGTAGAAATAAAATGACTAAAATTTCAAGGAAATGTACGACTACATAAGTTTTTTCACTTAATCATTCATGATATACAGAGTATGATCACTTCAAAAAAAAATTCAAGGCCTCGGCATCAAAGTAGGCCCCAAACTGTAGGCTACAGAAAAACCAATACGCATTCAGAATCATGCAGACTGAAATTAGCAAAATTTCGTACATAATTTCATACTAAAACAAAGAATTAGACTTCAAAATTTGACTTCTATCCATCAATATGTCATGCCTGTCCGCAAAGTAACCACACAAAGTGTCGTTGTTTCTCTTATTAAAACAGGAAACCTCTATTTTACATCCTATCTGAGGGATATAGACCAACTCACCTGGGGAGGACACCATTCCTGACGCTGTGTTTCACAAAGGCTATACCGTTAGGGGCTATGTGGACACCACCCGAGGCCAGGAGCTGGTCCAGTTGCTTAGGAGGGATAGAGAGGGTGCGACAACCCAAAACAAACTCACCGCCTCTGTAATGATAGGAGAAATGAAGACAAGGGATAAAGAGTCAAACTTACTTCAGTGACCACATGAATAGGAAGAACACATATTAGTTTCCCTTTAGACAGTATTTCCTATTGAAACAGTTCAGCATTAACAACACATGTACATGTACTTCTTGTACTGCTTTACAACAGCCAAACTTTGAGGGGCTACCCTATGGGGAGACTGTCCAAGGCCAGGAGTCAGTCCAACTGTTTAGGACGGATGGAGAGCGAGAGACAGCCAAGAACAAATTCACCTTCTCAGTAATAAATGATTATTAAAAAATAACAATTTCAATAGCTAAACACATCGCCTATTAAAATGTGTTGTGACTGTTTTCAGATTCATAACTCACTATCTTAAAATTATTTTGGAACATTGGGTTAAAGCCTGTCTGCACTAGTTTGGCCAGGAGAGATAAGAACTCCCTGCAAGGTCACTGATAGGTGGTCATCTCATCTAATCAGCCCTCAATTAACACAAGAAAAAGGGGACCATGGGGGACCAACGGGCACCGCTTAGGCATTGTTAGCTATATAGAGGGCGCAAGAAGCTACAAGTAGTGCAGTCCGGCTTTAATACATAGAATAAATACACAATATAAAGAAACCAATGAATATTGCATACTGGGCAAGATGTTCCACGCGGCCGAGACAGGTGGAGAAGCAATAGTTGTACGCGATCATCATGGACGGGTAGAGGGATGCGAAGTCGAGCACGATGACGGGATCCTCATAGAATCTTGACTCCGGTTCCATGACGAGGGGGATGCACTCTGGTGCCTTCGACCGCGACCTCTGCTGGACACTGGGCGATACGGCGATGTAATTCCCGCCCTTAGCCTGCCGCAACATCATGGACTCGACTCGATACTGTGAGGTGAAGGAACAAGCGAATTATTTGTAATTGGATGATTTGAAAGTGATCCCTTAGAGGTAGAGCAGTGGTTCATAACCAGAAAGTCACTGGTTCAAAATAAAGTCAATGCATTAGTGCCTGAAATTGAGATGTAATTCCTGCACTTCGCCTGCCGTAACATCATTGACTCGACTCGATACTGTGAGATAAAAAAGCAAGTATATGGTTTGTAATTGGATAACTTGAAAGTGATCCCTTAGTGGTAGAGCAATGTTTCACCAAAAAGTCACTGGTTCGAAATGAAGCCAATGCACTAGTGCCTTTGGTATTAAGGCATGTACAGTATACTACTCTAAGTCAATTGGATTAAAGCCATAGATACATGTACAATGGGTTTTTATCAAGGTCTGTGGTTTGAAACCAAGTCGATGCACTACAGCCTAAGGCATTAATCTTGAGTTACCAAGTCCCCAGGATAGAACATACAGCCATAACTCCACTGTGTCTTAACTACTCACACCTACTTGCTTTCTTAGCAGTCAGGTAAAATAAAGTCACCATCCTCTTCACTTCTCCTAATGCAACCATTTTTTACATGAAAATCTATCTGATTTATTCCTGAATTATTGACCATGTAATAATCAAATATTGGTTTGGACCACCATAATGTGGAGGAGATTGTTAATACTTTCTGCTTACCTGCACCTTAAATATTTACACATGTGACAAAGTATGTTTCTTGAGTTACCAAGTCCCCAGGATAGAACATACAGCCATAACTCCACTGTGTCTTAACTACTCACACCTACTTGCTTTCTTAGCAGTCAGGTAAAATAAAGTCACCATCCTCTTCACTTCTCCTAATGCAACCATTTTTTACATGAAAATCTATCTGATTTATTCCTGAATTATTGACCATGTAATAATCAAATATTGGTTTGGACCACCATAATGTGGAGGAGATTGTTAATACTTTCTGCTTACCTGCACCTTAAATATTTACACATGTGACAAAGTATGTTTCTTGCCGTTTGATATGCCTATATACCTAATCTTTCTCTTCTCAAATTCCTTTTGTGACTACTAATTGCAACTACCAAAAGTCTACTGGTCACATGCAAACAAATAATACCAAACCGAGACACATTTATGATGATAATTACGATCATACCTGAGAACCTCTTGATAGCACAGAGTAGAACTCGATACCAAAGAGCCTGGCTAGCTCGCTGGTCCTTCCAATCAGATCGAGTTTCTTGATAAGTTGGATGTTCCCTTTCACTCTGTCAGCATAGTACTCAATTGTCCTCCACCTAATGTGAGATTTTGAATAAATGGAATTGTTTCAGAGTGCAGTATTGGCAAATGAGCATGTTGGATTAGGATACACTAAATATTACTTCCTTTATACATGCATTCACAATCTTTGGAAATATTGTTGACTAACGGTAGACAAGAACATGGAATTTTTTTCTTTTCTTCTAAATTTCATAACTGTGATTTACGTATCATTTATTGTAGTAAATTCAATTATATCATTTTGAATAAATCACCTGCAAAATCTGTTCCAAATTTAATCTCAATAGAACATTTACATAATTTATACACAAATCTAATGCATACATCTTCTTCTTCTTTTTTTTTTTTTTGGGGGGGGGGGGGGTTTCATTACATGGATAAAACTTAAAAGACTTGCGTCATATGCAGTATACAAAAATACAGAATTTTCTTGTACGTTACAATTTCATGTATCAAACAACAAGGGATTTGAAACAAGAAAGGCACAGCTGGACATTGAAAGTCTCTGGCATGGAATCAACCACAAACCTGTAGCACGCGGTAATGTGGTCAAACCAGTCGGTCAAGGAGCGGAACGTAAAGAGAGGGAGCCGCTGGTGAAGGACATGGTATGCAACATTCTCAAAGGTGTAGATGTTAAGAGTCACCTGTAAAGAAACAAAGATGGAATTGTGTTTTTCAATAATAATATTTTATGTTGAAATCAATTAGTGTAATATGCACGATTATCTACCCCAAACAATTTGAAAGAATGTTCAAATTCAATGCAATTATTTTCACAAAACTATTAACGGTATCGCCTAACAATGTTAAATCTGAGATGAATGGCCCTACGTATTATCAATGTATGTGATATGGTGTAATATTGAAGCCCTAACAAAATTGCGCTTCAAAATGATCATGAAGTGCCTCAAAAAAGTAAAATCTTGGAGTGACCGGTTTTTCCATACTCATTTTCCCCAATAGACTGTAGCGTATTTATAAAAAACCGTTAGGAAAACAGTTTTTGAAATTTTGAGTCACAATCATAAATATCTTGATAATCAGACAGGCGATTGGCTTGTAAAAGTCATCGGATTCCTGTCTGACCTACAGGTTTATAATTATGACTGCAGCATGAGCTAAATCCAGGATTTTGTTTCAGAATCTAAGACAAAGTTACCCAATCCCTTTAACAGAGCTCAACCTTCTCTCTATTTTTTTTAAGAAAAATAAAAAATGGAGAAAGGACGGCATAGAAAAGAAAACAATCAGGGCTATATAATAGGGGTATTCCACTTTACCTCGTGCCTGATTATCCTCCATAGATTAAGGACAACCCTTCCAGCCACTGTGATCTCTGACATGTGGTCGGCGCCGTACGCATCTTTCTCTGCGGCAAAGTGACTCTCACGCTTATCATCTGAAAGGAAAGACACAATAAAAAAAGGATCGTAATCAATGTCGCTTCAATTCTGATTGTTAGGTATTAGTTAAAGCGGGACTGCACTACTTGTAGCTACTTGCGCCCTCTCTATAGCAAACAATGCCTAATCGGTGACCATTAGTCCCCCATGGTCCCCTTTTTCTTATGTTAATTGAGAGCTGATTTGATGAGATTACCACCTGTCAGTGACCATACATGGAGGTCTAATCCCTCCTGGCTAAACTAGTGCAGATAGGTTTTAAATGAAACAGCTAAACGGTGAGAGTTTGAACGTCTATGGTTCACCACCTTCCTCAGACATTTTCTTGCAAAGTGAAAAGTTATATAGCTTCATGATTTTGGATCCCCAAGTGAAAAATGTCAATCTTCTGATTAATAATCCACTTTCCGATAGAATTCTAATTTCAAGCATATTACAAATAAAATACTAAGGGCTCTCTATCTACAACTTGCTTCCTAGATTGTCAACTTTTGATTTTTGCATCATACTGAATCCAAGCAACCATGTGCATACCCATCGTTTATATTGTCTTATCGCGTGCCATTTGACTAGAGCCATTCACCCTTCCCCGTCAAATGCACATAGATGACCAGCTTGAGAAAAGTAGACAAGGCATTAGATCGCAAGTACCCTTAATTTTATACACTTTTAACAAAGTATAATCTAGGCTATCTAATATAACAGATGTTTACTGGAAGGGATGTAATATGGATTCTTTGGAACGCAACTGAGTTATATTTTCCCTCAACGATATGTGCTTCGGGAAAATATAACCCCCATCGGCTGTCCAAAGAATACTCTACCATTCAATATCTTTATACTGTTGGATATTGAGCCCAAGAAAACTTAGGCGTGAGCCTATGAAATAGATGTCTGTAGCACCAGCACACATCTGCAAGAACACAAGATTAATCCAGGCATACAAACTCTCACGCAATCTACGATCATCTACACACTTAAACCTTGTGTCTACTTTGAAGTCAACTCTTTCTTATGGTCATCGCTCTTTTTGCACAGCTTCTACTAAACTTTGGAACACGCTGACCTTTACATGTCAAAAACTGTCAGACTGTCAACCAATTCAAAAGCTGTCTAACTTACTCTGTTCATATTGATGTATATTTCATATGTATTGTAATTTGTAAGTTTATTTGTAATATTTTGTTTTGTTTAATATGTAATTGTTTGTTATAGCGCTTGGAGACTCGATAGTAAGCGCTTTATAAGCACCATCATTATCATTATTATTATTATTATTATTATGACTCACCTGGTAATCTTGAGATCAGTTGACAGAGCTGTACCTCAAGGAAAGCTGCTCTCTGGAAGAGGTAACCCCATGAAAGCTGCTGAATCTCAAACCCTGCCAACATGTCCGGATCATGTCTGGAAGAATACAAGCAGAAAGGGTATTATTTCTTCTTTATTTATTTATTATTTTCTGCATTGTTCAAAATTTTACATAGTATGATCATGACCATCACGGTAGTAAACACTAGATTACGATCATTATACATTTGCAATTGTAAATAATACAGAAGCATACAGAGGTATGACGATATAAGTTTAGTGCTTGAGAGATTGCCACACCTTATCATCTAACGATATATTTTTTTAATTTAGCAATATCATTTAGCAATATTGCTGCTTTACAATATATTTCAACCCCTACAGTGTTGTAGACAATATTTAATTGCCCAAATTTTTATATTTTTATCCATAATAGTTGGTTTCTTCCTTAAATTCAAGGCACATTTATAAATTGTAGATCATGTAGATGGTAGTTTTTAGCTCAAAATCTTACCTCCTAACAAGTTTGACAAACTCCTCAAACATCTCCTTCTCTTCCTCCACATACGTGACCTCTATCCCCATGACCCCTGACCTGGCCATCCAATCCCGCTGGGTCACCACATTCAAGTCAGTCACGTTCCCTCCATCGCCCTTTGACCCCTTCTTTGAGAGGTCAACCATAATCACCCCGACCCTGATGTGACCCTCATCACTGACGTCTTTGCTTGCATCTGCCGAAGCTTTGGGGTCATCGACATTGCCACGGTGATGGTTACCGGGTGGGGCTTTGTTGTCAGGGCCATCTGTATGGATGCAGTAGAATATGGCTCGTATGGGGTCAAATTCAGGGTCGGGATGGTAGTCCCGTCTTGTACGGGCATGGACTTCAAGACTCATGGTGGTCAGGTGCTGAACCTGTTCAAAAAACAAAGAAATAATTCCCATTAGCTCGGCTTATCTACCCAAAGAGGAATATCGCTAGAAACATTTACACAGGGTAGCTACTACGAAAACATACTCCATTTAATAATCCAACTTTAGCTATTAAGGGGCAATGATAATGCCCTCAAAAAATTCTACCAGGCACCTCTTTGGATGTACGTCACCTGGGTGGCAAGTGGTAAATATAGATTATTATTACCCGTACCAGACATCTGAGCTGGTCATTTACAAAACCGTATTGCCCTAGTTTTCACTAGCAGTGGGAACGGAGGGGTATATTCTTTGTATTTTCCTTGGTCTCCCTGCGCGTATTGACTTTGCGTGTAGAGACGAGTGAAAATATACCTTGGTATTTTCCACGGTCTCGCATCCGGGCATCTTGTATCGACTGCGCCGTATTTTGTCATTTTCATTGCGCATCTATTATGCGTACGAGAACCTGTGCACTTTGCGCGCACGCTATTGTGACGTAATAATCACACCAACTGTACACTGTTGGCAGTGTATCGAAAATTGTGTCAAGCACTGGATGCACAGTGATGGGTTGACAAAGTTTGTTCAGTTCTTGAGATTGTCATGGTGGATGTCTGTATTTGCTCTAGATGTCTGATTTGGATAACAATAAAAATATTGACTGGCTTTACTTTCGGGGGGATATCAGAAATATTGACCGCGCTAAGACCATATTGCCCTCGTCTTTCGACTCGGGGCAATATGATCTCAGCTTGGTCAATATTTCTGATATACCCCTCAAGGCCAGTCAATATTATATAAATAGCTTGACAAAGGACGTTAATACCGCAACAGGGATTCAAGCAACATTTGATGTTATCCACGGTCTGTTGACTTATAATCAACTAGACCAGTACACCTCTTATGTGACACTTTAGCACTAACATTATCTGTTGATCTAAAATGTTACACATATAATGACAGTGCAGGAGGTAGATAGATAGATATGAAGAGACAAATTAAGGGAAAGAAGAGATAAAGCTGATCTCCTACTACAAGAATCATGAGAGTACAAGGGAGAGAGAGAAAAATTCAATTCAATTCAATTTAATTTGGTTTTATTGTAAAATTAGAACATGGCAAAAGTGTAAATCATATTATACTATACTTTGTCATATTTACAGTAAAATATAAGAAAATACATGAAGTAAAGTTATGAATACATGTAGTAACTTTACCTATATAGTAATTCAATAACAAATAACAACAAAATTATGACTTAATGCATTGAAAAGTATAAAGTTAAAAAGCAATTATGTTAAATTCAACTGGATAAATTTTTTACAAGATTAAACAAAACCAAAAGAGAGAAAACTAGAGGGAAAGAAGATACGAAAAGTTGATTTCTTACCACATGAAGAGCTTTTGCATCTTGAACATTTCCCTGGCTGACCTTGAAGCCATAGGTATTCTTTGGGGTCGGTCCCTCAATCTGAGAGGTCAACGAGCGTTTCTTCCGCAGTGCAGCGTCTGGAGTAACCTGTGACGGACAAAAGCATACCATGCACTGATTGATTGAAAGAGTTTAAATTTACTCCATAGAGATAGAACATGTATGTAGATATGCCTACCTATCAATACTAACAATATACTACCAGACTCTCCTTCTCTCTTTATTTCTCTCTCTCTCTCTCTCTCTCTCTCTCTCTCCCTGTATATGTCTATCCTAGTTGATGTCTTAAGTATCTTTTTAATATGAGGTCTAATTTTTACCGATGCATTGTTATTTTACCATGCAATTACAATTTCACTAACGAGCAACATTCCTTGACATTTTCACTCTACCGGGTTTCGCCATTGACTTTGTTTCAAATATTACAGACAGAAAATTAAAAATCTGAGATGAATTACAAAACAGTCCAGCAACAATTTGAAGAAAAAAGGGAGATAGAACAAAAAGATGGAAGAGTGAAAAATGTGAGAGAAATGAAAGTTTCTAAGAGAGCGACAGAATGGGATTAATTGTTATTTGAATAATTCAACAAGTTGTACAGATTTGGCAATCCACTATGCTTACCTGTGCAGGAGTGCATGGAAGGGAAGGGTGCTTCATCTTGGTAAGGTCCATGAGGGGTGTAGGCTTCTGCATGGCAATGGGAGTCACTCCAGGTTGTTCCTGTGACATCATAGCAGTCCTTGACAACGGGCGGAGTGGGGTGCTTGACAGAGGAGGGGTACAACTCTGCGCCCCTCTAGGAATCCCAGCCACGGGAGTAGTCATACTGGAACCTTTATGGGGTCTGGTTTTCTGCTTGCCACCAGGAGTTGTGGCTGGGTTGTTGGAGTTGGTAGCTGTAGAGGGGTCATTGGGGCAAACCCTTGTTGTAGGTTGTCCCTGAGCAGGGATGCCATTGCTGCTTCCACAAGATGTGGCTGATACATGTAGAGATGATGTTGGATGTTTACTATCTGCAGCAGCAGGCGTTGGTTGAGTTGCTTGTAGAGGCTGTTGCCTAGGAGTCGCAGTTTGTTGCTGGGTCGACGACTGTAACGGGTAAGCACCAGGTTGCAAGGGCGAAGTGCCTTGTGGCGGAATCACATTTTGCTGGCCACTAAGTGGTAGCTGTGGTGCATTGTTGCGATCATCACTCTCCATGTGTGCCTGCTGTCCTTGGGGTGTTGTGTAGTGGTTGTTCTGATTGCTGGGCAGGTTGCCATTGTGTTGTTGTGGCAAGAAGGGCGTACTCTGTCCTGGTGAGGAAGGTGGCAGTGTCACAGCTTGTTGCCCATGTTCATGATTCTGCTTGTACCCTGGAGGAGCAGCCGGATTGTCATGCCTAAAGCCATGTCTCTGCTCTCCTGGCTGTTTGGTATTCAGCCATCCAGCCACTGATCCTCGAGGTGGGGGATACTTTGAAGGCATCCACACAGCATCTCTGTTGTACCCCTGATGAGAAGTGGGATAGCCCTGGGAAGATGATGCCTCTCCCTGTGATTGGACAACTGTCTGCCAATGGTTCAGTCCCATCGTTCCACAGGGGGTTTCAGCAGGCTGCAGTGATGAGGGAAGCATGGTCTGAACATGTGCTTGGCCAAGGCCCTCCCTGTATGACAAACAAGACAAAAAAAACAATAGAAATATGTGGCATCAGTAATAGTAACATTTGCCCTTTTAGTACAGTTGGAAGAACTATTGACTGTTTGATTAAAAAATAAATTTTGATGTAATATATAATTTCCATAACTTAGCCCTTGGTACAAAAAAATCACGCTCAGAAAAAGCAGCAAATCATGTCAAAATGTTTTTGAATTAAGACAATACACACAAGTCCCCAATCTAAGCTACAGTTCCTTCTGACACATTGGTCACAGTATGAGAACATGTTTACAATTACATATAAGTACAAGTAGTTCTTTATAAATAGCAATTTGTGTGTTGTGGTTATTTTACCTGACTGCTAAGAAAGCATAAATGCTTGTTAGTATTAGCAACCAGAGGACAGACTGCTTTAGGTCCTCTCAGAGGGACCTGGTGATGAGGTTTAATGCCTTACCAAAGGGCACTAGCGTATAGAACCCGTGTCGCTGGAAAGATGTGGATAGACTAAAACATCTCGCTAATAAAACTATAAGTTACAATGAAAATATGTGTAGCTTTAAAGACCGTCAACATTACTGGGCAAGAAGGGGTTAGACCACACAGTGAGGTCACTAACAGGTGGCTATCTCATTAACTCAGCTCTCAGCTAAAATAAGAAAAAGAGGATCATGGGGACCAACAGGCACCGACTGGGGAAGTTTTCTATATAGAGGGAGCAAGTAGCTACAAGTAGGACGATGGGGCTCTAATTTCAAAGGATCTACATGATGAGTACTCACCTCTGTCTCCCAGCATGATCCTGAGGATTTCCCCAGTATGCACCTTGGTGGTGAACCTCTGGCAATCCATACTCCTGGAGGCTGCTCCTAACCATGGTGTCTGTCGGAGGCATAGCCACAGGCCGCCAGATCTTGGGCTTGGCTGCCGGGACTGTAGATCCGTTGCTGTCTTGGTACGGGTGCTGCTGGGGACCCGGTTGATAGGGCACTCTGTAAGCAGCATGGGTCTGCGATCCAGAACTGGGTGACTGGTGCTGGTGGTTAGGGGATTGGGATGGAGGGTTGGGGTAGGAGGACTGGGTGGACGGGTACGGAGGTGGGTATCCCTGATTGTTACCTGGAGACGGGTAGGGCGGAAGATGCGGTTGGCTGAAGCCCTGACTCTGGTTTGACACCCTATCATTGGTATAGGCTGTTGACTGATTAAGAGAATGGCTGGACATGTCGTACATGCTTTGGCTTGTATGCGAAGCACCGTGGTAGTACACCGATTGGTTGTTTGTACTGTTTCCTGGATGGATAACTGGTTCTTTGGAGTGATTTCCTTGAGTGGTAAGTTGTGTAGGTTGACTGGAGTTGTACTGATGCTGAGGAGGGCTGCCACTACTATGTTCAGAGTCTGTCTCTGGAATGGTTGTTGGTTCTTGTGATCCTGGTGTCTGCAAGGTCTTACCCTGGCTATGGACAGCGAATTGAATGGAGCTGGAGTTGCTTGCACTTCTCTCAATGCTGCGTGGAGAATGAGCTGTATATGGCGATGATGATCCAGAGTTGGTTATGTCAGAATAATATGGAGGAGGCTTCTGGCCCGGAGGAATCTGAGATGAACTGTTACTCACACTTCCCTCAGAATTGGATTGAGAAGCAGCCTGCATTGGGATATTATTTTGAGGTAGAAGTGGACTACTCTGTGGTACAGAATGTCCTCTAGATTTGCTTGCACTATCTCGTGCCAGTTGCTGACTTTGGCTACTCGTTGCATGATGGTGAACCTGGGCTTCAGTAGTACAGTGACTACCATTAACCTTGCTTGTTCGTCTATGTTGATTAGAAACTTGACCGAGTTGAGATGGTATCTGCTTCCCCCTTTCCATCCTATTGACATGGCTGTTGGGAACAGAATTATCAAGTTTGGCAAATTCATCAGAGATGGCGTCCTTCTCTAAATTTCCATGGAGGTGATTAAAGATTCCAGAGACATCTTCCTGGAAATGCTCCAGGGCAAAATCATCATTGGTTGATTTTGTCTCTTGTTGAAGGGACCTTCCTGCAGTTGTGCCGCCTAGCATCTTTTCATAGACGCTAAAGTCTGAAATCTGCCCAAGGTTTCTCTCAATAATATCCATTTCGTTATCAGAGGTGTGGACAGCAACTGTCCCTTCCTCCTTCCCAACATTTTCAACCGGCAGGGGCGCTACTCCATTTTCCTTGTCTATGTACTCATCATCCTCCTCGTATTCCTCTTCGGTATCAGATATCTTGCTCAGTGGAGACCAGCATCTCGGCGGAGAACTAATCTTCTCTGGACGCTGTGGAGAATAGCATGCCAACCGCCACATCACATCTCGAGAATCATCCTTGCTCAGTTCTGAGATCTCTGGAATGGGGTTCTTTGTGATCTCGTCGTCTGGAGGAGTGATCGGAGGAACAAAGTTCCAAACTTTGTTGTCAGGACCACCCCCATAGATGTCTTGTATCTTGGACTTTGCTCTTCTCCTTGGAGTTGCTCCTTTTAATCTTTTGTAGATATCCTTGCCTTGTTTTGCAACCATTATGGCTTTCAGCTGTTCCTTTCTGGGTGATGACGATGCTGGGCCTTTCCCCCAAGGGGTGCTAATACCATTCTTGACTCTTTTGGCATCTGTGTTTTCCTCATCTCCCAGACTTCTTTTACTCTTTGCCAGTCGATTGAGGTCTCTGTAGAGGGCATTCCTGACAACTTCCCTCCAGCTTCCCTCATCTAAGCAAAGCTTTCTCAAGATGAGATTGGGATTGAGTTCTTTGCATGCTTTCAACTTTGGCCATGTAGCTTCCCTCAGCCTCACGAATGGCATAGTGACAGGATGAAATTTTAATGCAGAAGGCTTTCGACCCTTCTTCACAGGTTTTTCTTCAGGCCCTCTGTTCTTTTTACTTCTTTCGCTCCTTCCATCTAGGTTCTTGTCTTTCTTTTTCCGCGCCCTTGGCTCTTTCTTTCGATCTCCTTGGGATGTGGTACTTTTTGTCCCCTTATCATCTTTGGACCGCTGTTGTTTTGCCTTTTTATGCTTCATTTCTTTGTCCTCTTTGCTTTTGTCAGATAGGTTCTCCTTTTTGTCAGTCTTCAAACGGTTAGCTTTTTTTCTACGTTCAGTCTTGAATTCTCCAAAGTCCCCATCTTGGATTGTTCTGTTATCAGATGCTTGAATCTGCACCAGTTTACCAGAAAGATCCCTCACACCTTTCAGAGGTGATCTTCCAATCTGTTTGGAAGAAGGCACAGGTGACCCTTTGCTTTCCAACTTCCTCAAATCCCTGGGACTTCTTTGACCCATATGTCCCCTACCCACTGTTGATGGACTAGTCAGAATACTATCAAAGACAAATGATCGATCTAACAGAGGAGACTGGGACTGATCTTCAGAGCCCAATTCCATACAGGATGTAGACTTTTCTGGTCTGCTCCTCTTTTGCCTTGGAGATAATTTTACTTCAGCCTTTGCTGTTGGACGGCTTCTCTTTGCAACCTTCACAGGTTCTCTGTTACGTTGTTTGGCAGGAGATCTGGATGATTTGTCAAATAGGTTGTTGGTTCTTCTTTGAGCCTTTGGACTTTTTGATGGGCCTTGAATTGATTTATCTGGGGAGCTTCCAACTGGCATACTTATTCTTCGGACAACATTGGCTGGAATCTTTGGAGATTTCTCACAGGCACTGACAGCTATGCTATTACTTCTCTTTAGGATGTTCGTGGGGGATGTGGATAGTTCCAAAGGAGCTATGACCACTTTGGGCTTAGGTTTAACAGACTCTGCATACTGAAACAAAGGTGCTATCTTATAGCCAATGGCTTTAATGTATACCGAGACAGCTCCTTCCATTGGTTTGTGAGGGCTGCGGATTATTCTGTCTGAGATGAATGGTTTATCATTTTGTTGCTGCCGCCTTCTAGGGCTCTTCTTTCCTCCCCTGCCACTTCCATTTTTACCAGGAGATCTGGCCGGTTCCTTAGGTACAGAACAGTCTTTGACAACATCTGGGATATCAGGCGTTTGACGATAGCTTCTCTTTGACCTTATGCCCTTGGCCATCTTCCTACTCGATTTCCCTTCCTCTACCTTTTTACGAGTGTCCTTGTTTCCAGTATTCCCTCTTCGAAATGATGCATGAGGTTTACTCTCTTTAAAGTCTTCATCTGAAGACACACTCTGAAGCCTTGAAGATTCCTGAGAGGTTCTTCTCCTGGGAGAAACCGCTGAATTGGTTCTCCTTACTCTCAGAGCACTGCTGTTTGTGGCACTAGAGCTTTGTTGGGGAGATTCCTCTTTCGTTGAGTTTCTCCTCCTCCTTCCACTTGATGGAGGATTGTCAACATCTTCCACCTTAGAACTGTTCCTTCTTAATCTTGGGGAATTGCTCTTCAATCCACGTCTCTTTCGTCTTGGGCTAGTTGTTGAACATTTTTCATTTCCTGATGGCTGCCTATGTCTCCTTTTCTTGGTATCCATAGGTCTGGGAGAGGTACCCCTTTGTAGTAACCTTTTGTAATCTTTTGGCTTTAGTGATTCAGCATACTGAAAACAAGGTGCAAGTTTGTATTCAATGGCATTAGAGTACTTTTCTAGTGGCCCCTGCAGAGGTTTCTGAGGACTACGGGACATTGTTTCAGCGCAGAAGGGAAAGTCAGCCCTTTCTGATGACTTACGTGGACTCTTACTTCCCATTCTTCCTCTTCCAAGCGAAACAAGAGGTTTGTGTGAACTATTCTCATGAGAGTTCTCAACTTTGCCTTCACCTTGAAGTATCCGCTTGGTCCGTTTCCCTGCTGATCTAGAAGAATTACTGGCCTTTCTTCTTTGGACCTTACCAGCCTTTTCAAAGACAGGAGAAGCTTCATCGTGTCTTCCATTCATGAGTTTTCTTGGACTTCTTGTACTTTTGGAGGCAATTGAAAGTCCCTTCTTCTTTCTGGCAGGAGCACGTTTCTTTTTAGGAGATTCTTCCAAGGGCTCTAAGGCATCACAGATATCCCCTAGAGGACCATCAACAGCCATGTGAGGTTTCCTGGCAATTTTGTCTGCTGCCAACGGCCTTTCAGAACCTACGGCACTGTCTTGCTTGCGAGGACTCTTTGATCCTTGTCTGCCGCTACCAACAACTGACTTTGATTTGTCTTTCCTTTCACCTGGTATACAAAAACAAAGAGTGACATGTAGGATTATGTTCAAGGACTGTTCACCATATATAAAAGCTTACCTACATGTTTCTATTGTGTTTAACTGATGTTTCAATATCTATAACAAGTCTTGACAAAAAAATGATTACAAATATGGAAGAAAAGCCTCCATGTTAATTATCTGTAGATATGGGTACAAGGAAAAACATAGCTGCGCAGTACAAAGGCTCATATAAAGCATACTCACTTATCTACAAGTGTTACAAGGTACAAAATGTGAGGCGCCCTACTTTTCATGTCATTTTATTATGCCACGCAACTTTTAGAGGTGTTTTACTAAATTTAATGTGAACTAGGTTAAACGCAGAATTTTTTTTAAAAGCCTGTCTGCACTAGGTGGCCAGGGGGGATTAGACCACCCTGCTGGTCACTGACAGGTGGTTATCTCATCAAATCAGCTCTCAATTAACATAAGAAAAAGAGGATCATGGGGGACCAACGGACACCGATTAAGCATTGTTTGTTACATAGAGGGCGCAAGCTGCTACAAGTAGTGCAGTGGGGCTTTAAATGAAACTGACCTTCCCCTGGATTGATGTCCGAGCTTCCATCTAGCTGAGGTATTGGCACATCCCCACTCTGGCCTGACCTCTGGCTTGACCTCTGAGATGCTTCATCCCCTGCTTCCTCTATCTCACCAATGAGCTCATTTAACCTATGGAGGCAAGCAGACAAGGGGATAGCGAATGAAAGAAAGAGGAATAAATGATAGAAACACAGAGTCGGGCTAACTCGGACGCAGGGACAACTGGAGCCCACTGCATTAACGGTCATTTTTTGCAGGTTTAGGGTTAGGTATAGGGTTAGGGTTAGGTAGGGATAGAGTTAGGGTTAGGGTTAGAGTTAGGGTAAAATGACAAAAAATGACAGTTTTTACAGCGGGCCGAGTTGTCCCCAGGTCCGAGGTAGCCCGGATCCTAGAAACACTATCATACAATTCTGCTATAGCGACTACCTGCATCGAAAGATCACTCATCTATGAAGACCACATTTGTTGTTTCCCTCGAAACAATGTTTCTCATTTTAAAAAAAAATGGTCATTTATCAAGAAGCAAAGGTCTATGGTGACTACCTGTCTAAAAAAAAAGAACTTTTGCAGCTTTCCTCAAGCTTTCCTTGAGTGGCCTTTCTCTTTACAGTGCTCATATCCATCATGCCATGATGCTCCTGGGCCCCATTTCACAAAACTTGTCATCAGTGACAAATGACAGTTTTTGTTATAAGCTAGTGAAATCATTGCTTCTGATTGGTTATCAACAGATTTGTCATTGTTTTTGTCATTTGTCATTTAAAAATGGCTTTGTGTAGCGGGTCCCTGGTCTTCCAATATTATCACTTTTCTTATAGCTGAGTGGCCAAATATGTGGTGCTCTAGCATAACCTTTAGCCACCAAGAACTGGGTGGAGAGCGGCATATGTAAAATGAACCTCTTGCCAAAGGATGCTAGTGTCATGTTGGGATTTGATCCCTCATCCGCTGGACTGTATTTCAAGCAAACAAACTATTATACCACAAAACATTCAAGACACTATACATTTACAACACTTAAACACATTTTTGAAGTTTTGCATCAATGCATATACTGTTGTTTTACACAGAAATGGATTACTGCGTTATTAGCGAGCAAGGCTTAAATGCGACTTCTAGTTAATTTGTCCTTGTTTTTAGAGGAAAAAACCACAGAAAATATGATCTTGTGTTTCAAGTGAAGAGATAATATCTCTAGTAGGCTTAACTCACTGTGCACTTTGACTGATATCAGCTGGTTGTCTACTCTTTCTGCTCTTATCTTCCTCTGCCTGCTCTCCTTCCTCAAGCTCTTCATCTAGAACAATCCAGGCCTGTGACATCTCCTTCTCCGCCTGGGCCTCAAGCTCAGGACTGTCCTCATCATCAGAGTCGGATATATCTGATGGTGATTAGAAGAAAAAAAACAGCACACTCACTATTTAGATGCTCATCTTTGTCATTATCATCATCATCATCATCATTATTATCGTTATCACAAGTATCATAATTATCATCATCATCATCATCATCATCATCATCATCACCATCATCATCATCATCATCATCATCATTATCATCATCATCGTTACCACCAGTATCATCATTATCATCATCATCATACTTTTGGACTGATATCATTGTTATTGCTATCACTGTCCTGCTCTTCAACTACATTTTCCTCCTTCTCCTCATCATCATCATCATCAATATAATCATTCCATTAAATCAATATTAACATCAACATTACCATCTTCATCAACATTATCAACATCATGATCATTATCATTATCAATACCAGCTTCATCTTAACCATCATTTTTATCACAGTTATCATCTTACTTTTGAATCGCTTCCATTGTCATTGCAATCGCTGACCCCCTTATGTACTTCATTTTCCTTCTCCACCTCATCATCATCATTATCATCATCATCATCATCATCATCGTCATCATCATCCTAATCATCATCATCATCCTCATCATCATCATCATTATCATCATCATCAATAACACCATACCTATACAACTATCACCAAGATCAACATCACTATGGTCATCATCAATTACATTGTTATCACCGTCAACAACAACATCATCATCATCATCATCATCATCACCATCATCATCATCATCATCAGTACCATCATCATCTTCTGCATCATCATCACCACCAACGTCGACAATATTATCATCCTCATCACCATCATAATAACAATAATATATGACATTTTAAAGGTGCTAACTCAACCTGAAAATTAAATGCTCAAGGCGCACATCATCATCATCATCATCTCCAACATCACACTTACCGATGCCAGAAGGTTTTGGAAATCCCCTGGAGCTTTGGGTGCTCATTCTCCCAGATAGTACCAGGTCTTCCTCCTCCTCCTCATGAACAAGATCTACCAGCAGATTAGCAAGCTCTTCATCACATGTATCTGCATCAACAGCACAAGCAAAATTATTAAAACTTGCTTTTGATGATTAACTTACTCTGTTCAAATTGATGTATATTTCATATGTATTGTAACATGTAGGTTTATTAATAATTTTTTGTTTCTTTTCATATTTAATTGTTTATCATTGTATTTTGTTTGGTATAGCGCTTAGAGACTTTGATGGTAAGCGCTTTATAAGCACCGTTTTTATTATAATTATTAAGCAAAGAGGCTTTTGTCTCAGAACATGAGGGGAAATTTATACTCCATGGTGATGCACATTGCAGAATAACCTGTACCTCAAGAATGCAAAATGATTCAACACAATGTAGTTAATTCCTGTCAGGTCGTTTCTGACACCTGGTTACCCTACAGACAAACTTAAAGGTATTACAAAGTTTTGGGAAATTCTGAAAAATGGGTGGATAGTGAATCTTTACAATTTTAATATATTTGGATGCCCCTGTGGATGTATTAAAAGCACTAGAAATTTTAGCCCTTAAAACACTTCTGCTTTCTAAAAAAATGGAATATTAAGATTTAGCGGTGCTCCCGGTAAATTTTGATAAATTTAAAATAGCTCCTACGGCCGTACAATGGTAGCTGCGACCGTGAAAATCTCAGAATATGTAGTTGTGGTATATAATTTCCGAACGGGAATAGCTTATCGGTCGATTTTAGTCAAGAAACTTGTTTTATAGCTTAACTAATATCTTGACCTTGAGAGGGAGCTATACAACATAAAGTGTTTATTCTTTACAATTTCATAACTTTAGAGTCGATTTCGACCGCGACAACGATCAGTGAATATTGTAGGATTGCAAATGCTTCCAATATGTTCATTTGAACCAAATTCACGACCCCATACCAAAACTTTGTGTTACCTTTAATACCAAGTAGCAAAGGTGAATCAGAAAGTTAAAAACCAAACCATTAAGCGCATACTGGTAGTTTGAGAATGTTTTTTTTTTTAAATAATATGGCCATGCCAATGCTGTACCTTGTCCCTGTGACTGTGACAATCTCTGTGATGCTTCCAGGATGGAGTAGACCAACTCCTCGTTGACGACTGGTGCAACATCACCGCTGAAGCTCTGCCTCTGAGAGGGCTCACTGTCTGCTGAAGATAACAAAATGATCACCACTCTCTACTCATTTACTTCAATATTTTACCACAACTGTCATATCATTGATGAATGAGATGTAACAAAAATGAAGAGGGAGACCTGGGCCCTGTCTTACAAAGAGTTGATATTAATTGCAACTTAGGTGCGATTGATTAGAGGACTTGCGATTGATTTGGATCAATCCCAATCGCAAGTTTGCAGTCTCCTATCTCTTATGTACATAGTTGCAGTTGATATCAATCACAAATAAGTTGCGATTTATATCAAATCTTTGTGAGACGGGGGCCCTAGTATGTTTAATAATTAGCCTAAAAACAAGGCAGTATTAAAGGGACTTGGTAACATTGCTCAGATAAGAGGCAATGGTGCAAAGGTAGTGACTTCAATGCTAGATGTAAAATTATAGATAATCTGACAGTTTGAGTGAAAACAGACCATTATTAATGATTAAAATTGAGAAAAACTGATCTGATTGTTTCCTAAATTCTCCCAACTGTATTATTATAATATAATTAAATTTTAAATGAATGTAAATCGTCTTAAGTGGCTCTATATACCATTCCAGACATTTAAGATGTTGAATACTGCATCATACCAAAGAAGATGCACAGAATTTTGGAGATAGATTACCTGGATTTTGTGAGTAGTGATATTCCACTTCGTTAGCAGGGGTGCAAGGGATACTAATTTGGGAGGGTGGCATGACCTCTTCACTACTCTCTGTGTCCATGGGCTCATCTTCACTGCTAGTAACCTGGCCCTCCCTATGGTAAAAATGGAATGAGCAAATATGCATGATGCTTATTGATGAAGGATTTTTTTTTTTTTTTTTTTTGGGGGGGGGGGGGGGTTAAACCTAGGTTAAGGAGCACGTCTATATATCAATCTATCACAATCATTTTTATCATTAAAAATCACTCTGTACCATCAAATTTATTATCATTGTTAACTGATCTTCAACATGATTATCAATATTATCATTGCTATCATCGTCATCATCCTCATCCTAATCATCCTCATCATCATATAGCATTAACATAAACCTTACACTCATTATCAACATCCTTATCCTCATTCTCATCATCATCACCACCAAGTCATTGACAAAATCACCACAATTACCATCAATGTCAACATCATCATCATCATAAGCATCATTATTATCATCATCATCTCAACATAAGCCATCATCTTCACCATCACCATCACCATCATAAGCATCATCATTACCACCATCTTCATCATCATCTCAACATAAGCCATCATCATCATCATCATCACCATCATCATAAGCCATCATTTTTGTTTTTAATAGCACAGCAAGGAAATTAGACATATTATGAACTTTGAAATCACTTACATTTCCTGCAGGTCTTTAACTTGCTTCTCCACAATCTCCTGTAACCTTGTCTTCCACTTCTTCTCTGCACTCAAGAGTGGAATATCTCCCCGCTCTGAAATTAAGAATCATTAAAGGTAAAGACCAGTTTTGGAAACACCCCCTCTCAAAAAATGAAATGGAAGCTCTCATTACCAATCATGTGAAAGAATATGCTCTGACTAATACGTGATCATACAAATTTTGCTGAGAAACCGCCTAATTGATATATTTGGTAAATTATTATAACTATTTGGAACTGATAGATATAATGCACGTGTCGCGCACGTGTCGCGTAGTCCCATATACATCTTTCTGTGTACAGTGCTTGTAACTTTACCAAGACTGGGCCAAATTTCATATCATTTTGATGATTCCAGAACCTTGCAGTACACACCAATACTTATTTGCTAGATGATCAACCATTTCTGATCGATTCCACAACGTTTCTTTCACAATGCAATCGCATGACCATAACTGGTCTTTATCTTTAAGAATCATGAACATGGGAAAATTATCAAACTAAGAGATTTCATGTCTGACATAACATGGCGTTATTAAAAGATGAGCTTACAAACAATGTATCTCAGAGTCACTTTAGAATATCTAAGGCTCTTTAAACTCTGAATATCTCAATTATACAAGAATTATATACAAACATTTTAAAGATTTGTTTTTCCCCCTCCTAAATCCCTTCTCACTTTCTTTATTTCCTTGAACATTTGTCTACCGGTATGTATTTTTGGGGTTTATTTATAGATCTGTACAAACTACAGTCTTTCATGCAATCTTACACAATCTATATTTGTACTTAAAAAGTTATACAACTCTCTCTCTCTCTCTCTCTCTATCTCTGTCTCTCTCTCTCTCTGTGTCTTCTTCTTTATCTTTCTCTCTGTTTCTGTCACTTTCTATCTCTCTCTCTCTCCCTCTCTCTCTCTCTCTTTCTCTCTCTCTTTCTCTCTCTCTTTCTCTCTCTCTTTCTCTCTCACACACACACACACACACACACACACAACACTTCTTACCTGGTGATGATGGAGGAAGAAGTTGATCCATCTGATCGAGTTGTTCTCTCCTCTGTTTCTCATCCTCCCAAATACCCACAAGACCTGGGTTCGTCTCAGCATTATCTAATACAATAACAATGCAAATTTAAAATGTAAACTGTACCATGTTGCCACACTTGCTCTATCTCCCTGGCATGTGCTACAGATGCTGTCTCAGGCCTAATAAGCAAGTAGTAATTCATAGGATATTCAATTATGAGCTTTTTCTTCAGTTTCATTTACTGATACACCTGTCAAACAAAAAGTTCATGTACTATACAAGTTTCATACATGTGAACAAAATTGCCCTTTCCTGTTGTTTAGCAAGATTCTGTAATGCCACAGAAAATAAATACAAATGTCCATGGTACATATTTCAGAAACTATATGTAGAAATCAAAAGAGTCATGTACCAAGCCACATAGTATGAAAATGTGTAACTTGATAAATTTATACACATGTACATAGGGCTGTAAAAGTGTGAAATACTAAATGAATAATCATTTGGGTCTGCTAATAGTAAAACATTGTGCATAGGCCAATAAATAATTTGTAAAAGGTTTTTTTTCCTATGTTTGTCAAAGGGGGTTCCCCCTTTCATCCTCATTCGCTCACCTTGCAGGTCCATCCTGTTGAGGATATCGGCAGCGACGCCGTCCACCTCCAGCTCAGAGCAGCTCTGCCTCTTGACGTCCTCCCCGAGCCACTGGGAGGAGGGGATGTTCTCATCCCCCCACACCTGGGTGCAGACGCTCATGCTGCCGCTGCTGCTGTGGCGTCGTCTCAGGGGGGTGGGTGCTCCGGGTGGGCTGGTGGCTTGGAAGCCTAAGGGGGGGGGGGGGGGAGGAGATACAGATATGAGGAAAATTACTATCCCAGTAATCATACTACCAGTTATGCATTTGGGTCTGCTAATATCTGGAAAGGGAAAACATTCATAAAGCTTCTACATATTAAAGGTATTTGATATTTGCATTCTTATATTCTTAAAAGGTAATCATATATGAATGCACCCCAGAATATTGCCTCTGAGGACAACTACCCCCTTCCTCTCTCCCCCTGGTCAACAACCCCTAATTTAACTCCTTATAACTTCCTCCCCGTAACTAATACCCTCTTAACCCTATTTAGCCCGGGCTATTTTGAAACTGCATAGCCCAGGGGGGGGCTTCTCAGGCCCCCCCCCCCCCCTGTGATCTCGGCCGTGAAACGCCCGATCGCCGCGAAAATTTGCATACATGTCAAGTGAAGTGTATAGAATACTATGGTAATTTCAATTTTTTGAAAAATTCACTCATTTGCATATTTATGGTAATTTATGCAAATAAGGTCATTAAATTCACATTTTTGCCCATAAATCAGACATTATTCATATTTAAGCATTCTTTCTCACTACATATATTTGTTAGACCATTTGGAATAATAATACAACACAAAAATTTGAAAAACCAGGGTTATTCCTTATGTTATCTATTGTTTTGATAATTTCTTATGTATTTCTTTGTTTTTTTAACTTATGTATTTTATAGTTTTTGTTGTTTTATTTCATTTCCAACTATAATTCAACTATTTTGACCCCAAAATAAACACCTAAAATCTAAACAAGACCAAATAACCAATGTTTTACCTCTTTATCTGAAAAATGAGATTTCCATATGTTTTGTACACAAATCACAAAAATGAGCGATTTTCGGGCTGACATGCGAAGACAAAAGGACACGTGACTTTGTAATGGTAGGTCCGATTTTCGAAAAATTTCTTTCAAAAGTTGCGCAAGACTCTAAAGAAAAAAGTCACAAAATTTCAGTGCAAGATTTTCTTGCGCTAAAAAATTATCGCGAAAAATGTCGAGGGGGGGGCTTCTCAAGCCCCCCCCCCCCCCCCGGGCTAAATAGGGTTAAGAACAGCTACCACTCTAGGAGATATACTCTGTGGGTAACTATTTCCTTATGAAAAAGCCCATTTATCCTCATACAAAACTACCCAAGCGGTTTAGGAGTTAGTTTTCCAGAGGCACAATATCGTTTTCCAAGGGTTTATTTTTTTGTTATCTTGCTATATCAGGCAATCCAACGATAGTATAAGGTTGTCGAACACAAGTACTGTGGTAGAGGTAGGTATTGAAGGGCAATTCTTTTATAAATTTAACCACCACAGAGAAATGTTATACAAGTTCTAGGTGTCCAAGGGATGAGATGTCCTAGAGTGTAGTTCAATTCATTACAATTTTTTTGTTGTTGAATATAATCCGTAAGAATTCTTACTTGTGGACGGTTTGGGTGAAGAAAGCTTTTGATTGGATGAATCTGTTGCCTCCTCTGGCCTCCGAAACTTCACTGCAGCTAGGTTCAGCATGTTCATTCCATACAGGTTGTAGTCAATCAGAAACTGTCAATGTGCAAAGATATATGAAGGGAAGAAACTCACTTTGTAAAATAGCCAACAAGAAATTCTGATAATTTCATATATAATACTGCTTTTATATAATATCTGTAAAGCGCTAAGGCACATCATTGTATTGATGTATTGGGCGCTATATAAAAGCGGAATATTATTATTATTATTATTTTTAATCTGGCACCAAATTATTTCCACTTTTCTAATGCTTTGTAATCCAATTATAAATATACACAGATTAAAGTTGGGCTTGTGATATGGACATTCTGAGATATGAATGAGAACATAAAAATTAATAACATATAATTGATATTCTTGTAATCTACAGCTTAGGAGCTTTCCGTTGATACATAGTTCATCTATTTCACTTGTCACTTCCGACAGGGTTTTTATCCTGTAACCGTGGCAATGATTACATGAAATTCCTCACCTGGAGATTAAAAGGAACATGTGATTCGTGAGGCTGGAAGATTTTGTTCATGACAGCACCATTCTGAAGAAGCTCAACAGCCCTGAGAAAAAAGTAAGCAATAAGAATGCTACCCAGTTTGTAAGCTGACTCATTTTAATCAATTTAATTCAATTCAATTCAATTCAATTCAATTCAATTCAATCTATTTCAATTCAATTCAATTTGATTCTCTTGGAGAAAAATATAATCTCTTCTTTAATAGATAAACGTAAAATAATTCTTAAGGCTAATAGAATGAGGAAATGCTTCTGAATAAATCCAAAATTTATGACATCAGGTGGCAATAAAATCTTTAATCATTTTGTGGGCAATTGCCTAAATCCCTCATCCTTTGTAATGAGTAGATGGTATTCCATGAATTTACTTTAAGTTCCAATATTCTTACCTCCTTCTGACAGCAGGATTGTAGAAATAGATTTTCATAAACTGCCTCTCTGACTTGTGGTATCCATAAAGAGGTCTGAAATGATCAAATAAATGTCTATGAATAATATGACAGATGGGATGCATTACGGGAAATATTCTGTTTAATCACCCACTTGAAAAATGATTGTTTTCAAAGACATCAGTGCACTACTCTGATTTATTGATAATAATAATAGTGTAAACTTATAGAATCATTGGGTTATTTGATCTGAATGAATTATAACATTTATCTACATTGTGAAATGATTACTAATAGTTAAATTTTGTGAGAGCAAAAAAAAAGAGGAGGGGGGGGGGGCAGGCACAATACTTAACATATTAATCAGCAAAGATACAAATTAATCGAAATGAAACTTAATAATATGCCAAATATTATTCAAAAAATTACAAAAAAATTACAACAATCTGCTATTACAAATTACAGCAAACTATAATTGGCGTAACCCTCAAACTTTGACGAAGTAAAGCATCGTGGGATCATCATCTTCATCATGGAGGCAGGATACTTACAAGCCAGAGACCAGGGAGATCTTGAAGACATGCTGGACAGTGGACGAGCCCTTCCCTTGGGCCACCTGCAGGGCAGTGTCCAGACTGCTGGCCATCTGATGGAGGTAGCGGTCAGTTGGCTGGGTGCCATCGTAGGGGATGTAGATGTAGGGGAAGACTCCATGGACATGCAGACAGGTTTTCTGGCCTGTAGGAAGAATGTTGATTCATATTCTATTAATATGGCCTCTATTTTAAATATAAATGGGTGAAAATATGTACCGCTTGAGTCAGCCTTCAATATTAATATTTTCCTTTGTCTAAAAAGAAAATGCAACAATTACTTACACTATTTCTGGACTACTTGCAATTTGTATCGTAGTAGAAATTTAAAGTTAGCTTTTTCTAGAAAACACTTTAAGAAATCACATCTTGACTTGAGATGGAAAGGCTTACCGGTACACTAAACACAAATCAAACAATTGTATCCTCATTTCAGATACTGCAGCTCTGAAGATTTCAAAAAAGATAGTTGATATCCATTGAATGACTGCTAGAAAGCATAAATGCTTGATAGTAAGCAACCAGAGGACCGACGGCTTTAGGTCCTCTACTTACCAGATGGAGTAGAGCCGAAGACCCTGATCACTGGGACCTGCCTGACCTCTGACCCCCTGAACTCTGAGAAGGTCACATCCAAATCTTCAATGGGGGGTGCCTGGTAGTGGTTGAGGGTCACAATCCGAACAGAAAACATCTTGCCTGGTAGACTACACGTACATGCAGCTATCAATCATCTCTCTTCCTAATGGAGCAGTGGGCAAATAAAATAAAAGGGAGATGTTAATGATTTAAATGCGGGACTGCAATACTTATATGTATAGTTACTTGCACCCTCTATATAGCAAACAATGCCTAATTGGTGACCATTGGTCCCCTTTTTTAATCAAGAGCTGATTTGATGAGTTAACCACCTGCCAGTGGGCACGCAGGGAGGTCTAATCCCTCCTGGCCAAACTAGTGCAGATGGGCTTTAAATGTAGGGAGAGAGCTCCTAAAGTGCTCTGGAGAACTGAAATAAGGCTCTTTTGAAATGTATAACATTACATAAAAATAAGTAATCTTTTTGTTTTCTTCCTGTGTAATACAACAAATCCCCCAATAGAGAGTTTCTGGAGACAACAACAAAACAGTATTTGACATTCTAATGGGGATGTCCAAAAGGTAAAATAATTGTTAATCTGGTGTAATATCTCCATCATATCAAATTTAGAGTGCATCGGACATCGGACACAAATAAGAAAGTGAAGAGAAGCAAGAATTCAAAAACAGCACTGAATCAAGAATTCAAGATAAACTTTTGACAAGCAGTATGAAAACGATGATAGCAAATGTTTACTAGAGTAGCCTTAAAGTGCTTGGTGATAATATGAAATTTGATATCAATATCATACTTCATATTATCACTAAACTAAAGCAGGTGTAGATCTACTAATGTTTGATTAAAAGGAAAGAAATGAAAAAGGGAATATAAAATTTAAAAGGAACATAGATCCCCAAGTAGAAAATGGAAAAAAAGATGATCATCATCATGAACGGACAGTGTCCACAAGACACAAAATCACCCCTCAAAGAACAAACATACTCTATTTACAAACGTAAGAGGCCAGTACTCAAATTACTGGAAGAAGGAAAAGGAGAACATTCAATTTCGTCAAGATGAACAAAATATTGATGAAGAAAAAGTTGATGTTGATCATATTACCATTACAAATGATAAAGTCGTAATCAGTTAATAATTAATCACTCTCTAGTCTCTACTATTAAATAGTTTGATACGCATCATCATTGATTTTATGAAATTGAAATTAAGCAAAACACTGTTCAATTCGAATAGGTCTAGACTAGATCTAGATCTAATTCAGTTATGTTATCACACAATAAAATAAAAAACATATTAATTTACTCTCTCATATTAATACATCGTATCCAAAAACAACAACAAAACAACTAAACAACAACATCAGCAAACAATAACTAAAAGTGAAACATGGATCTGTTCAATTTCATGTTTATTCCAGACATTTAACAGACATGGATCACTACGTATGGGACCGAAGTAAAACCAAAACTTGCATTTTTAATTATCTGCATATGTGCCCGCATAATATGGAAATAAGTGATGATATACTTACGTTAAGCTCTGCATACGCTTCTCACGCATTAACTTGATACATCCATCGAACATTCAAAAGAAAATTTTACATTTTCAGGCGCAGGCGAGTCAAAACATGACCGTGGTCCAAAATAAATTCACGATCCAGGGTTATTTTTGTGACTCATCCGCAAGCCTTTCCTGATTATGACGAGAGATGGCGTACGTCTAAAATTATCTTTTCCATCTTTTTCTCTTGGACAAAGGGAGGTCTTGTGGTGTCCATTTATGGGCAGAGAGATCACAAATATGCGAACAGAAATACCGTATTACGGGTTATTCTTACATTATTTTATGCCATTCTGTGAATTTTGTAATCATTAAAAAACACATTTTACTTGGTACTCTCCGTTTTTATTCCCTTTTTCCATCCCATTGTCTCACTACTGGGGGTTTGGTATCTTTGTGACGTCACGTATACTAATTAGAAAATCCGCTGCGATAGCTTGAGAAATCATCATTGTTCTACCAGAGGGGACGCGTGTACGGCACGCGACACCGGTCACTCATTGTGACGTCAAGCATCAATTATCAATATAGATGAGGCCCTTCAGATATAGTATTATACAGCATTTTGGTATACTTTAGTTAGTATTAAGTATTAATTGATATATAATTATATACCGTCTTTCTCCAGATTACAAAAATATATACATAAAATAAAAATCCCTTTTCGATACAAAAGTGGTCATAAATTTACTCTGGGACATGGACGATATCTATATAGATCCTTTGTTTTGTCCTACTATATCTCTATACCTCTAAGCGTAGATCAAGTCCCATACATAAAGGAATATTTGTGTCGTGGTGGGGGGGGGGTCTCTTTCTATAGTATCAATGCGATATTTAAAAAGGTTGTCAAATTAGGTTATGGGAAGTGATTGTTTCATAGGAAATTTCCACCTCTCTTCCTAGTCACTCTTAAAAACCAAAAAATGTTTCCTTTTAGCCATTCACGTGCCCCCCCCCCCCGTAGGTTAACGTATGATCCCTCCTTTTTTTTAAATTCTGCTCATGTGTTTACCGTTGATGATGATCTAACATTTTCGTGAGACAGACTCTCGGTTTATATTCACTATAAAAAAAACACACACACACACACAGTTCCTAGTCTCTCCCACTCAATCTCTCTCTTTCTCTCTCTCTCTCTCTCTCTCTCTCTCTCTCTCGATCTCCATCTCGATCTCCATCTCGATCTCGCTCACCAACTCTGACTGTATTCCTCTCTTACTCTTTTCCCCGATGTTTTATTCAACCACCCCTTCTCTATCTCTATCTGGCTTTAAAATAATTTTGGAAGAAACAGAATCATATATAAATATATCCATATGTTTCTTGTAGGCTGTGTTTGTATGCCTAGATGTGAATTCAATTGCGATCCAAAATTATTTTCTCCTCTAGATTGTAAATGTTTTTATTTTTATTACAACTGATCACATCAGTTCACCATTCGATGTGATTTAAACATAAAGGGATACTTGGAGGGGGGAGAAAGAAGGAAAGAGAGAAGACATGATTCATAGAAATGACTACAAGTTCACAAGATATTAGAAAAATGCGTGCTGTTATTCTCATTATGATAAACATTCATATTTCTTTCATCAAACAATCAATATCTAAAGACGATGCGCTTATTTTAATACTTGGAAATACGAGAAAGTATTGAACAAAGTCATTTGTATGCACACACACAAACAAAATAGCAAATGTTTTTTAAAAAATCGGAAATTGAACCCCACGCAATTTCTATTTTGTCTTGTCCATCTCCCATTGAAATATGGGGGCATGAGAATGACATAATACATAATGAGATCACGAATTATATGGATATACCTTAAAGTATCGAATATGCCAATGAATTGATCGATCGGAAACATTTGCGATTAATCTTGTTGTTCAAAGAAGAGATATTTCATTTATAATGATGAAGAATCACGAAAGCTGGTTTCTTGCAGAGAATGAATATAAAATTGAATCCGGACAATGACGCATCTTGTCCCGTTCACAGTTCAGAAAACTATAACTAAATTTGGAATAAAAGGGAAGATTAGGGCAACATGATCCCCTACCCCTACCCAGTAAACCAATGCCAAATTTTTGTTTCACAGGTTGTTTGCACTTTTGTCTGCCCCTTGCGAAAATAACCAAGGCACTATATACAACGACGGGCAAGAAATCTGCTCCTCCGATGATAAATCAAGCAGAATCCATCCATCAAAGTAATGATTAAAATATAACAAAGCTGGTAAGTTATTATTCCTTAAACATTAATACTTGCATGTTCATTTCAAATTTCAGCATTCCCGCAACATATTCGGTACGACGTTTTCTCGTGAACGTTAACATAGTATTTATAGGTCATCTGCCGGATTTGAAACATCAATAAACTGAGCTCAAATCGTCTTTTTTAAAAACATGTATATATTCGACTCGAGCGTTAGTTTGCCATTTTGGCATCTACCTGCTTTCTCTTGCAAATTTGAGCAAATATTCAATGTATACATTGATAAACTAAACAGTCTTTGTTTTTCTCATATCTTTACAGTTATACACTATATTTTATAATGTGTAACTGGTCAGTGCTCGTTGTATTTCCACGATTTCATCGGTGTATAAATACTTCATTTGTAACGTTGAGACAAAAATTCACAAAACACGGCTACTGATCATGATCGTCGAGTGAAATACAATTTAAGCATTGAATGCTTTTAATAATTAGCTGACAAACGTTTCATGTCAATGTCAAGATTCCACATCATGGTCAATACCGTTGATCATTGATGTTATAGATCTTCCACGAAAGTTAAAATAAAAACACGGCATCATTCGTATGTGTTGCTCTCGCAGTTGCAGCCTCTCCATTTCGAACAATAATATCAGCCAAGCTCATTGTCGGTGTTTTTAAATCTTTACATGATTATAAATAATGTATTCCTTAAAAAATCATTTGTTCTTCATTTCATTCGGAATGAAGTGTTCCCAGATCTACAGGTCTTCCGCGAAAGGTGTCAAAAACACAAAGCTTTTCTGTGCTTTTGCAAGCATTGTTAAACACTTTGCATAGTGAAACATCTAGCCGATAGTCATTGTCTCTAAATTTGTACAAATTAATAATAAATATGCAATGAATATCACTCGTTCATTATTTCTTCGGTATGAAGTAAAGTTCTTTCGTTAGTGTGGACACAAAACAAGGCATCTGCTTTCGCCCGTTGTACCGCTCGTCACCGGATATCGATTCGTATCGATAAGCGACCGCTCTGTTCACACGGGTCATCATTTGATTCACATCCATGCACGTTCCGTATTTCTCAAAGATGGTAATGATGGCTTGTATGAACCACGATCCTTCTCGGATACTCCGCCACGAGTAGTAACCTTCAGGAGATAAAAGGACAACACAAAAATACATATAAATCAACGTTTAAGGAAATATACCCGTTCCACACAGCCTTTTTTCAATGACAAATGACAAAACTCAGTAATAAATCTGCTAATGACCAATCAGAAGCAAGGATTTCAGTAGCTTATAACAAAAACTGTCGTTTGTCACTAATGACAAGTTTTGTTAAACGCCCCCAGAATTCCCCAGCCAGGGGAGGTATCAGGTGGAGTTAGGGGAAGGGGGTCAACCGGCCTTGCCCATATTCAAACCCAACGGTGCATTACTCCCTTTACTGGTACATAAACAGAATTGTGCCCTCATAGATTGTGTTTTGTGTCCGAGCTGACTCAAAAATCCCCCGATAAATAGGAAGAAAAAACCTTTTCTGTTGTTCTAGCAAAAGATTTTTGGAGAGGAAATCTGCCCCCGTCTTTACAAAGTCCAGGATCTGCCCCTGCTAATTTGAAGCAATAATTTGATAATAGTAATGATAATTATAATAACAAATAATGAAATAAAAACATTAACAGGAACATTTTATCAAACCAAATTAGCATAAGGGTATTAATAATTGAACATATTAATGTTGATAAGTGTTTAAAATGTGTTTGGCAAATCGTTAGTCCATCGAAGATCTACTGAAAAGTAAAAGCGATTCATCTTCAAATACTTACATAACTCTGGCATTTACAGTTAAAGTATATAAAGGGAAAACAAAAACATATTTCATAGAAATTACGAATTTGAAGGAAATGCTTTAGTTTTCACCTGGCGTTGATGAAAATGCCATAAGAAAATCTGCCTCCACCGGAATAGTGTAAAACATTTTCTGGCCGAGGGCAGCATCAGGTTCATCGTCGCCCTCACCGGCAGGAACACGAACACCATGGTCCATCTGGGTGCCTCTGCATGCCTGTACAGAATTTAGAAAGAATAGATCTTTAATTATATAAATCAATAAACTGGCATAACGTACGCGGGTAGTCACGTTACACGACCTAACGTGAAACGAAAGTGGAAGACAATGCGACCTTTTGTACGTTTGCCGAAAGGTTTTCACATAGTGAATTGGACCAGACCAATTATAAATGAGAGGGCTTGTTTAACAAACATTTACCCCGACATTTCGTCAATGAAGGGGCATGTTTTCACAAAAGGTCGGGCAACGCGACCACCCGACCCGACGCGATGAACCGAAGATTCGAAGTAAAGCCCCAGTCCCATATAAAGCCGGACCAGCACGGACGAGCACGGACCACTCCGGACCATCCCGGACCATGGTCTGGGGTGATCCGGGATGGTCTGGGATGTTTTGTTCAAAAAAAGTGTGATGCTTTTAAAGCTACAGTCCCATATACGTCCCGGACCGTCCCGGACCATCCCGGACCCCATCCGGGGTGATCCGGGATTCGGTCCGTGTTGACACCGTGTTGGCACCGGGGTGGTCCTGGATGGTCCTGGATGGTCCTGGATGGTCCTGGATGGTCCTGGGCGGTCAATAACTCACTCCCGGACTGCCACGGATCAACACGGACCGTCCCGGCGCCACTACGGATGACCCCGGACCCAGCACGGTGGCTACACGGATCACCCCGGATCAAACTATTGTCCCGGACCGTCCCGGACCACCCCGGCAGTTTTTGACCGTCAAAAACATCCGGGGTCGACTCCCGGACCGCCCAGGACCATCCAGGACCATCCAGGACCATCCAGGACCATCCAGGACCACCCCGGTGCCAACACGGTGTCAACACGGACCGAATCCCGGATCACCCCGGATGGGGTCCGGGATGGTCCGGGACGGTCCGGGACGTATATGGGACTGTAGCTTAAGACATTTAACATTTGATAGTTTTAAAAAAAGAATGAAAGAGATAGGAAATGAACCAGAGACCTTGCAACTAAACGACGCCAAGATTGGCATATCCTGAGCAAATCATGCTGCTCTCACATTATGTTATCCTATTGTAAGAGCGGCCTCCAAGACACCACCACCCCTTCACATTCTAGATTGCCCTGACGTCATTCTGAGAGAAACAAACTATTTCGCTCTCTCCAAATGTTTTATCAAAATACTTTTATTTTAGAGCGTTTATTTTGTCTCGTCTACTGTATTAACGGAATTATGATTTCAAGTTTAATGACACCATCTTCGTAAGAGCCGAAGTCACAGGAGGCAAACGAGATGTACTTAATAGTAGCAATCTATAGTAATTATGAAAGGAAGATGGTAAGACAATAACTCGAGCAGTTATTACTGGAGAAGAATAGTCCAAGGGGGTGGTGGTAGCGAGGGAGAGAGAGAGAGAGAAAAGAAAGAAAGACAGAGAGAGATATTAAGAGAGAGAGAGAGAGAGAGGGGATTTGTTTGTGTGTGTGCGTGTTTTTGTGTCATTTATAATGAGGTAGGAAGAACGATTTTTACTAAAGAAGAGAAGGGAAGGTGTGTTTGTAAGCGCGTGGATGATTAATGTAGGACATGAAAAGATAGCTAGATAAGTTTTGTTCTTGAAGAGAGAGAGAGAGAATATATACTTATGGAGAGAGAGAGAGAGAGTCGTAAAGTTACAGTTTGATGGAAAAGTAGGAGAAGAAGGGAGGGATCTAGCGGGAGTGAGTTGCTTCGCACAGCAGTCACCGGAGCAACGTTTATGACCCACAATAGTAGACACTAATCATGCTCATATCCAACCGAGGATACGTCCTCGCTTCCACATCTTAAGGTCTAGATCACCGCTGTAAAATGTCAACGACTTGCTTCGTAATTAAGACCTCTACTCTAGGCATTTTTAGAAACCTTTTTATGGTTTATTACTACAGCATTATGTTAATGTTTCTTTTTTGAGGCGGTCGATTGCCCTGCACTAAACCAACTGTTTCCATTTACTGGGGGACATCGTGCGGAGTTATGAGCTTTACGAAGTGAGTACAATCAACATGATGGATAAGTTGTGCCTCATGAAATCGTACGATGACAGTTCAACTCTGTACGAACCGAATGTAACCGTGTGATCTTGTATTTTGTAATTCTCGTTTCACTCTCATACGAATGCTTTAAATAATAAGAGGACGTTTTTAATAAGTGAACATTTCCAGTAACACTGACCTATTAAAACACGCGATAAGCTGGTAAAGGGGGACTCTGCTCTCTTGTATACAAAGATGGGTGATCTAATCAGAGGTTGTAACAGTACAGGTGCATCGTTGCCCATAAAGTAGAAACTATGTTTATCTTACCTCAACTTCATGAGGTAATTGTGACAACAATAATTATGATTCATGCTAAATATATTACTCATTGCGGATATAGTATCGGAAATAATATCGCTAGTGACATTCGTTTGTCTCGCAATGTATGATCAACAATATATTTTATCACCTGACGAAGTGTTGCAGCGGAGCACGAAACGTCGTGATCTGTTAGATCCCTTGTTGACCATACATTGCGAGACAAACGAATGTCACTAGCGATATTATTTCCAATGTGATTTATGATTCATTATTTTTATAGCGAGAGAGTGTACCCATTCTCAGAACTTTATTGATTTATCTAAAGAGTCATATATATTTATCAATAAAGTTCTAAGAAGACATAAGATATCTATATTTTAGTAAGAAACCATGATCTATTTTTCCAGTTGGAAATGTTAATCCGTGCATAAATATAAGGAGCTTATCGTGAAAATTTTTGATAAATGCAAACCTGTATAAAGAAGAGCTTTGGTTTTCCAACTAGTGTCGGGCACATGATCCCTTTCAGGCGACAAACTAACTCGTCAACTGCCACTGTGCCATCTCTACAGTATAGGACGCCCTCTTCGCCGTGACTCATGGCGATGAACAGTAAGCAATCGTCGTTGCTGAAATCTTCAATGCTGACTGGAAGCAAAATGGAAGACAATGCACAATAACATCACGATTGTGGCATAAAATCGAAGTATGGTATTTGCTGTACGTGTAATGAGTACTTCAAGTTGCTAATATTTGAATGAAGAAGCGGTCATGTTCTAGAGACTTTGCTCATTGAAAAGATAATACTACTTGCAGATAACGGAATTTCCTTTTGGTAATCATGAGCTTTTTGTATCGACTTGACCACAGAAATTTACAGTCTTGCCAAGGTATGATGAAATCTGAACAACTATGTCTTAAAAGTCGATATTTTCCTGATTTTGGAAGGGTGTTTGGTCTATCTGCTATGTATTTAGATTGTGCGAAGTGAACGCTGCATTTAATAAGTTTCGAATCATATTTATGTTATTTCTTCGATAACTTTTTATAATATAACTAAATATATATATATATATATATATGAATTTAACTTCGCACATCTGAAAAACAAACAATTTCTTAAACAGTAAATTCGTCTGTCCTACTTATTTTAGCACAACCACTCTATCACTCAGAAAGTCGTATGGAAAGTCATTTCCAAGGATAACTTACGTTCTTTGAGAAGTTTTCTAAATTCGTCTATCGTCAGATCACTATGAGCCTCGGTCCGGAAGCCGAGATTGCTAAACACTCGATCAAGTCCTTCAATATCCGGGTCTGTTCCTTCCCGGTTCGACATGCCAGTCATCGGATCGAACCGGGTCTGATTGACAATCACCGCCTTTCCTCGACACGGATAGTCCATCTTGTAAACCACAGGTTGAACGGTACTTCTAATATTTAGTTTCTGCAGCTGTTGTAACGAGTGTGAAATGTCTCCATTTGGTATGTTCGAATCGGTTACCATGGCGGACCTGATGGAAGAAATGCAAATAAGAACATACTCGTATTTTCATTTTGTTTGAATGATTGCATGATTTTCTTTTTGGATTCGATATCTTAAAACTGTCTCTGTTCATAGTGCATTCAGATATTAGGCTACACATTGTCTTTAGTTTCAAACTATTTACATACAACTGCTACGGGACACTGTATGAATTCTGTGGCAAGAATGCAAATAAAAATGAGAAAATATGAGAAAAAATGAAAAATAAAAGGTCGGGAAGAGAGGAATGGACACCTGACCAGAATACAATAAACATGATTTGTTTTTAATCAAATTTTTTGGGGACACACATTTTTTAGTACAACTGATGTCCTCGGTTCACTGTGTAAGTGTCACATTGTATAGTGTTGCATTGTATAGTGAACAAATTTTATCTTTGAACCACGATTCTAGCTCCGCCGCTGCATAGAAATTTATTAAAATAGATTCTACATGTCTTGTTTTAACGTATATATTATTACATATATATACATGATATATATTCATGTAGCATTTTAAATCGTTTTAGATTATACAGACACGAAAAACCCACCCTATAATAAAAGCAACTTGCCTTGTTCTATCAGGTGAACTGTGTTTGTCAGATGCCTTATCACCTGCCAAGATGGCTGCCCTACTGGGACGTTGCCGTTTTCCGATGCCGACGTCACGATGATCCCCGATTTCAACCACGTCGAAACCATCACAGATGCTGTCCATGGTCATCATGTCCGAGTCGACTGTGATGCGGTCCGAATCGAAGTCGAAGTTCTCGTTGATGTCGAAAGCGGGTTCTTCTTCCCCAAGTTCTCTAACACCGGCGTAGTCTTCCCCGAAATCGTGACTGAGGCCAGCTGAGGTTCGGCTCATACTGGTGGAATGTCCTGAAAGAAAAACAAATTTTGTTTACCAAAGTCGTTCAAATTGAATATAGCTATAACTCTTGCAAAGTTTAAGTACAGTGAAACCTGTCTATAAATACCACCCTACACATTAAGAAAAAATGGTGCACTGTGCACCTTTAGGGGTTCAAACCGATGCAACAATAGCAGCACTTTTAGGGGTTAAATCCTGCACCCTTTTTAAAGGTGCAATCCTGCACCCTTCAAAAGGGTGCCAGATTGAACCTTTTGGGGGAAATGTTAGTACCCTTTATGGTTCAATCCTGCACCTTTAGGGGTGCAAACCGATGCAACAATAGCAACACATTAAGGGGTTCAATCCTGCACCCTTTAAAAGGTGCAATCCTGCACCCATCATCGAGGAATACTCGTGTGTGTGTATTGGGTTTTTACAGACGTGTATCAATCAGAAATGATTATTTACGTCTGGGACAGACCTTTAAACGTCACCATCCGAAAGACGTGGCTCAGTTTCGAACCTGCGTCCTCGGCTGAATCAGTTTGTAACTTCCACTGTTTTAGCTGGATTACAGGCGCACGCCACAACGCCTCGTGACATTTGCTCGTACACAAATACATATTAAACATGCATGTTTCTTGGTTAGTAATCATATAATCAATATATATATATTGCTAAAACGTGAATGTAATTGTAACATGATCAGCCAAATAATCTATTGGTTAATGAGCGCCGAAGGAAAATACAAATCACAAAATTGATGTGCATTGTCATAATTTGCTTAACAAATCATATGATAAATGTATTTGTATGTGAACACGTGGAAAGTAATCATGAATATGCATGCAATATGCAAACTTTTATTTTGCACCTTTTTGGGTCGTTAGGGTTCATTTTTGTGGGAAGGGTGCAAAATCTTATATTGCACCCTTTTTTGAACCCCTTTTCCTTCAATAGGGTTCATTTTTATGTAAAGGGTTTTTTCTTAGAGTGTAGGGATACAAGAAAAGTGGTCATTATAGGCAGGTGGTATTAGTATGTACAGGTGCCTTTAGTACATGTTTCACTGAAAAATTATTTTCAAGGGAAATTCAAAATGTGGTCTTTGTAGGCAGGTGGTCTTTGTAGACAAGTGACAAGTAGTCACTAAAGTAGGTTTGACTGTATCTCCTTTTCAATAAACCAATAACAGTAAATCGTCTTCCGGAAGAGTACACCGATTCTATTGATGAATGATCATGTTGATTTTGTTTTCTTCCCGACTCGTATCTTTAGACTGAAATGACGTCCATCCAAATGAGCCGGAACCATTTTAACTGTCTTAAAGTATAAACGTATATATTGATGTGTATGTAAACAATACATTCCGTATCTGCTGTTCTCGTATAAGCAATCGGAAGAGGACGTGAGACGAAGCAAACATTCAATTAGAAATATCAAGCAATAAACGTATACTCGTTATCAATTGCAGTATGTACAAATAAATTCCATATCTGCTGTTCACGTATATGCAACCGAAAGAGGACGTGACACAATGCAAACAATCAATTGGAAATATCAAGCAAACTTCACGAATGGGTACTCCAGTTTTGGATCACACGATTATATGTTAACAACCTTCAATTAGAGTGGATAAAAGGCAGGAAAGCTGACTATGTCTCAGAGTTAAAAGTAAACAAGAACAATACCATGATCATGATTAAAGTTGAGCGACTTCTAATGACGAGTTGCATGAACACCAAAAGCATTAGATATAGTGAATGTTGACCAAGCCAGACATAATAAACAATAGTTCATGAAAGCTTAATCTTGATTATAGATAGTCCTCGTGACACAATGGAACGTTATATCCTGATGCAGGTACTATGTACCCCACTTCAGGCTCGTTCAGATATGACACTGCGTTTTTTATTATTTTTTTTCATGATGGATTGCTGACGTAAAATATAATAAACTTCGCATTTCTGTATCTTATAACACGTTAACAAAAAAACCTATAAGAAAAACTCTGAGTTTTTTTTTGCAGCGGTTCAACGCGCCATAATTGAACAACCCTTAACGAATTTCTTCGTGAATCTTCCCCAGTTTCATGGTATTAGAATCTGTTACATGTATTATAGTAGTACATTTGATAGCTTCCTGATGAACGTCAATGAAGCACGTTTTGAATCCAGACGAGTCAATCTAGTCTCATAAGACTAGCCTAATTATAGAGGGGAAAAATAGAAAGGGGGAGATAGATAGAGAGAGAGAGAGACAGAGAGACAGAGAGAGAAACGAACAGGGGAGAGGAAAGGATATAAAGAAATGGAGAGAGTGTAAGAGAGAGAGAGAGAGATAGAGAGAAAGATCTAGACAGCGGGCGAGAAAGAAAAATACGGACAGACTACAAACGCAAAGACAAAGAGGAAAAAGAAAGATAAATAGACCTACAGAGAATGCTAGAGAAAGAGAGAAGGAGAGGGAGAGAGAGAGAGAGAGAGTGTGGGGGGGGGGACAATATTATTATTGGAATGAACATTGTCTTGTGATGAAAATTATGACCAGTACATTTTCTAAATCGGTGTACTTTAATATAAAAGAGACTACAATGGGAGAAAAAGAAAGGGAAAGAGTGGGAAAGAGAGGAAAAGGAAAAGTCAAAGGAAATTGAGGGTTGTATAACCTACTTGCTACGGTAATATAACTTAGACATGTATACGAATATATCTTCAGCATAAATTATAATGTTATCTTTGTGATAATAATAAATAGGGCAAAGTTTGCGTTTGTGAGCACTTCAAAGGAGCAAAAATTTGATTGCATGTAGATCAACACGTATAACTCAAGTTTAAATACAAACAACTTTGATATGCTTCATTATCACAAGATATGACAGGTATTCAATGATCTGGGAGTCTACGTCATAATGAATTGTAATCTAGTAATCTGATGTGACACTGAAAACAGTTATTAAGAATAATCATTATTCGTATATGTTGTTTTCAGTAATGCTGTTGTTCACGTTTTTAGTTTGTTACGGCTCGTGTCATTCAGTAGTGTATATTTATGCCAAATTTTAGATCATTTCGCTTTAAATAATATTCTAAGCTGCAGTCCATTCGGACAGATAGCCCTTATAAACGTTGTTCTCGCCTATTTTTGACTACTTTTAATCAGAGTTCAACATTAAACACATGTGTATTGTAAGACCTTGATTTATTTTCCCCTACAGGATGCAGGGTCACCAGTTTGTCTTTTTAAAGTTTTATTTTCGCCTCATGATCAAGTTTTAATAATATGTGTAACCCTTTTCGATACTACATTGTTACCCATCAAACTGGTATAATTTTTCTTACCTCTTTTCAGGAAGTGATTGCACATGATTATATCCTTTCATGACTCCATTTATCAATATCTATGACACTTTATATTAATCAGTAAACTTTATAAATTATATTCTCGCAAACAATTCCTTTGCACTAACAAATAAGCTATTCACTTTTAAAGGGCATGGTCAGGGGCTGCCTTTTATGATTGTTCTTATTGTGGCAAATAGGTGGGGGAAGCACACCTATTTGCCACAACGAGAAAAGGCACATGCATGTGAGCATGTAGCATTTCAAAATTTGACTCGGGCTCATTCTTCCACAGCAAATGTTTAAAAAAGACGAACCGTGACTCTGCCAAATAACGTTCAATGATGAAGTGAGGATTGAGGAATCTAATACGTCTAGATCTTCGAATGCACTGATGACAATGGCATCAATCCGAATCACACTACTTATCTGTCATTTAATTTGCAAGAATGGATTGCACGGATTGCGGCTCCCTCGCGAATTCCGTTTTCAATTCCAGAGCAGAAGTCGACGGCGCCACCGTTTATTAAGTTCAAACCAATGTGCTAATACTATAGAATACTGTACATGCGGAGATTGGAATGGTTGTTAAAAGGAGAGCGAGAGAGAGAAAGTGACTTAAAGAGAGGGGGAAAGGAGGAGGGTTGGAGAGCGGAGCATTTTTTATCCTCCAATAGACAGTGTGGAGTAAGCCTATATCCCCTATATCGTATTTAATATATTTTCCAGGAAAAGGTACGTGTATGGTGGAAGAAGTAAAATCGCGAATGGACTCATTGGAATAAACACCGAATTTTAATTTAAAATCAAGCACTAGGGAAGACACATTAAGATCCTTGGTTTGAGTGATGGATATATTTTCTTGTATGTAATCCTGTTACCCCCTAACGGTTTCTCAGACTGTACTATGTGAACCTTTGAAATCTTTGACTTTCTGGTTAGATACCCAGACACTGTCGTCTGCAGTATTGTCTAGAAAGTACATAAATATGACCTAATCATGGCACAGATTTGTTATCGAGATGATGATAGTCCAATCGATAATGACTTGAAATGCTTCTGTTGTCTGCATCTTTACATCAGTCTGCTTGGGTCATAGCAGACCCAAGTTCTCCTGAAGGTCTACCGGGTCGCTGTCCATGATTATTAGCGTTGTATGCGGAGGGCAGTTCAAAAAAGGGTATGCACCCCCTCTCCCCTCCCCACCACTGACAAATCCCAACCTCGCATTCATCAAATACACAACAGAAATAATGTGTACTAAGATTTTGTGCTCGTGTGGCCCAGCAAAATTTTGGAGTAAAAACGATGTTGAAAATGTGAGATATCCCCCTGAGCAGTGAATTTGGACTCCCCCACCCCATTATGCAAGAGAATCCTGGCTCCGCCTCTAAGAACCAGGTAATTGGATTAAGCTCTTTTACGAAATAATTATTCGAATTTACACTCGAGCATTCAAGGCAACTGAACTATACACACACTATTAGGACAAAAATGAACGACCATCATGATTATTTTAGTTAGAGTCATCCAAAAAGGATTTTATTGATTTACAGTGGCGAATCTGAACGAGACATATCCAAAGTGAGCAAGAAAAGCCTGGGGCAAAGAAATGTGAATATAAATCCTTAGGATCAACACGAAAGCAAAGACTTTCGAAAAATCAACAAGAGCCACTTATCCAGGGTCGTCACCTATTGAAATGTGCGAACATCACTAATGACTACATGATTCCTTTTGGGATATCCAATAGAGTACCGAAGCTGTGACATAATATAACATTACGAACTAGAGCAAAATAACAGTGATTTTCTATTGAAATCTATTTATTCGGATGGTCTCAGCCTATACGTAACATATTCGTTTGGTTTTCAACATTTGGATTTTGTTTTGATGCTCTTTCGGAAAATGAAGTTCAAATTTGGAAACTCTAAAAATAGGCTTTTGAAGACGTCACACTTGACCACTCTATAGGGTATTTTAAATAACCACTCGGTTGAGTTTTCGAAAGTCTTGGATAATAATACCAAAATGGTGCTACCTTGGATATAAAATTCTATTGAAAATGGGGAAGAACATCGATCGTTACAGATTTTTGTGCCAACATGTATTGCAAATATTTACCGTCATTCAACATGAAAACGTCATAAGCCGTAAACGAAATGTTTTTTCACAGACACCTGGTAAAACTGATAAGCAATCGCTTTTTTTGTTGTTATTTGGGGGTGGACGAAAACAACGATCCTAATCTGCGTCCGAAATTTTCCTAAATGTCAGTTTTGTTCGGATTTTCATAACTCCTGTCAGCCTGGGTCTATTGCTACAAATATGCTTTCACTTCAGCATATTGCATCAAATTTGTGTCTCTACAAATGGAGATGACTTTCCACAAGAATTCATACTGATGTTTTTCAAATTTGTAATCGGTGATACGAGGTCTGTATATCCACAGGCAGGCTATATGTATGGACCGTGACCCTTACTCGAGTATATTCAATGCCTGTATACATGTATCAGAGTTTGTCTCACCGCAGGAGACACGTCTTATCATATATTCATCCAGTTTAATCTGATGACACAAGGGAATTTGGTATCTCCTTGAGTTCTAAACCTTTACTAAAAGTGACATTTTAATCATTTTGTGTGTTGAAACAAATGGGAAATTAGTCCAGCACTTCGTCACATTGACATCACCGATCCAAGCAATTTTAAGTGCCCGTGGGTATAACTTTATATACAAAATCATCGCTTTTAAATCTCTTTCCCCGATTCTGCTTCCCTAATTCTTCGATCTGCTTTCTTGTAAAGTAGTTGTGCGTTAAGATTGGATTTTTTCTTTAAATTAAAGTTCCTCATCGTTGTCCTCCTTTTTAGAAATTTGTGCAAAGGTTAAAGATATATCTTCGCCGTTCAAATAGAAAAATTATCATAATTTATGTATATCAACAGGTCAATGAATAGGCCATTTTCGTAAAATAATCAAAATGTAATGCACACATCTTTGTTTAGTGCCTCGTTACAAAAAAAATTCATTCACCTGTTACGAGTAATAGTCAGAATGCAAATTCCATATACCAATCATTAATGTATTCAATTCTGACTATTGGAATACAATTAGGCCTATTCGTAACAGGTGAATGAAATAATTGTTAATGAGCAAATTAATAAAGATATATGCATTACATTTGATTACACACACTAAGAAAAAATGGTGCAAGTATGCACCTTTAGGGGTGCAAACCGATGCAACAATAGCAGCACCTTTAGGGGTTAAATCTTGCACCCTTTTTAAAGGTGCAATTTGGCACCTTTTAAAAGGGTGCCAGAATGAACCTTTTAGGGGAAATAGTGCCCTTTATGGTTCATTCCTGCACCTTTGGGGTGCAAACCGATGCAACACTAGCAGCACCTTTATGGGTTCAATCAGATTGCACCTTTTAGGAGACATGTTAGTACCCTAATGATTCAATCCTGCTCCATTAGGGGTGCAAACCGATGCAATAGCAGCACCTTTAGGGGTTCAATCCTGCAATGATTGCCAAAGGAAAATACAAATCACAAAATTGATGTGCATTGTCATGATTTGCTTAACAAATCATGATAAATGTATTTTTGTGTGAACACGTGGAAAGTAATCATGAATATGCATGCAATATGCAAACTTTTATTTCGCACCCTTTTTTGGTCGATAGGGTTCATTTTTGTGGGAAGGGTGCAAAATCTTATATTGCACCCTTTTTTGAACCCCTTTTCCTTCAATAGAGTTCATTTTTATGTAAAGGGTGCAACTTCTGATTTTGCACCCATTTTTGCACCCTTTTTTCTTAGAGTGCATTACGAACATGGCCTATTGGAAGTGTACCTGAATTTTTCAATGCATAAAGAAAAATCAACATCAATGAGGAATTCAGATTTACGCTTATTGAACATTAAAATGATGGGGCGTCATAATATCAAAAGCATAATGTAAACACACCAAATTAATTAACCATGTGAACTCACCGTCCACCGAATCATTATCGCAACCGTTTGATGCTTTACTCTCTTCCATAGCAGACGACATCGAAGAAGATTTACTTCGTAATTTCCAGTCTATCTCCTCGCACTGCTCTTCCGCCAAATGATGGTTTGATGACGATTTCGACCCCATGACCACTTATTTGGTAATATCCCACTCAAGCACGTAATATTTATCAGATTAAAGTATTTGTCCACAAAGTAAACGATTAACACCCAAAGTAAATACACACAGCGGTTTAGCGTGGAGAAGTGTTCGTATCCTAGAACGCGGGGAAATACCGACAAGTCATACCCAAGTGTTGATTTCCCCAGCGTCGAGTCAACGCTTACAAAGTGATCGTCTGTAGAATGCATGTACCGCTGGCAGTGTGTCGATTTGTCGTCTGCTCGCGTTACGATGAATTTGTGTCGAGAATGCTGTTTCTTGTTGAGCTATTCGCGCGCAAAAGCGCCACGCAATACGCCACGTTATAACCTTATAGGGCGAACCTTAAACAAATATTATTGACGAAAATGGCAAATAATTCCATTTTATATGTTTTTGCTAAGCCTACATGACCTTCTGAAGACTTTCAAATACAGCTGTACGAAGAGTATTACACAAACATGTCTATCATAATACTCATTTAAATAAAGTAGGCCTAAAGAATGTCGTCGAAATTGCGGATTCTGATTGTGCTTTAAAAATATGAGGAAAGGTTATGAATTTCCAAAGTTCTCCTGAGAATCTTTTTTAAACTGCGAGATGTCTGCGCAGATCAATGGAACGTTTAACGGTTAAGTGTCCAAAATGATTGTATAGTCGAGGGTGTGTGTGCGCGAGGGTGTCTGTGCGTGCGTTACTAATTGAAACACACACGCACATACGATGTTTTTGATGCCCGGTGAATCTTATCGCTATTATTTGCGAACTTCGAAATTTTGACTTTAGCTTAAGCTGAGATTAAAATGCGGTTCTATAAACATACAGAGATTTTTCTATAATAAGAGACAATCTGAATAATTATGTCAGTGAAGCGGGAATGGTCGCTAAGCGGAACAAAAACCAACCTCACTTCAGACTTTGTGCGTGTAGAGCTTCCCAGGCATGAATCCTCCAAATATATAAAAATGTTCCAAATATTGCACAATCCTCATAAAATCACCACAGATAATCATTACAAAAACTAAAGCAAAAGCAAAAGTGAAGATAGAAGGAAAGTTGTTCTCAGTGAATGAAAGAACATATTCAGAACTGTAAAGATGATGTTCTCAAATAAATAGACGTGTTGACTTGCTGAGAAAACTTTGAGAAGTCTAGTTTTCAACAGAGAAGTGAGGATGAGAAAGAAAATGTTGTTCTGTTCCTTCGTGCGAAGCAGGATGAAAACAATGAGTATTGATACCAATAATGTGAAGTAAGAGTGAGTCACTGGTGGTAATTGCAGTGTACAGGGCCATTGCCGCCATTAAGTTGACACTCGTTGATAAATGAAGAAAGAGAAAATGGGGGGAATACTACAAAAGTATAATATTGCCCATACATTCCAGAGTGGATAGATCGATCCTCTTCCAATTGAGATATTTCCAAAAGACATCATTAAATTCACGAAAGCAGGTATTGATCACTTGTTAGTATGGGCCTACTTTGTAATGCTACACACACAATATTTTACGTCAGATAATCAAGTCGAAAGAAAACTTCTTAAAACTCACGCGCTTCATCTTAACATAAAATCAATAAACGCACTCATTGTGTCAGAATAAAATCAAAAGACAATATATCCCAGTGTGTCATTAAAAATCAGAGCATTTGAGAATCAGTTTTTCTCGTTCTCACTGCGGTAAAACAAATGGAATTTGATTGATTCTACGCATCATAATATTATTGATAATAAATGTCTCAGTGGACGGTCGATTTATAACAACATTCCGATTGTAGATAAACAATTACGTGAACAAATCATGAACAGACATTCGTCAGTGTGGGGGTGGGGGGGAGGGTCGATATGAACATAGTTTTTATTAAAATCAGAACAGCATCAACAGTAATAACAAACGCAAAATCTTATTTTACAGCATCTGATTGGAAAGAGGCAATGAAGGAAAAGACATCAAACCCCGACCAAATGCACACACACACCCATTATAGTTCAAGGTTTTTATTTATTATCATCAATAATTCATGTTCTTCTTTGCTCCCCCCCCCCCCCTAGTCCTCATTCCGAATATTCCAGCGACGGCCCTGGGTTGAGTATCTATGTTTTTCTATCAAAATGATGATTCATCGAGAAATATCGCTTTAGAGGCCTGCGCTGCTGGCATTATGTCTTATCCAAAAATAACAATAATCATGCACTTATATTATTAGCCTGAGAGTAGATTCATATGAGTTTCTGGCGAGAGAGAAATAAATAACCAACGATAAATCGATTGATACAACATTTATTTCGAAAACGTACTGAATATGTTTGCTGTTAACGGATTCAAAATAAGTAAGACCTCAGAAAGGTCAAAAAGTGATTTTGCGTTGCTGTGATACTAATTCGATCAACGCAATAATTTGATGAAATATCAATTATTCATAAATATTCATATCACATCTAAAATTTAAATAGTCTCTAAAAATTAGGATTTCGTTAATGAAAAACCAAAATAACAGCTTGCTACAGAATATAAAAGACAAAAGCAATTTATATCACAAAAAAATGTGTATTAGGATTACACTCGAAAAACAATCTCACATGAAAGTATTTTTGTTTTCTTACTGAGGTAATAAAACAAGTTTTCTAAGCCTCTAAGGTAATATTTGTTCGCATTTTCATAACACAAGTTTTACGAGCAATAATACCTTGAAACTACGTAAATTATACATGTATTCCATTTTTAGTGCTCTATATCGTATTATACATACAGCGCCCTTCGAATGGCTTATTTATTTCACCGATTTCCATTTATATTGCGTCGACTCACCGCATAAGAGCCACGAGAAATGAATTCAGTCTGAGCAGGCTACTGCTAAAAACAATATTTGTTTTTCTGACGCCAAGGAATAATTTCAAATCAAATAACATAACTGCTTCCTAAGCTACACACTAACAGTATTTATGCGCCGACACACACACAAATACCCACACCCGCACCCACATACACGCAGTCACGCACACACATTGCAGTTCTCCGCCAAATTTCATGCATCGTATATTTTTTTAAGTATACAACCGAGGATTGTTGCCTACCACTTAAATCTTATACCCAAAATTGTGAAAGGGTGTTATGCCCTCGGTTTATATTTTTTTTAACGATTTTTTTCTTCTGTCACGATCTACAAAATAAGGTCAAATCTGTGGGACATTTGGTAGAATGAGTTGCTGTGAAATGAACGACTTATCAAATCTCCTTGGAAGCACGTCGTCATGGTTATTGGCTTTCCGTATTAATTCAACATAATGCACTTTCATTGACGTTTAATGTGACTCAGCTTTCCCAGGGCAGGTTATTATTACGGAGTAGTATGTATCTACCGTGCACCCTCTTCTCAATCATATCTGTTCAATAAAAGACTTCGTAAACAAATGGAACAAGCTGCCACAAACTGCCATTGATCCCTCCAAACTCTTCAGCTTCAAACGACAACTATCCAACCTGGGTTTTTAAATGGGTCTCATGGGACCCTTACCATCTTCTGTATCTTCATCACCGCAATGGCGAGGTGCGGCCCTTAAGGTATATTCAAGGTACAAAAGGGTTGTCTTTTCAATGCAATTCGTGCATAATACCTTAATTTCACTAGGTCAGAGAAATTATTCGGATCTTTATTGGTCATAACTTATTCAGAGGGTATAATAACATTTCAGGAATGGTCCGTTGACGGATGTTTTTATCCATACTCTCGTGTCTTCTTTTTTCTCTTTTCGCCTCATTCTCTGCCTTTGTATCTTCCCACTCGTCATTAGGGACTTTTAGACTTGCACGTCGACATAGTGGACTGCTACGTGTGACGTCCTTTGACGTCACAGTGCCTTAAAAGGACGTCACACGTAGCAGTCCACTATGTCGACGTGCAAATATAAAAGTCCCCATTATCTCTCTCCCATTCTCTCTCTCTCTCTCTCTCTCTCTCTCTCTCTCTCTCTCTCACTCGCCGTTTTCTTTCTCTCTCCCCTCATCATCCTTTTCACCCTCTCTCTCTCTCTCTCTCTCTCTCTCTCTCTCTCTCCCTCTATGCCCTTCTTCCGTTTTCTTCCTCATCGTCTAATTTCCTATTTTGTCTTCATCTCTCTATATGTTTCTCCACTCCCTTTCATATGAGAAAATTAATTTCCAAAATGATGAGTGCATGGTATAACAAAAAAAACACTTGTATCTCGTCCACGTGTGGCTTTAAATGGCACACGTACAGTGTACAATATTAATGAAACATCGGGTTATGACTCATTCAGGGACCTTTATTCGCTGTCATGAAAAATGATATGTTTATAGATTCGCAATGCGGGTGTTGAGTGAGGTAGAATTCATGACTTGTATTACCATTCTTAAACAGGTAGATTGCATTAAATGCAGTGGACATTGTAAAACCTGCTTCAGCGACCACCTGTATATATAGAAAGATCACTTGTCTATAAAATACCACATATTTGTTTTCCCTTGAAAAAAATTTCCATTAAAACCTGAACTAAATCAATCTATCTTATAAAGGCCACTTTTTTCTCTCCCTTGACTGGTCTTTAAAGACAGGTTTTTACTGTATCTGAAATCGGACGCAATGAACTAATCAGTATTTCGACTTGCCATCCATATGTTTTCCTATCATCCTACAATTATCAATTTGGTAGAGTTCTAAAAGAAAAGAGAATGATTGATCACCTTTGCTAGCTTCTCTTAATGAAAAAGACTTGAATATAACTCCAATGAAGCAAGAAAACAGAAGGGAGAATATAAAGGACGGAATAAAAGATGAGAAGGGGAGAGTGAGTGAGGGAGTGCGTGTGTGTGTGTACATGCAAGAGAAGGAGAGAGAGAAAGAGAGCTCGAGAGACAGACAGAGACAGACTAACATACAGACAAATACAGAGAAAGAGAGAAAGAAAGAAAGAGAGAGAGAGAGAGAGAGAGAGAGAGAAGTAACAGGAAGAGATGAAACCTCGTATACAGCATTTACCATCTAGCCTAGATAACATGTATATTCCGTAAATTAAATGGAAAGACCCGGTTTTATAATTACTACTGACAAATACGATATTGCTAGAGATTGAATCATTTAAAGCATATCTCCTTCTTTACATCCATATACTAATTAACTAAAAGGAAGATGACAAGTTTACTAAGAACAATTAAATGTTATCATTACACACACGGATACACGATGTGCGTATAACTATCAGGTCGCGAAATCAATGGTGCTGAAACGAAACCGGATATGGAAATACCCAGAGATAATAATTTTCTTCATCCTTTTTTCCGGATTTTTTCGAATTATTCGTTTCTTCTCTCCCCTTCCACAATCGGCTTGTCAACCCTTTTAGCTTGATAAGCGATGGTCGAGAGGGGGAGGCCGGGGAAATGATGTTTTGCCGCAGAGTTCTATTTATGCAACGATGAGTCAGACCGATCGGGGATCACCTAGGTATAGCCTGGCTTCATGATGCCTTTTTCCTTTACCTTTGTGATATTGAAATTGGAAGTTAAAGCTGCATTAGTTCTTATGCGAGTAGGTATGACAGGGATTTATTTGGTTTCATAATAAGGGTAAAGAGTTGAAAATTGGATATGGGGGGGGGGGGGTTAAAAGAGGATTTCACTTAGTACAATTTAAGAATGCCTGTCAGCTCTGTGATCATTGATGCTAGTTGCCGCAGGCGTACCGTGGACCCAAACATTGAAGGGGCACGGGCATCGGGGTGGGTGTGGCGCCGGCGTTACTCAGTGAATGAAAATGGGGAAATTAACAAGACCATCTAAACATGATAGTAATGGGGTGGGGTGGGTTGGTGGGGGAAGTGGTCATCAGGGGCGGTCGAGCGACTTCCAAAGTGGGGGGCACCAACAAAAAAGGGCACTTTCTGAAGAAAAAAGGGCACCTACAGTGGGAAATCTCAAAGCAAAAATATACCAATTTTTAGACATTGGTACATACCCCTGCATTGTGATTACATTATCAGGGATGATTTCAATATTTGTTTCTCTTCATACATCATACAAGATATCGCTTAAGCATCATACTTTACAGTTGGGTGGGATGTCTGAATATGCATTTACGAGCGAGCGAAGCGAGCGAGAAAAATTTTAAAGATCTGCGAGGTCGCAGTGCGAAAAATTACATCTTATAAAGAGGAAAAAAGCCAATCGTGATGGGGTTATAAGCACATTCTCATAACGGAAGACTGAAAAGACCTTTGATAACTAACATAATTATATCATCTTTAAATGCGAGCGAGCGCAGCGAGCGAACTTTGGGGGAAATTGCTCTTAGTCGCTTTAAATAAGGGGCATGTTTAATGATTTCATGAAAAGGGGACAATTATCGAAAGGGATAAGACACTTATTAGAAAAGAAAAGGAGCACGTGTCACAGTACAAAGGGTAATTATAAGAGGTGAACATGAGGCATTTTTTCACCTGAAAAGAGTCACTCACCTGATGAAAAAGAGGCGTTTACGAAAATGGGAAATAGGCATTTGTTGACGGAAAAAGGGCACCCATCAGATTTTGATAGGGGCATTTATAAGAGGTGAAAAGGGGACAGGTCCCTTATTAGAAAGGAAAAGGGGCACGTATCATTATTAAAAAGGGAATTATCAGAGGTGAAAAGAGGCACTGACCAGATATGAAAAGGGGCACTTATGAAAATGTAAAAGGGGCACTTATAATAAAGGAAAATGTGCATTTGTTGAATGAAAAGGGGGCACCGTTCAAATTAAAAAAAAGGGCCGTTATGAGAAGGGGAGGGAGCTTTTTCTTTTTAATGGGGGCACTTATCATAAGGAAAAGGGGCACTTATTAGAAAGGGAAAGCGGTAGTTATGAGAAGGGGAAGGAGCTCTCTCTTTTTAATGGGGGCACTTATCATAAGGAAAAGGGGCACTTATTAGAAAGGGAAAGCGGTAGTTATGAGAAGGGGAAGGAGCTCTCTCTTTTTAATGGGGGCACTTATCATAAGGAAAAGGGGCAATTATTAGAAAATAAAAGGGGCACATGTTAAAATTAAAGGTGTGCTCATCCGAGTTTAAAAAAGGGGTAGTTATTAAAAGGAGAAGGGGCACTTCTTACAAAGGAAAAAAGGCGCAGTTGTCAAAGTAAAAGGAGCACCTCTCAGTTTGAATAGGGCAATTATCAGAGGTGAAGGGGGCACTTATCAAAAGTGAAAAGGGGCACTTCTCGTACCTAAAAAGAGGCACTTACTAGAGATTAAAAAGGGCACTTATTAAAGATAATTTCAAGATTTATGAGAATGGAAAATGGACACTTATTGCAAAGGAAAATGGGAACATGTCGAAGGAAAAGGGGCACGTGTCAAAAATAAAAAGGGCACTCGTCAGAGGTGAAAAGGGGGGAAGGGGCACTTTTATTTAGTAATAGGGGCACTTGTCAAAGTAAAAGGGGCACTTTTCCTATGTAAAAGGGGCACTTCTTACAAAATAAAAGGGGCACTTTTCCTATGTAAAAAGGGGCACTTTTGGGGTATCTGAAAAAGTGGGGGGGCACTGTGCCCCCCCTGCCCCCCCGGGAGAACCGCCTCTGGTGGTCATATCATCTTCTCTCCCCCCCCCCCTTGACTCCCTCTTCTCTTTTCTATTTTGTTATTTGTGATGCATGGGGCATGTGCCTCGTAGTTGCGCCTTTCTTAGGAATACATAACATGAGAGGGTCATATTATTATAAGTTTGACAGCGTGCAATTGCTATAAAAGACCCTTTTGAATATTATTAATATGCCAAAATAAAATTCAAGTTAAAATTAGTTGGTGATATGCCAGCTATACATTACACATGTTAAACGTCCTATGGCCCTAAATGAACATGCATATTCATCTATAGGAAGAATGGTCAGGTTTAGATATAATTTATTGATAAAGAGAACATAATTGTAGACTACTGCGTCCAATCGATGGCGGCTTTCGGAACAGAGATGTCATAAATCTGTAACTTTAATACGCGCCAAAATGTTTGATGATATATTGCACCGGTGCCCCGTTTTGAATTCTATACCTCACAGTCCTCACTACAATTCCCATGCTACCTATTTCAAGTCAAGTGTCATCCCCTCGGAAAGGTAACAACATGCTTTCGAAGGCCTGATGCGAATGAATCTGACTCTATCTGTCTATACACAGAAATAGGGTTTTTCTGTCTCCATATTAAGGTCATTTTATTTTATAAACATCAGACGGGCATCTTTTCTATAATACTGATTTGACTTGTAAACAAACTTATGTGATTAAACAAAATAGATTATCAAGCCTAAAGGGCCATATATGTAACCAGAGGGTCAGTGTCGGTCTAACCATTGAGGGGCACTCATGAGAGAGGTGGGCTACCACCGGTCTCAAGAGGGTGAAGAACTATGCATTTAAAACCTACAACCTCGGCGAAGGGTGTGGAACGGGGGTGGGGTCGTATGATCTTTTGACATTCCATGTCCACCCCTCCCTCTCTCTTCCGTTTGTTCTCTCAGTTATTTATCATTTTTCTTTTCCGCCATTCATGTCGTAGTTAGATAAATATGATATTTTGCATTCCATACAATATCAGATAAAACTGTGTTGTTGGAGAAACGCTGGGATTAGACAAAATATACAATCTATATGGACGTAGCTTGTTTCGAAATAAAGCCGTAAGAACATTATTCGCGTACCGTCACATTGTCTGCCACAGAGACATTCAAATAAGGAGACAAGTTGTGTATTTCTATGACGAACAAAAGAGTAAGAAAAATCTAGCAGGGAATCCCAGAAGCAACCAACAAAACTTGACCGTGTCAATAGAATGCAGAACACGAACTAATTGATCATGCAACAGGATGACAGTTTTCCGTGTTTAAAAGATTTATGACTCAGTCTTCACGAACTGAGCACGGTCCGATGATGGAGGTGAAAATCGTCGAAAATTGCGCCGAATGTGATGTGAAACAAAATCATGATATCGAATAAGAAAGGAAGATGATTGGATTTTAAGAGTTTCCATACGCTCCGGACCAACTGAATTCAAATTGAAACACAAATTCGAAAAGACAGTTAATCGAGAAAAAAAGGATTAATCGTTATCCTCTTCGTCCTCCCTCACCGCCACCTCCTCCCCTTCCCCCGCCATCCGCCCCCTCCTCCTCCTCCTCCTCCTCATCATCTTTCCTACCATCACTATTGTGGACATCATTATCAACACATACCACAACAATCATCATCATCATCACCATAATCATTGTCATCATCATAATCACCACCATCAACAATGTCATCATTATTATCAACATCATCAACATCATTATCATCACTGTTTTTCCAATAATCAACTTCGTGAACAAGATAGTCAACACCACCACTACCATCACCATATAATTAACAATAATTTGGTATCATCTTCACCATCACCACATTTTAAAGAACCGTCATGGTGACCGTTGAACATCAGTAGACGTTGCACGAATATAGCACCTATGTAGGATGAACTTCAAATCGTAATCGGGTATCAAATTACTCCAATTTGCAAGTTTTCGTGTAAGGGATATAATCAGCATAGAAATTCAAGACTACGTGCCCAATTTACATGTATTCATATATCTGTTGGACATAAATCCTTACGAGAGATAATTAGAACACCATAAAAGGGAAATAACGCTAATGAAAAGAGGGGGGGGGGGGATACTTAAATGAATCATGACTACATTTGCTCGAGATTTATTACGAATGCAGTAACGCACCGAAAGAAGATCGACCAATTTGTGTCTTCGTCATCTACGTATTACCCCCCCCCCTCATTAATTCGGATACATTTTATCAAGAGCAGCAAACGGAAAGATGGGAAAACTTAATTGAAATTTTGTAGTAGTATACTGCCGCCACTGTTAATCTTTATTACTGCCCAAATTAAAATCTAGATTCAGAGACCGCCCAAGGGAGACAAGAAATGTTATCTTCAATTCAAATGTGGTCTTTATGTTCAGGTTACATATAAAATATAGAGCAGGTTTCGATTAGTTTGTTCTGTGGGGGGAAAATGCTGTCCAAGTAGACAGGTGGTTTTTCAATCCAACCTGTCGATCAAGCAAAATTTCTCTGTAGGTATTTAATTATGTTCTCGTTTCTCCGCGAGCACTTTGGTATATCGGTAAAGGCTCTTGACTCTTGTACGAAAGGTCCCAGGTAAGATTAGCTCCCGGTGCCTACATCCTCGGACAAGGTATTTTGCCCAATTATGTCCCTCATGACCGAGGTGTAAACGCTAATTACCTGGTAATTTAATGCTGGGGTGGTAATAATAATTGCGGTGCCCGTAGGCAGTATCAGTATCAATACTGATCAGACTGATATCTGCATGTGGCTACCCTGGACAAATAAGACCAAACAACAACAACAAGGACAATAACAACAACAACAACATCAACACCAATAGCAACCATCCACGATATTTGGAGTTTTGTTTCTTTTTGGTTACACGCCCAGGCTCAACTTTAGAATACCCCACAAATAAGTGTTGGTGTACATAAATGTCAAAGACCTAGGGTTAGGGTTAGGGTGAGAGTTACTTAAAAAGGTCGAGATTTAGCTTTATGGGTGAAGCATTTGGTACCCAACGAACGTTGGATCAATTTTAGTGGTGGTGTATTCTGAAGTTGCTGAAATGCCCATCATAATATACTGGCTCTGTTTTTTGTCATCCCATTTGTTAGTGTTACACCTTTAATGTGAAGTGATGATTCATGCTACCTACAC